TCGAATTCGTTCACAAAATTAACACCCCTTTAATTTATAGAACATAATGGCCATAAAATCCATGCTTTATTATCGGAAACCTAAGTTTTGTCCGAGCAAAACGTAAAATAAGAGGTGCACAATGACACTATGTAATAAAGATCTTGTGAAAGTCTCCTTAGATTTTATTTAGTGTGTCACAGGGTCATCGTTAAAGAATATAACGCTGGATTCGGTTCAAGTTTTGGTGGAATTTTAATGAGGATAACAAAAGAAACCTATAAAACATAGAAAACACACAACACACACATTAACAATAGACAAATACCGTAACGGCACATTCAACAAAGTTACAAATTATACAAGATGAAAATTCACGCCGCTGCCAGTAAGATATTTTACTTGACTAGTATACCTGGTCAGTGAAACATCAAATATGTGTCCGATCGAACGTAGAAAAGCATAATGCCGCTATGTAATCAATAAAGATTTCGTGAAAGTTGCATAAAATTGCATTCAGTAATGTGAGAGAAGTTACGGATAAGGATTGGCTTCCCCCGAGTATATCAGACGTACATCCCCATTACTACATGTATAAACCCCTACTTTTCAAGCGTATATAATAATGACCCTATAACAATATTAAAAACAACAGTAAAAGATCTTTGTAGAGAGGGTAAAATTTACAAAATTTTGATTTAAAAAAGAGATATACCCTTGACTCATGGCCGTAGGAAGCGGGGGCACAGGAAGGGGCGTGACCCTCCTCCCCAAATAATTTTGCCGATATACAAATTATTATAGAAAACATAGATACTATAAGCTCGTTCCCCTTAATAAAATCTGTCCCCTAAAACTGAAAATGTTTGCCCCCCCCCCCCCCACCTGAAATTGCTTCTTACGGGCCTGACTTCAACTAATATCAACATATTTGACAGTATACTTATTTTTCAGTGGAAATTTTTACTACGCAGAACATGTTCTTGCCTATCAATTCAACTGGAATACATAATTATAAACACGAGATGCAGGTAATAATAAATAATGGAAATAGATGATATAAAATTTTATGTGAACGCGTTTATCATGCAGCTCAGCTTTCAATTTGCCATCAATGTCTATCTCTAATAATATATCCAAATATGACGCAGATTTCAGAATCTATGGGATCTTTATTACGAGTTCAGTGGGATGTATCGAATCAACGTAGGAATTTTATTCATTACTGTAAATTCTGTTAAATTAGTATTAAATATTTTTAATATTTCAACAACTAAATTAAATTTAAATAACAATACATGTAGCTGTATTGGATTTCTAAACTTCACAAAAATCCTTACAAAGACACCTAGCAGGTTCTAGTAAATGTTCTACTAAGTCTCTTTCATTACTCCTCGCGAAAATTTTCACAGCAGTGAAGAAAATCAAAACTTCGGGGTTCTCTACAGCAACATATTCGAGAAGTGGTGTTAATCAGATGTGGATACTTAAAAACTCCAATCAACCTTTAGAAATTTTGAAACAATTTTTCGAAAGTACAACAATATCCAACTAAAAATTAAAGATAAGACTTTTTGTCATCATAGATAACTGCTTCTTCAGTAAAAATGAAACTCGTAAAATTGCATTCCTTGTGAATGATCATCTGCAAACTTATTTGTTTTTTAAAAAAAATCTTATTCTACACACAATTAAGTACTCCAAAGTTGATACAAAAAAGATGCTTGAGTTTCTCATTGACAATATCTACTATGCAGTTTTCGGAGACCAGGACTTCCAACAATCTGTTGGAATTTCTATGGGAACAAATTGTGCTCCGTTATTAGCAGACTCTTTTTATATTCATATGAAGCAAAATTTAAAACATTCTACATGAAAAGATGCCTCTGGCTGTAGCTCTGTCAATTTTGACATTTAGATATATCGTTTCTTCAATTAGCAATATTCAGTTTCATTCCTACGTTGACTCGATATCTTATTTAACTCGAAATAAAAGACACCAGAGAGACTAGCACATCTGTTTCATATCTGGATGTTTTGCAAGAGAAAAACATTGATGGTAAACTGACAACTAATCTTTGTGATAATCGTCAACTTTCCTTATTTGTGTAGAAACATACCATTATTAGCTGCACATGGAGTTTCGTGTCTCTCATTTGATTCGATACGCAAGATCATGTTCTACGTACGTACAATTTCTAAAAGGAGGCAGACTATTGACAAATAATTTGATGATACAAGGATATCAGCAATCTTGTTCAAAGTCAACATTTCGCAAATTCTATGGTAGATACAATAACCTTTTTTTGCAAATACAATACTGTTAGGTCATTATTTTCAAACTGAATGTTCTACGTATTTTTCCGCTTACCCGAAGGAGCACGCGGCGGGTGTGACTGGGCGGCAGGGTATGCTCACTCCTCCACGTCACCTGATCCCACCTCTGATGCTTTATGAGGCCAGTGTTGGCGCTGCTCATAGTTTGTTTTGTTTGTTGGACTTCAGAATGATCACTGTTCGTTACCTTTCTCATTTCATATTTGCACATACATACAAATCTTTTTCTCAAGCATAAGAGTTTTTTTTTTTTTTGGCTTCCAATTATTTTCTGCCAATCATTTCATCCAAATCCAAACTTTGGTAAACGACGCTACGTATGCCCCTATGGAGTGATAGTTTTTTAATAAAAATACAAAACAGGTCGGCTAATAAAAAGGCACAATAAATATCCTTGGGAATTTCAACAGATTGTTAGAAATCCTGGATTCCTAGCACTATATGGATATTGTTAATTAGGAACTCTACGCTGCAATAAAGTAGTCCTCTCCAGTTTTTAGGGGGAGGGCTACAATCCCATAGGATCTTAGTTATGGTACAAGTGCTGGAGTGATTCACTATCACAAAGATTTTGGCTCAAATTATTGGAAAGTGACTATTCTATTAATACACTGGCAATCTGTATTTCTTAACTGAACTCAAAATATGTAGTTATGCAAGACATTAAATGATCTAAGATTTTGATTAATAGTCAAAAAATTATTCTCTGTGTATGTGGATTGTAGCCCTCTCCTGAAAACAGAAAAAAATGGAGAGGGCTACATTATTGCAGCTAGGAACTCCATCATCTTTTAATATAAAGAGTTTTTATGAGTAGATTTAACAAAGTTATGTTGTAGATGGCCAAACACAAGATACAGTGTATAAATATGTTCAAAGTTTTTATTCGGTCGTTCATGATGTCTAAAGTCTATCCTTCAATTCATTGTCAGATATGGTAGTACAAAGTGTTGAAATGTGAAAAGTTTCATTATTATTGATTTGGAAATATTTTGCGAATTCAAATTTTTAAAATAGTTCTTTGGAGATTCTTTGTATCCAAATTTGATTTACACCATGGCCACTTCTTGAATACCGAGCACGTTGTAGCACAGTACTCCTGAAGCTTCTCCTTACCTTAACTGGATTTTATGAAGTTTTGTAATCCAGTATATGTATGGTTATTCACAGTCAATTTGGTTGTTCGGAATATTAACAATATTTTTACTAAAAAAAAAGTTCCTCTCTCTGAAAAGGAACTATGAGATGGATTACCATTTGTAAAATTAAATCCATGCAGGATCTTCTAATTATGTTCCCCAAACGAAGTTTGGAAACATTGTTTTTACGCTTTTTTTTCTTCTTCTTCTTCCTGGGTACTTTTTTTCCGTAAATGTTCTCGGAAACTACTTATCCGATTGAGACTTTTTTTTAGAATTAATAAGCATGTTGTGTAGATTTTCGAAATGAAGGTCATTTTACGCTCACACGCATTCACCTGCTTACTCTTGCAATGAGTGAAATGACTGATAACTTGATATAGCTGTTAGTTAAACATTTCATGATGAAATGCATTGAAACTCAGACTGAAAATAAAATTGAAAATTCAGTTTGAATACCTATAACTTACATAGCTTTCAAGAAAACTTGATGAATTTTAGAATATTGATTCCTACATTATATTCTACTATCGAAATTGAATGCAAGGACAGGCATTTACGTGCGCTGAAATCCGATTGCCTAATACTAGTACTTTATAGGCTGTATCTCTCTTACTATTCAATAAAATACTTTGAAATTTAAGACACTGGTATATAAAACCCCGGAACATTAACTGGCAAAATAAGAAATATGCAGCTTACGTCATTTCCATCTGTAACAGTCAAAACATTTAATGGTAGAAAATGAAAGGATGGGTACAATTCGACACAGACGTTTGAAAAAAAACATTGGATTGAAATTCTAGTTCGAAATTAATTTTCAATCCACATGAGCTATTTTCATGCGCCAAGTGTTAACGTATGATCCAAAAGACAAACAATTCCCAAATACATGAACTTTGAAATTAATGTATATCAGAATTTTCTGTCCAATCACAGGATGAACCTACACAATTCAGTCAACTGAATGGTCACTGAAAGGTTTGGAAATATCACTGAATGGCAAAGCTCTGCCATTCAGTCACCTTTCAGTGGACTTTCAGTCACCTTTCACTTAACTGAATGACAGTTTCATCCTGTGAATATTCTTAAGGACACTCAAAAGTTATAGATTTAGAATACATAGATATATCATTTGATTCTGGGGGATGCAAATTTTGTCAAGTCGGATTATTTATGTTCATACCTAGTATTTATTTCAAATGACAAGAGACTTTTTGATTTTTTTTTTCTTCACGAAAAATGTTTGAAAAGCAAAAACGTTCCGCTTCGCGTCGGGCAATATTTCATCCCTTGGAGGCTAACATATTCAATGTTGCCCTCAACCCCAGTCAATATTTGTATAGTATTTCACTATTGAAAATGTAATAAAATAAAAAAAAATATGTAACTAGGACATACAGGTATACATTAAAAGAACATGTTTATTTCGTATCTTCCCTGAAACTATTTCGGTTTGATTTAAATCTTACTGAATGCTGAATGGAGCTTTGCGAATCAGTGGAAAAAATTTATCAATTTGACAAGATAAGTTAGGAATATGAGATTCAATTTAATTCAGAGATCTCTAATTAAACACACATTATTAATATACGAACAAAAAATTATTCAAACTACTGTTATTCAACATAGTTTTATCAGCAATATATAAACACATAACATTTGAACCTACAGAAATTATAATTATTGTTCTTGAATATCATTGTGTTCATATGATAAATCAGATTTATCAATATAAATGCACAGGGGTTTAATGCAATTTTACTCTCTATACGCGATTTAAACAACCATTGGATGGTTTTTGTATCATCTGTTTTTCCTACACTACAATACACTTGTAATATTTAACAAATTATTGTACACATATAGAGTGTAATAATATGTAACATAATAAATAACCAATAATAGCAATACTGTAGATCTATATATAAGTACATTCTAATAAGTGCTTATTCACACAGAGTCAATGAAAGCCATTTGACTAGTCCTCCTTGTTACGAGCTCCTCCACTGAGGGTGCTCGGATCAGTACACATTGCGTGGTCGTATATATCACGTCTCAGTGTTCCACAAGCCCAGTCCATCAGCATAGTACTGGCTCCAAAATTAACGTTTTTATGTCTACAAAGAACAAACAACTTACTGTGACAAGTTTACGAGAGAACGATCACAGTTTACTTATTATACATCTGCATTCTTCCAAAAAAACCTTTTCAATCTCACTATATAGTACGTCTTTTGACAAACATACTTCGTGGAGAAATACTAAACTTTCCTTAAATTAACAAAATATTCACGTATTACTATTGTTATAAATATCCTTTCTATATTATACGAGAGTTGATCCCAAAATAATGCTACTGTAGTGCTATAAAATGATTTAAAAATAGAAAGTCATCAACAAAACTTAAACCTTTATCTATTTTAATGGTTGCCTAATTCATTCAGTTACGTGTGATGCTTTTTGAAATCTAGAAATGAGCAGAAAGCAAGGTTACGTCCATCGCCGCATGACTATAATGTTACTGACATCTACATGACTTTACTTTTCGAACTCTTTTCAGCTAATCCAGAAATATTTTGAATCTTTCACAAGTATTTTGATTTCCGTTTTTCAGTAATCTTCACTGCCAACTTGCGTCTGAGAATCTGACTTCTTGCGTATTTCATTATTTCCAACTGTTTTAAACTTTATTTCAAATTCATTCCGTTGCGTATATGCTGAACATCAAGAATGTATCACCAAAAGCAAAAGTTACATGTAAAGTGACGTCAAAGGTTGACTATTCCTCCACACACTTTTTTCTTCCTCTCCTCCGTTCATCTTTCGACTTCCTCTTACAAAGGTCTTTCACTTTTTTTAAACATATATTTGATATCTTTATAAAGTTTTTTATGCCCCCGGATCGAAAGATCCCGGGGGTATATTGTTTTTGTCCTGTCTGTCTGTCTGTCTGTTGTCAACTTTATCCTAGCACATAACTATTGCGCTGTCAAGGGTACGGCTTTAATATTTGACATGAGTGTTCATTATGACAAGACCTTTCCTTGGGTACCACCATATATGATCTTTTGACCTTGACCTTGGAGTTTGACCCAGTTTTGCAAAATTTTACCAAACTTTAACCTTGGCCATAACTTTTGAACGGTTGGTGCTAGGGCTTTTATACTTCACATGTGTAATTCTTGTGACAAAACCTTTCTTTGGATACCAACAACTTTGACTCTTTGACCTTGACCTTGGAGTTTGACCCAGTTTTGGAAAACCTTAACCTTTGCAAAAACTTTTGAACAGTTGGTGCTAGGGCTTTCATATTTCACATGTGTAATCCTTGTGACAAGACCTTCCTTTGGATACCAAAAACTTTGACCCTTTGACCTTGACCTTGGAGTTTTACCTACTTTTGGAAAACTTTAACCTTGGCCATAACTTTTGAACGATTGGTGCTTCGGCTTTCATATTTCACCTGTGTATTTCTTGGGAGAAGGCCTTTCCTTTGGCACCATTAATTTTGCCCATTTGACCTTGACCTTGATGTTTGACATACTTTTGAAAAAAAAATAACCTTTTCCATATCTATTCAATGGTTGCTGCTAGGCCTTTCTTTTCACAGGTTTATTCCTCGAGACAAGACCTTACTTTGGGTATCAACATATTTGATTTGCATTTGAGAAAGTTAAACCTTTGCTATAAGTTGCCATACGGGGGCATCAGTGTTTCACAAACACATCTTGTTTTTTTTTATTTTCATTATTTCTTGAAAAAATGTCGAATGTCAAGAAGTGGCGTTTCTCGGGGATTAACATTTTCAACAGAGGCGAGGAAGAAAGTGTCTTGAGGCTCAGTCAATCTTTCAAGTTACTTACCCTTGCATCTAATGCTACATGATACACAGGGGAACGAATTTGAGAGCAATTCAAATAATTCTATAATAAAATAACAAAAAGCAAGAAGAGGCTATAGCGCAGTTTGTTTGTGATTATTAATAGATTTGTAGCTTAACTGAAAATGAGTTCCGAAAAACGTCATCTCCACCACGACAAAGTTGTTGTCGTTATCTGAATCAAATTTATAGGCAGTCAAAATGGATATCGGAATAAGTTAATAAAATTTTGTTGATGGCTTCTATTTTCTATCTTCGAGAAAGCGCTAAGACAACGTTATAGGAGGAACCAATTATTTATTAACGATTTTCATGGCACTTGTAACATTACTTTTAAGATCAACTCTCAACTGTTTTCCACAGGTTGTTAAAAAGATTCTAAAATAATAGTGTATAACACAGCCGGTCTTCGATTTCCCCACACAACACGTGTCCTACATTTGTGCTTAGTTTGGCCTCAATGTTTTCTGATGAAAATGAAATTTAGAATTGAGAATTTAGAAATGATTATATTTATAACACTTCTCTGACCTCTGTGTGCTTTAAGTTTACAGATATTCTTATTTTGAAACAGGCAAAATCATGGTTTCTTGAATATAAACTATTAAATTGTTCGTATATTATCCAATAATTAAGAAAATTAAACCAATGTTTTTTTCACATATAGATTATCAATATGTTTGACATTATTACCCCCCACCCCCACCCCGCGCGCGCTTGAAAACTGGTGGGTATATAGTGATTGAGAGTATGTCCTTACGTCCGTCCGTTACACTCCCTGGGGTAGCCAATGCAATTTTCAGAATCTCATTTACATACCTCAAAGAAATTCACTTTGCCATCATACTCATATGGGAGCTGGGGGTGTCATTTTGTGAGCTCATTGCTCAAAGTACCTCCAATTTTTTTTTTTTACAACAGCATTTTTTTCTCAAAGTTTAAATGTTGAAATGTTTCTAGCTATGGTCTAAAAAATGTATTCATTTGAAATAGCATATTTAATCCTTGTTTTTAATGTTTTGCAAACTTTTTATTATAAAAAAAAAACTTAAAAAAAAAACCCAGTATCAACCATGCATGTGGGATACCTGCTTAGTGAGAGGAGAGAAAGGGAATAACTTACTTTCGATGATTCTGTTGAAAGATATTTTTGTTGGAGTGAAACATTAAATCCGTGTATATGGCATACGTTGAGACCAGTATATATAGAGCTGGAAATGGAATATAAAATGTCATCATGTACAAAGCTTTTATGAACATATTTATATGAAAATGACAATAAATTAAATTTTACATCAATTACTGATTTTACAAAATTTTAGTGATACTAATAATTTAGTGCCCCCACATCACAAAAACAAGAAATCACTAAACAAAAATTAAATCAATATAGCCCCATCCCCATCTCGCCTCCAAAATGGATCCGTTTACAACCTATCCCTTCAGGTTGGAGTATGCATGAAGAAAAAATATGATTTGTATTTTGATTACTGGAATTTTGTACATTTGGTTGATCTTCAACGTTTCTGGTGTTTTGAAATATTTGTGCGAGTTAAATACATGTACTTCTTCGTTGCCCTTTCCAACTGGTCTAACCAATCTGGTTGCTAAATCTACTATGCTCAACAAGTATAATTAACTGAAATCAAGAACAGGCAGACCTCTTATGATGAAGCGCAGCCATTCACCAAGTCTTTCAAATTCGTTAAGGAATAAAATATATTGTCGCAGACTGCAATGTACATTTCATGTACTTACCATTATGGACAGGGAACAGATAAATGGGTAGAACGATCTGTAAAACCAAAAGAACAAGTTCCACAGGATGCATCACATACAGACTCCATGTCGTCTGCTTAGGCCAGTGGCGCCAAAAATGAACAGTTCTATACAACACAGGAGCGTGAAGCGCCCGGTGTCGATAATAAGTCATAACTTCGTGGTAAAGAAATAGCGCTGGAACTGACACAGAAAAGTATATCCAGCCTCGGTTTGAAATATCGTAATACAAGTAGGCATACTCTGTTTAAAAAAGGAAAAAGAAATTTGAGAAAGATACATTATTTTGAAAGGCATTGATAAGTGGCGTGCCTGTAAATGTGAAATTACTTGAAGTACTGTACGTAAATAATAAATGGTAAAAACGATATTCAATCAACAGTTTAGTTTAAATCATTTCAAAATGCATGCTCATTCCTCTTAATTCGATCATGGTGCATACAAGTCAAGCTAAATGTATGTTTAAAGACAAAGAATTCGATTTAACTATGAAAGCTATCTTAATTTTAAAGCATTGAGGAACGGCAAAAATGTTGTATCATACTTGCTACAACTTACTTACGTTTAATTGGAATGTACCACGAAATCAGGGCACAAACAACAGATCCCAATGCAATATTGAAGGAACTGAGAATAACGTCATTGAAGATTGTAGAATCTTCTTCAATGTCCCCAAAACCCTGCAAAAAAGTTAAAAACTTATTTGTGATATGATACAGTCATGCACGAAAAATTATTCAAGACACCGTGTCCTTTAATATGGCATGATCAATTTTAACAATCTCCAAACAACAAATTTACTTCACGGGTCATAGTTGAAGCTGTTCAGATAAGACTGTACAAGATTGAGATATTAGGATAAAAAAAAATTGGGAGCCGGATTCTTCTTTGATATAAAATTACCTTTCTTTGTTTACCACTGTAGAACAGCCAATACCAGAGTCCAGCCAGGATATTGTACACGAAAACCGAGAGAACTGCCGAATAGAGGAGAAACTTTGGCAAACTCTGAACAGGTTTGAGCTCTGGCCACTGTATGTTCGGAATAAACAGGTACTCGTCTATTGAGGAGAGGAGCTTCGTTGTGTTGTCCTTGCTTTGGAAATATCGGATTACATCTAAGATCCATTCTCCTTTTGAGAAGAAACGAGATTGAATTATATGCAAATAAATGTGTCTAGTTGGATTTGCCATTTACTCATGAATTGTATGGAGATAACGAAGATTATTCAAGCTCAAAAGTCCATGAAACAATACAAATTTGGAGCAGAGCAAACACGGACCTCTAAAACATCAGAGGTGGGATCAGGTGCCATGGAGGAGTGAGCAGGTGCCATGGAGGAGTGAGCATCCCCTGCCGACCAGTCACACCCGCCGTGTGCTCCTTGTCATGATCTTTTTTTTTTTTTTTTTTATTGCCTCACCGATATATAAGATTCGATGGATGGCGCCAAGGTTGGGGAGCCCTGGACTCACCAAACTTACAAGCATAAAATATAGCCAATAGTAATGATGACAGTCACATGGCACTATAGTAAATAAACTACCACATATAATGTACTACTAATATAAACACTGTATATTTTAATATTCAACCAGGACAATTTTTCATTGAAAAAAAAATATGTAAACAAATCCTTTCACACCCCATGCATCCAATATGTGTATGTATTTACCAGAAAAGTTATCAAAATAATGAATAACATAATGATTTTAAACAGGTACAATTTTAACCAAAATTAGAAAACAGTGAAGAAAAAAGACCCCATCTCTTTTCAAATGAAGCCAATTCATTTTTCTTTTTATACATAAATTTTTCAATCTTATAATAATGATTGATTTCCTTTTTTGCTCCTTCTATGGTTGGTAGTGACTTACAAATTCTTTTCTTATAAATATGCCTTTTTACTATACATATTAAAAGATTCAAAATAATATATTTACCTTCTCTACCAAATATAACATCAATTATGTTTATTTCAGTATTGTGCTCTGTTTTATAATTGATCCATTCTACTAGTTTACTCCATAATATATCAACATATAAACATTCCCAAAACAAGTGGGTTATAGACTCAGGATGCGTACCACAAAAAGTACACAGATCAGAATGTACGATTCCTATTTTCTTTAAATAAACATTAGTACTCATAATTCTATGTACAATTCGATACTGAAACCATCTAAGTTGTACAACTTCAGTGATACTAAAAATCAGTTTATTATGGGTTTTCCACCACAACTGGTTTACATTCAAATCCAGTACATTTTCCCATTTACTTTCATATTTGGGTTTATCCCATTTAGATGAAATTAAAATGTCATAAAAATCTCTTGATCCCTTTTGACTCTTAAAAATTATTCGGAAAAATTGGGATAATAAGGAGAATTATAAAAAGCATCCTTTTCAGTATAAATTAAATTCAATTTTCTGACAGATCCATTCTCCTTTTGAGAAGAAACGAGATTGAATTATATGCAAATAAATGTGTCTAGTTGGATTTGCCATTTACTCATGAATTGTATGGAGATAACGAAGATTATTCAAGCTCAAAAGTCCATGAAACAATACAAATTTGGAGCAGAGCAAACACGGACCTCTAAAACATCAGAGGTGGGATCAGGTGCCATGGAGGAGTGAGCAGGTGCCATGGAGGAGTGAGCATCTCCTGCCGACCGGTCACACCGGCCGTGTGCTCCTTGTCATGATCTTGTAATAACGGAAAAATCCGTCGAAAATTCAGTGTGTAAATAATGGCCTAACAATTAGTACATGTATATGAAAAACGTCAGTCAGCATTTGACTTGATGATAAATTGTATTTGCTGACAAGGTCATTGTATCGACCATAGAACTTACGAAATGACGACTTTAAACGAGACTGCTGATATTCTTTTTTCATCAACTTGTTTGTCAATAACTTACCTCGTTTTAGAAATTGTTCATACGTAGAGCATGCTCATAGGATGAATTTCTATATTCTGGCAATAGCAACATGGCCGTAGGAACGTGTGTGTGTGTGTGGGGGGGGGGATATTTTTGCCGATATATCGTATACTTTACGGATGTGTCCATTCAATAATTACACCTGATGACCCTTTTTATTCTTGTCATGGAATTCTGGCTTGGTACGTAGCCCCCTCCCCCCCCCCCAAAAAAAAGGAAAATGTTTGGTTGCCGCCCCCTCAACTTCTATTGCTTCCTTCGGGCCTCAGTAAGCAGAAATCAGGGTCGCGTATTATTAAAGAAGTTACAAGAAAGAAAACAATTTATTCTTTTCATTGATTTAAAAATTGTGTGATTTTATTAAGAATAATTCAGTTATGTAACTCTATGTCATTATAACCTCACCAAAATATTAAGTTGACAAGTTTTTACAACTATGTAACATAATTTTAGTAATCTTAGTCATGAGCTCCTTTGTAAAATAGGTCCCAGGGACCTATGCAAAAGTTAGTATAATTTTATATACATTATAAGTCCCTGCATAAATCGATTAAAGAAAGAATAAGTAGTACATAGTACATCAATTTTACCGAGGTGTATGTACATGTAAATGATTTTACTCGCAAGTTAAAACCTGGCTAAAGGTGATGTCGTGTATAGATAGTTTTCAGTAGGCCCAAATTAGCAAGAGTTATTTCCCGTTGGTCGCCATATTGGAGGTCAGCATGCTCATATTCCTTCATTATTCAACCAACTTTGACTTTGTATACTGGCCATTGTGGGGTAAGAAGCATTGTTTTTCTGAAAAATATACATTTGTTAAAGCCTCCTTTATTTCATAATTTTTTTTCTATGAAGATTTTCTCCCAAATATTTCTGCTACACCCTCTTAGATTTGGTAAGACAAAGAGGAAAAATTACCAGGTTGACCACCAAGATGGCGGCCAAGGGAAATAACTCGGAGAAAAAATCTGTCATATGAAAACTATCTATTGTAACTTTTATCATCGACGGTGACATTCAGTAATTGTGAACTGCATTTGTCTATAGATACGTTTGCCGCAGCATATTCCTATTCCTTTTTTTTTTTACAACAGCATTGCATACTGTACATTGATTTTTTGGAGTGGGTAAAAATTAATTAGACTCTGTAGATTCATTAATAATTGAGAGCACCGAGACCAATAAAATCTACAGACATATGTATTGTGTGTATAGAAATCACTGTGCTTACCTCTTGAGGATGCAATAGTGAAAACGAGTATGATGAATCCCAGATTAAGCAGTGTTTGTAAGATGCCCATAAAGAGTCCTTCATCATTTTCCGACGGCGGTTTTTTTCTTTTCCGTCGGACTTTAGTAGCTTTTCTTTCTGGTGGTCGAAGAAAAATCATGTCGGCTACTGCGCTGCTAATGTAAACAACCGCAAAGGGAGGTTACTCTAATTGACATTTTTGGATGATTGCGTTTGATCTGAACAAAAGAGTTATTGACCTATTTTGAACAAGTCATTGAAAGCAGCCATTTAAATCGTTTAAGACGTCTCTTGTCCTTTAAATATGTCTGCTTGAATTTAGTCGTCTGCAATTGGAGCTTCACTGTATTGAACACATCAAAACTTTGAAAGGGGGGGGGGGGGTCAAAGATGTTTCTTCAGTGAAAAACATTGCAAGCAAAGCACTATGTAAAGCTGCATAGTGTAGTGAAAATTCTTCAGCTAAGTATTGTCCACAATCGTCATACTGATTATCTTCGCAAGTGTGGTGTACATGATGCCGAATTTAAAAACTTTAAAAGGTTAAATAATATTTTCTTTATTTTTGAATCGTTATATACATAATTTGTGTAAGTGAATCTTAAAATTTAGAGATTATTTAATAATTAATCCCACTAAGCCAAGGATACTATAATCCAAATTAATATGTCAATTTAACAAAAGGTGCTGCATTCATTTTATTTCAATGTCGACAACAGAGCAACAGCGTAAAACAAAGATGTAAAAATGTATTATGACTAGGTCATGTCAATAAAACATATAACTTAAAACATACCCTAAAAAAAATATTCAGTTCTCAACAAATATAAATTGAACATATTGATCTCTACTCACACCGTATCGAGTAAAACGTTATAATTTATACCGTCATATGTGTGAAGTCAATATAGTTGTTATCATATATATACTTTATTCTCACATCAAGCGTTGGTTTGGGATACCAAACACTGTCATTTGTGTAGAAGAGTATAACATACATGAGGATTTGCGATAAAAACATACATTTTTTAAAAATACACAAGATAAAGATCGTGTAGATGATAAAACAACAGTAAACTTTCGAAATCACAAAGAACAATAAAAAAAAAATTCACATCGAGTGTAACAACTTCAGTGTTGTAAATACACTGTCATCTGTGTCAAGAAGATCAAAACATTACACAATATCATATTTTCTTCTAACATCAGGCGCTGGAGTTGGGGATTCCAATACCGTCATATGTTAGAAAAAAGTGTACATTTGCTTATGCAGTGAAATGTAAAATGTAAATTAGTTAAATGTAAAAATTATAGATTTCCATTGCCACTCACATCAAGCAAAACAATTCGGATATTGTTTTAGCTGTCATTTATACGTGGTCAGTTTATAGATCTTTGAGGTAACAATTAAAATAAAAAAAATACTTAAACAACAAAGCATGAAAAATCTGTCACACTGCGGAATAAACATGAAACATAATCTCTTAATTAAGCAATGAAATCGTAAATCTTAAATCAATATCAGTAAGTGATTTAATTAAATTAATTTGTTAAAAAAACAATCAAAGTTTATTTTCCTTGGAAATACTAGTATGACCCCCTCCCCCCCCCCCCTTTCCCTTTTCAATGACGTTTCCGAATCCACCTCCGATTACATTATCGAAATGTTACCATGTCCTTCGATGACATTAATATTTTTAGATATCGAAGGGATAATGATATTTGTTTAGCCTAAATTTCTTATCAGTAACAAGTATACATGCACGTAAACAATCCTCTTATTTAATAATATTGATGAAATGAATGAAGGTAAATAAAATCACGCTTGCCATTTATGTGAAAGAGATAAAAGAGTCCTATGGGCCTACATTCTGACTTTAGTTTGTTTCTTATTCATGCCATCTTGTGTTACTTTTAATTAACCCTTTTTAGGAGTGTCTGATGTTCAGGGAAGAGGGCCTTCCTAGAATACTAGTCAGATTTTAGCTCCTGTCTTCCACGTCCTCCAAAAATATCCTCTCCATAAACACGATCCTCTTTCCTCAGAGTGTCATGAAACCAGTCGAAAAAGTACGTGTTGAAGCCGAAATTGACGTGAAAATACCTGTAAAATATAGCAACGTTAAAATACACATTACAATATACATGTTCAACGATATGTTAAGACTTTTGGATATGGCTAACAAACACAGATATGACCGAAGCTTAACAGTATAAATATTGTAAAAATGTGGTAAACTCTTTATTATTCCCAGTGTTAACACTTGCTCTGATATAAATTTACCGCAAATGTCACTGTTTGTCAGCAGACGGCACTGTTTGAGAGCTTGGTGTGACGTGAGTATGATTATGTCAAGGTCCACCGAAAGTCCAAACTAACGATGAAGTTGTAATCTTACTTGTGATGGTTGTCGTGAAAATATGAGTGTGGCTGCCACGGCCAAATGGCCCCCATCTTAATCCCGGAATGGTCACAGAGTCCGTAATAGTATGAGTACAGCAACACGAACAAGAATGGAACTGAAAATCATGCAGAAGAAACAATTACACAGTAGTTTATTCAATTTAATGCCGGCTGATAACTAAAACTTGACTGCTTATTATATTTTAGCAATATATTGGGTCATATATATTGTTTTTCAGGCGTGTTATCAATTCATTCCTTGTAGGGTTTCATTTAAGGTTCATCGACACTCTGATAAGAGAGATAACTCTTAGTAACATAAATGTCTATTATTTCTTTATAAATTTGTCAAGTTGAAGTGTCTTTTTATCCAATTTTGCCCCGCAAGCTATGCTATAATTGTTTGAATACATTTCTTTTGGAAAATCATAGGACCTGAAGAAACATTTTATATGAGTGAGCAGAGGGTTTATGAACCTTAAAATACATTTGACACTTATAATTAATTGTCTGGCCCTCAGCGTTCGGCCAGCCAGTTCTTTGAAATTCCAGTTCTTTGAAATTCCAGCGACTTCTTTTACTTTCGAAAAAAAAATGTATATGGCGGTTTGTGGATCAAAGCTTCTATTGTTCTAAAGCGATAGTTATGTTGAAATGACAGAAGTGTCGGTACTCACAGGCATGAATAGGGATCAAAAATGGCGTCGCAGCAAGGTAGCCCTGATACATGAGGAACTCCGCGGGGTGCATGGCGACAGCACTCCACGCAGTCGGCTGGTGATAGCGGTGGTGCATCTTGTGGATCTTTTTATACAGCCAGGGTCTGTGGAAGAGACGGTGGAGGTAGTACGCCATCGTTTCGTTATACACAAAGAATCCCACAAGAGAAGCAATGAAGTACGCCCAGCCTCGTTCTGATATATTGTAGTACATCTTACAGTATCCTGAAATTGAAAGAGAAAGTGAACATGTGAAGTACATGTGTTACACATATTGTAAACATTAATGCCTGATTTGGCCAAATTTTTACTGATTTCATACCATACATTGTTGTTAAAAGTGGTTATGTGTTGTAAATAGTGAGGCCACGCTCCCCCTAGGACTAGCTAGTGAGCTAACCCTTTGGCTCAGTCGGTAGTGCGTTCGATTTTAAATCTGAGGGATGTAGGTTCAAGCCACACTGTAGACAATCCTAGCTAATCGGTCATATTGTATTTGATATACTAATACAAAAAAACTGAGATTCAAGAAACCATTCGCTTTCAGAAACCGTAAAAAAGACATGAAGTGTTATTGTCATACTGTACCTCCATTCATTATAAAACAGGCGATGATCCCAGAGCACACGGACCCGATCAACATGTTCATCGACCCCAGCAGAATTTCGTGTCTCTCATTTTCTGGCGTCAGAAACTTGTCAGGCTGACATTTCCATTCCTTGGCCTAAAACCAAAAAGTCTACTTATTTTATCATGAGGAAAATGGTCTAAATGTACATTATGTTTTTCTTTAAAACATTGATTGATATCTTCACAACCTTTTGAAACCTCATCTTATGGAAAGACAGACAAAGACAAAAATAGGCTTCATTACAACTTTGGTGGCTGAGGATAGTACCTTTAATGGATGCAGCAATATCAAAATGACAAGCATAACTTCATGATTAATAAAAGTTCTACCAAGTCATTTGTCTTGCTAAATAATGTAAATGTAAATATATAGTAGCTGTGGCTATACTGCCATAAAGGCATTTATGGTAAAATGATTTAAATCGTTACGAAATATGATCAATAACTTTCATAAGTGCATTTCCATCGTAAGAGAAAATACTTCATTAATTTTCATTTATTTTCACTTCTTATCCAAAGTCCTGAAGATTCTGATAAAAATGGAATTTTAAAAACCAAAGATCTCAGGGTATACATTAATGCATACCGGTGTTATTTAAACGATATTTACAAATCGATTTGTAGGGAGTTAAAGTCATTTCATTGACCTGCAGTTTTAAAGAAGTTTCTAATAATATGAATCCTACTTATTTGACCGAATCTACAATTCGTTAAAAAGCCAAACCACTTGAAGTGCCTCACTTTCAAATTGTATTTTACAAGCTGTGATTATTGTATATTATAATTAGTTTTTGTTTTGTTGTAGTTGTTGTTTTTTTTTTTTTTTTTTTATTTAAATATGAACACTTAGCTGATTCCATATAGAACAAATCTTTTTGATACCTTTTGCAAATTTAATTAAATTCCTGTTTTTATCTTTTTTTTTCATACCGCAAGAAATTTCAGGCAAAAATGTTTGATCCGTACCAAATGTCGTCTATTGACGTAATAGTAATAGTGCCATCCGTATGCCAGTCCGTAGTACATAAGAAAAGATATGGACACTGCCATCAGCACGAACCAGTGGACGTTCTGCAGCTTCAGGGATTCCAGAAGAGGCTGTGAGGGGCCTGTGATATTGTGGTCACCGCTGGGTATTTGAACACCTTGCCTTCCCATCATGCTCTGCAGCTGGTCCCTGAACATGTACACGATAACTAGCAACCATTCTCCTAAAAATAGAAATTTGTGTTGGAGAAATCTCGTTCCTTTCCGTACCCATGGTGAAGTACACCAGGAATTTTTTTTTAATATATCAAATCAACATCTTAAAAAATATACATGTTTTATGGGCAAGTTTTTTGTCAGATTCTAAGTTTAACCCTTACATGTGCATGTTAAGCTATTAGTATTTACATGTACTTTCTAGAAGGATTACTTATACATGTAGTGCTTCAAATGCTTGTGTTACGTATTGAGTTCTTTAAAAAATTTAAACCGTAGTCTATTGAAGTTATTATTTAAATTGATTCTAGAAACCCCATTTAGATCTAATACTGAAATTAATGCACTTCTCAGCATGCAACATTGTGCAAATGACGATAATTCAAACATTATACATGTACTTCAATTTCTTATGCCTAACATTGTGTTAAACTGAAGTAAAATATTACAAAGAAATATAATTTCGCTTTCAATGTTAAATAGGAACATATAAAAAAAAATGTGTAAAACATGTAAATTTCTCATCTATATAGCTTGCAATATTGAATTATTCATGAATGTGTAAATATAGGCTGCTGTCAAAACCGTTAATTAATTTTTTCTTTATTCATTTCTGCTTGAGACAGGGGGTATAGGGGTAAACAATTAAGATATCATGCAGTCAATACATTTATTTAGAAAATAATACTCTTAAATGCGAGTAAAGTAAATATGAATATAAAATGTATTGAACACTCAAGATTGATGCAAGAATTTCAGTGAGTGAATCGATAAGTAAAATGTCCAAAGCTTTGTCGCATAACTTTGTTACCCTGATTTTTTTGCAACAGAAGTATTGTCGTACGAATAACTACTAATATTGAATGAGTAAACTGTATAAATTACTAAATATTTATTCGTATATATGTATGCAAATGTGTATAGGGGCCATTATAAAAATGAATATTACTATAATTTTAAAATACTCTAACATGTATTAATAAAAACATTTGTAATACTAAACAAAATATATGTATACACACCTCTGGTAGCAGTTGCCAAAAAGAAAACAATAAGCATAAACGCAAATTTGGAGAGAGCATCCTGGTGATTTTCTCCTATTAGCCCCATCTTTATCAGCCGGTGAAACCGCGACTACCGTTTTTCTCTTAAATTCCAAATTAGTAAAAATCTCTCTCCTCTCAAAATGTGAAACAAAACAAGCCTCTGAATGACATCACGTAGCTTTCACTCATTCTACCCTTTCTAGAACCCAGCGGGTCGAAAACTGGACCACACTACAGTCTTACTGATAGGTTTGTAACATAGTTGTGGTCTTAACTAATGAGGCGAAATAAGGGGAAAATGCATGTATACACGTATGATGATAGAATTTTTTCTCCAAAAGTTTCGCCTGCGTTAACATGATTAACACACTGTCTTTAATGATTTGCATCGACTGACAATATTTTACTCAGTTTCGATGAAATAAATGTACATAGATATGCTCTCTATATAAATATCTTTCTTTCTTTCTTTTTTTTTTAAAAAAAATCTTTCTAATGCGGTCAGATATTCGTAAATGTAAGCTTTATCAAGTTCTATTGATTATATATATCCTATTTTAAAATTACAATTAAAATGCATTCATCGCAGGGAGTACGCCGATTTGATATGGGTTAATTCAATCTGATTGCATGACCTACAAATGTGGAACGATACACACAGTGTGTCCAAACTGATCGGATTAAAGTTTTCAACATGTATAGCACTATTTTAAAGTTTAAAGACCACGCGGTCTGTTATGTTATTTGTAATTTCAAAAAAAAAAAAAACAGGGTGGTTTGTGAGATTTTTATCATTTTCTTTTCTTTTCTTTTTTTTTTTAAATTCAAACTGCACTACTTACAATAAAACAAAACAAAGGTTTTAAATTTTTGAAGTTTTAATGACACACATTATTTGATATAAATGAACAGATCTTTAACTTTGGACCAAATCTATAAATATCTGAACAATAGAAATGCACGATAGATTATCCAAACCACTGAAAAGATCGTTTATCTATATTTGAATTCAAATAATTTTTTGAAATTCAGTTTCTTTCTCATTAATAAAAATTATCCTTCATCCTTAGTTGGTAAATAAAGAAATTAAATTGAATTAAATTGAATTATATTGGGAGTCTGAAATAAGGCGATCGGCTATGTAGCATTGACATTTTGACCCAAAGAATTGTTTGCATTTAAAAAAAAACAACTTTTATTAATGTTTCATATTTTCATGCTAAAAATAAACATGTATAATGGTACATGCTTTGGTTGCTTTTTTAAAAAACAAAAAAAACAAAAACAAAAAACAAAACAAACAAACAAACAATTTATTAGGTGTTTTAATGATTTTTTCCATCCCCATCAAAAATAATTTTATCGAAACTTAACAGTTAAAATACAGGGGACATGCAAAAGGCTTGACAACTTACCATTGATATACATTGATTTGTATTCAGAAATACATGTACATATATTCGCGAGAGAGAGAGAACCTGGAAGTTTTCTTCAAAATGCAGACAAATTTAAAAATAAACTCTATGAAATAGATTTAAAAATCAAACAGAAAAATCACAGACATTTTTTATTGTTGGCTTTATATACGAGTTTTTTTTTTATTTTTATGCAGAAAAATCTTTTTTTACAGTCTATCAAATATATATGTGTGTGTCATAATTGATTAAGTTGGACTTTAAATTCCGAACTTGCTGAATATGTGTGAATATAAAATTCAATTCCGATATGAGATAATTTTGAATTATTATTCAAAATTTACAGTATACGACACGTAAGAACTATATACTAGTCTAGTAATTTTTCTCACACTCTGTGTACTGAAAGAGAGTTTCAAGAAGTTATATATATATATATATATATATATATATATATATATATATATATATATATATATATATATATATATATAATATTAAGTAATAACAAAGTTGTGATAGTTGACGTGATCATTCACCTTTATTCACAGGCACCTGAAGCGTGGACCCCCCCCCCCCCTAACTAATTAAATATCAGGAGTCTTTATTTTCTCGAAAATAGTATAAAAATTGTGATTACATTTTTATTTGTATTGTATATGGCCAATATTTAAACCTTATCAAAAGTAGAAACCAACTGCACAGAATGATATACAGATAGAATTGAGGGAGAAATCACATATTTTCGAGAAAATAAAGACTCATTATATTTTATTAGTTGGGGGGGGGGGGGGTTCCACTCTTCAGTGCTTTATTTGGGTTCAACGGATCCAATTTACCATTTACATGCAAATATTTTGTTATATATATTATTTTTATAATAATCAATTTATGTTGGGAAGTAAATGAGCATTTACAAGTAGTTTGACTTGTTCCATTGTGACAGGTTATTGAACATTAGAATTGTGTCTTCTGTTTATCACATGGAAGTGTACTAGTACATAAGTTATACACGGTCAGGATTTGACACTTGATTTTGACAATGATGAACTATGTAAGCGTGATATCGATGAGTATTTTCCAAAAAAAAAAAAAAAAGGCGGGGGTGGGGGATAAACATCTTTCACTGTATATCACCGATCTTATAAGCATTTGTACTTATATTGTGCATAAGTTAGAGAAATAGTAGAAATATTTCACATATTTACTATAATTTATCTTCGATTCTGAGGTTTGACGCATACAGTATTACGATAGACAAACACTTAATATGTGATAACGTAAAGATTAAACACAAGATAGCAAATAGGCCATTTGTGAATTTGAAACCGGCCATAAGATTGTCGACGTCTGCAAATTAGCACAAAAATTAAAGACATTGTTAGGTTTCTAAGATATTGTTTGCCTTGTATAGCGCAAACAGTTTGAAGGCTGGTCTAGACTGGAAACATGGCTGGAATATCCACAGTCTCATTTTCTAACGAGAAAAGTTCGTAAGTAATAAAATAAACAATCTTTTCTTTGGAAGTCCTTCTTTTATTGTTTTAGATATTGTCTTTATCAAGACTTAATATGTATTCATATTGACAAATATGCCCCTGTCGCTAATTAAGTCAGTACAGTTTTAACCGAGACGCATTTCTATGTCAAACAAATCAAATACATGTATTTGACAAAAGCTAGCTATTTCATAGGTCGGCATGTTAAAAGTTTCACTTAGTGAAGATATGTTTTATTTAAATACTTGTTTGGTTTGATTTGGTCGTTCTGCGGTTGGTTAAGCATTTGTAGCATTTCATTTATTTAAACTTATTTCATTCTGCTCATTATATTATTTTATGTGCATTACATTTTGATCGGTGATTAGACTAGTCCATGTTTGCATATCGTGAACAATACCCGATAAGTTGCCGGTTATTCACCAAAAAGTTCAAAACTTATCCTTGTTTGGCTGGAAGACATTAGGGCTGTGGACGATGCAACATTTTCTATATCGATACGTATCACGATATTTGAGCCACGATACGATATGTATCACGATATGTTGAATTAGTTATAAAAAAAAAATTTGTATCGAAATGAACAAAACATTTCTTCACAAATAAGAATAATTTATTCAAAGAAGTTGTATATCTGTTGTAAAACAAAATCATTTTACACAAGTGGTGTTTATTATTATGTATTTCATATTCATATTTATATTTTGCATATTTATTTTATATTTAACCCAAAATGTTAAGTAAACAAAGAAAAAAAATAAAAGTCAGATTTTTTTTGCGATATTTCGATATTTTTTAATAGGTATCGATATGCGTATCATCCTCACATTGAATCGATATTATCGATATCTCGATATATCTTCCCAGCCCTAGAAGACATTGTCTCCATATAGCCATATATTCCGTCTTTTGTTAATAGCCTCAGTTTTTCTTAGATCCTTGTTTCTTAAAAATTGTGTATTATTAACAGCTCACCAGAAAGCATCGATGTCAAACTCTCAGACAATGACAACAACACCACCAGTGGTTCCCCTTTCCGGGGAATGGGAAAAGAAGAGCTCTTGCAATACTCTTCCAAACCCTTCTGGAGACGACTGCGCATGATCTGTATCTCCATCATACTTCTGGGATGGTTGGCGCTGATCATTACGGTGGTGGCTCTGGTGTTGATCTACCCGAAGTGTAAATCTCCAGATTCCAGGACCTGGTGGCAAAACGAGGTCGTATACAGGATATACGTCCGCAGTTTCAAGGACAGTAACGGGGACGGGGTCGGTGATTTGGATGGTAAAGAATTATATGGAGTAAATCCAAAATGAAAAAGTATTGATACAGCAAACAAAACCATCATCTCTTTTAAGACAAGTCATCTTTGAATTTTTTTCGACATGAAGAATATTTTGTCATAGAATTATGTGCATAAGTATGCATAAATATTTTTTTTTTAATTTCAAAACAACATTGTTTATAAAACATTAGTCATCTTATGAAATTTTAGGTTAAAGTGATATTCCTTTTTATTTTAGGTAAAACAAAAAAAATGTTACTTATAATTTTAGCTTTTTTTTATCAATTTGAATCAATTATGCATTTTCTGCAGGTGTGACGTCCAAGTTGGACTACATTAAAGATCTGGGTGCTGGCGTCATTTCTTTAAGTCCGACTTATGAAGACGACGGAAGTGATGGAGATTTTCATTTGACCAATCACATGAAGATCGATAATGCCATTGGTGGAGAGCAAGGTCTACAAACACTGATCACTAAAGCTCATGAGAAAGGTACCAATGTTGTTGCGTTACGGAAATGTCAACAGCTTTAAGTTTCTATTCAGATAAAGGCAATCCTTATAGCACTCACAAAAAATATTTAAAAATGACTAAACAAAACATTTCCAATATACTTGCGAATTTAGCTCGCAATTATATGAAGGAAATGGAAAAGATTAATAGAAGTTTAATCTCTTTGTTTGCTGTGATACGAATCAGCAGCTGCATTATTGAATTAATCCGATTCCAGACCCCACAAGGCGACAAGTGTTAAATCGAATGTCATTCGGGGAAGTTTTATTTTTGGTATCTTTTTTCAATTTTTAGGATTGAAAGTCTTATTGGATTTTATCCCAACCCACACCAGTGATCAGAGTGATTGGTTCAAGTGGAGCGAAGCAGCTAGATTTAGAAATGATTCGTACCTAAACTTCTATGTATGGACGAACACACCAACCAACTGGGTAAGTAGTGGAAGGGCATTGTAATTTTTTTCAAACCTGTCGAGCCTAACTTCAAATAATGGAACATTGTTTCATGTAAACTGAAAACTGCAATTTCAATTTTTGCAGCATTTCTTAAATTATGATGTTTTTAAAAGTTAATCGCATTTCCAACAAAGAAATTGGGATCATTTCACAACACTTTATAAAAAGTTAAAAAAAAGAAGAAGAAGAAAACAGAATACATGTACATGTATTTAACAATCCTTCTTAACACAGAAATCCATGTATGGTGGCGATGCGTGGAACGAGTCCTCTGTTAGAACAGGGGAATATTATCTCCATCAGTTCCTCCATAATCAACCTGATCTTAATCTGCGCAGTCCACAGGTCAAAGAAAAACTCAATGTACGTCTGTTGCACAACAAGACTTGTTTACAGGACGATCTTAATTTAAAAAAAAAAATCATAAAAACAACTCAGATTTTTTAAAAGCATAAATTGATTTTTAATTTAGGAAATCTTGGAGTATTGGTTGAACAAGTCTGTGGATGGGTTTTACATCAGAAACAGTGCATTTATGTTTGAGGATTATGACCTACGTGATGAACCCAAATTGTCGTCTGCCACTGGTGACGTAAGTGTCTCACTTGTGACTAGCTACAAAAAAATTACGAATTTTGAAGACGGGTATTTAGATTCAGAGAATTTTTCTAGTATTTTCTAATTTTATATGAAGATTAATGTACTAATAATTAATTTTCAATTTCTTATAGGAATACAAGGACTACGACCATATATACACGAAGAACCTACCAGAAATATACGATATGTTTGCAAGATGGCGCACAACAGTCGATAAACACATGAATAGGTAGCATACAAAAACCCCAGTAACACATAATGTTGCTTTTTCCTACTGAAATCATACAATTGCTTGAAAAATCATGACTGAGTCTGTGAGAGGTCTGTTTTTTCTTTCGTTTTCTTCACAGGGTTCTCATGGCAGACCCCGATCCCAATTCCGCTGTTACAGAAATGATGAAATATTACGGCCATTTCCAGAGAGATGGTGTTCATCTCCCCCTCAGAAGAAGGCCATTCGCCTCTAATTGCAATGGCCGGTGTGTTGGCAACTACGTCAATGAATGGATGAACAACCTACCTTCGGGTCGTTGGCCCACCTGGTCGGTATGTACAGTATAAATAAGAGTCTGCAAGTTATGCTGGCGCAAGATTTTTTTCGGAAAAAAAAAGAAAGAAAAGGTATTGTGTGATTTTTTTATTTTTATTTTTTTTTTTTTGGTAGTTTGGTGACGAAAGTGTAAAACGACTGGCATCCAATCACAACGAAAGTTTTATTCGCGCCTTTGCCATGCTGACGATGCTCTTGCCCGGAACTCCTGTCCTATACTATGGCGATGAAATCAACATGATGGACGTGGCAGAACCAACTTCATCAACTTCGCGGAAACATCCATCTAGGGGACTAATGCAGTGGGATAACACACGTAATGCTGGATTCAGTAATTCATCTTCACCTTGGATAGCAACAAGTACAGACTACCAAATTAATAATGTTAAGGTATTTAAAGGAACCCTGAATTTCTTTCCGCCACAACTGGTTTTCTTAGTGAAAAATCTAATGTAGCCATTGCGCAATACCGTGTGTATAATCTTTGTTTTACAGAATCAGAGTTCAAAGGGCGACTCTCTTCTCTCATTTTTCAAAAATCTTACCATTCTTAGAAGAGAAGATAGTTTCCGTATCGGGGAGTACCACTCAGCACTTGTTGATAACAGTGTCTTCTCGTTTGTCCGAGAATTCGATGGAAAAAAAGGGTAAGACCGGTACCACAGATGCTTATTTACATACTTAAGAAACTATAACTTTGCAATTGTTGATGTATGGTGACTAATTTTTAGCTCACCTGAGCCGAAGGCTCAAGTGAGCTTTTCTGATCACATTTTGTCTGTAGTCCGTCTGTCCGTCTGTCCGTCTGTCTGTCCGTCTGTCCGTCTGTAAACTTTTCACATTTTCGACTTCTTCTCAAGAACCACTGGGCCAATTTCAACCAAACTTGCCACAAAGTATCCTTGGGTATAGGGGAATCAAGTTTCTTCAAATGAAGGGCCACGCCCTCTTCCAAGGGGAGATAATTAAGAATTCGTGAAAAATTAATGGCATCATTAAAAAATCTTCTTCTCAAGAACCACTGTGCTTGAAAACATGAAACTTATGTGGAAGCATCCTCAGGTAGTGTAGATTCAAATTTGTTCAAATCATGACCCCCGGGGGTAGGGTGGGGCCGCAATGGGCGATCAAAGTTTTACATAGGAAATATACAGGAAAAATCTTTAAAAATCTTCTTCTCAAGAACAGCAAAGCCATACTTGGTCATATTTATATGGTAGCATCCTCAGATAGTGTACATTCAAGTTTGTTCAAATCATGACCCCCGGGGGTCGGGTGGGGCCACAATGGGCCATCAAAGTTTTACATAGGAATATATAGGAAAAATCTTCAAAAATCTTCTTCTCAAAAACAGCAAAGCCATGATTGGTCATATTTACTTGGAAGCATCCTCAGGTAGTGTAGATTCAAGTTTGTTCAAATCATGACCCCCGGGGGTAGGGTGGGGCCACAATGGGCGATCAAAGTTTTACATAGGAATATATAGGAAAAATCTTTAAAAATCTTCTTCTCAAGAATAGCAAAGCCATGATTGGTCATATTTACATGGAAGCATCCTCAGGTAGTGTAGATTCAAATTTGTTCAAATCATGACCCCCGGGGGTCGGGTGGGGCCACAATCGGCGAACAAAGTTTTGCATAGGAATATATAGGAAAAATCTTTAAAAATCTTCTTCTCAAGAACAGCAAAGCCATGATTGGTCATATTTACATGGAAGCATCCTCTGATAGTGTAGATTCAAATTTATTCAACTCATGACCCCCGGGGGTCGGGTGGGGCCACAATGGGCGATCAAAGTTTTACATAGGAACACATAGTAAAAATTCTAAAAAAATAACAATTTGTTAAGAATAGCAAAGCCATGATTGGTCATATTTATATGGTAGCATCCTCAGATAGTGTACATACAAATTTGTTCGAATCATGACCCCCGGGGGTCGGGTGGGGCCACAATGGGCGATCAAAGTTTTACATTGGAACACATAGTAAAAATCTTTAAAAAAAACTATTTGTTAAGAATAGCAAAGCCATGATTGGTCATATTCATATGGAAGCATTCTTAGATAGTGTAAATTCAAGTTTGTTCAAACATGACCCCTGGGGGTCGAGTGGGGCCACAATGGGTGATCAAAGTTTTACATAGGAATACATAGGTTAAATCTGTAAAAATCTTCTACTCAAGAACAGCAAAGCCATGATTGGTCATATTTAAATGGAAGCATCCTCAGATAATGTAGATTCAAATTTGTTCAATTCCTGACACCCCCCCCCCCCCAATCACTTTTATATTTAAACTTTTCAACCTTTCAAGATTGAAGTGATTTCTGCTTTTTCCTAGCCATAGTGCTCAGGTGAGCGATGTGGCCCCTGGGCCTCTTGTTTTTAAATGAAATTGATGTTGTTATAATTTGTTTGCAGATACTTGGTTGCAATTAATTTTGCGGAAACTGCACAAAAACGTGACTATACTTCATCTCACAGCACCATACAAACAAAGGCATCTTTTGATTTGACGACGGGTGGATCAGAAAGTTTTGATGCTGACACCGATGTAGACCCGAGCAGTCTCACCCTTGGACCGATGCAAGGAGTAGTAGTTTCGTGGGATTATGTTGCTAAAGAACTTTGAAACCCGCGACTTTCGTTTTTAATTTTAACCAAGAATATAATATATATTTTTGAATATTGTAAGCAAGAATACGAATGTCGAAAGCAATACACGATCGCTTCCCTTCCTAAATCTGAAATTAAAATACATCCTTGAAATATGCAGACTGATTTCTCATGACAATATCTTGTCAATAAATTTTAAAACATGTACACGTGTATTCAGTTTTCGTATAGAGTGCACAATGATATCAAGAGAAAGAACTCCAGTTACTGTCGGTAATATAATTGGAAACACCGCACATTTAGTGCTCGATTAATGTTGTTAATCACTACACTGATCGTTTGCATATTCAATTCGAAGAGTGCTAGTACCCATTGAAAATTTTATTTTGTTTTAATAAACGTTCTGTATAAGCGTCCGTTGGACGTCCCGATCCATAGTTTGTTATCATCAACGCACAGTGACCAAGGGGAGAAAAATCTCTCCATGTCGTTCTCGATGAAACGAATGAATTTTCCACTTGTGTCCACAACGTGTATGACGTTATTCCTAGCATCCGAAACGTAAACATTACTATCTTTATCACATGCAAGACCCTGAGCTGCCATAAGTCTTGGATACTTTGGAGAAACATGTCCTCTATAGGAACAAATCTCTTCGCCGTCTTTCTTCATCCAGACCACTCTGTCATCGAGGTCAATAAAATCAATGACTACGATGTCCCCCTTGCTATTCTCTACTGCTCTATAGGGTCTGTTTAACGTTCGTTTTCCTTGGAAATATTCCACTTTCTTCAGAACTCGTCCACTGAAGGACAAAATGTAAACAGCACGTGTACTGTCTTCTGTTGCTTCTAACTCATCACCCTCGACGACAGACACTAGAATTGATCCATTCGACGTCTTCCACAAACTGACTGGATATAAAGGGGATAAATCTGTGAACGTCGCCATTTTACCATGGTGGTTGACGATTTTGATAGCACCCGTATTCACAAAAGTAACCAAAGTGCTCTTGTTGTCGTAACAGCAAATATCGGTGACGTATTTGTCAAACTCAATAGGTTCCTTCACATCTAGTTTTCTTCCTTGTTTGATACAGATCTTTAGAATCCCTTTTGCTGTACGCGGATCTCGGACGGTTATAGATTGGTCAGAACCGATAGAAAGACAACTAATTCCGACTTTGCACAAGTTGTACCTATCCATCTCGTCGTTTGGAATCTTTATTTGGTTGCTTTTTGGTCTGATTGGTTCCTCTATTGCTTCGTCTTTCTCGTCCTCATCTTTGACGATGCTTGTACATATCATTTTGCTAAGAAGGGATCTGTTAATTTGACCTTTTTCAAATTCAATCGGATAAATGTTCGGCTCCTTTGGTAACACCATTCCTTCATTTAAATGAGTCATTCTCTCTTTAGCTTGATACAACTGATAAACAGATGCATCCACGTTGTTTTCACAGAGTGAGATAGCTTCATTAACAACGTTCAGTGCTTCATTGATCTCCTTTTCAGTTTTGCTTAATTCAGATTCGTTTTTGGTATGAATACTCTTAAAGTCATCAGCAATCCTGTCTGCTTCGCTTCTGACATCTACAATGAGCTTTTCAACGTGTTCGTTCAATTCATCATAGGCATAATTCAGTCCCATTTCTGAAGATTTTCTCTTTGACATACAGTTTTGGAGTAATGCCTTCAACTCTAGGATGTGGGTTTTCTTAACTTCCGAAACCTCTTGTACTAACCTGTGTTTTTCGGATTTTATATAGTGTTCCAGTTTTATTAACTCGTGCGTTTTATGAGTACCCAGAATACAGTCACTACATATTGGTTTTGAGCACGTGTTGCAGTGAAAAATCAGAAATTCTTCGTGTTCCTTGCAGGTTTCTCGAATTCTTGATACTGATAACGAACTTCCAACACTAGGTGAACGATTTGAGGGTCCCGGAGATAACTTTTTCGCGGTTGGTCGCTTTGTTGTCAAGTCACTAGAACTTTTACTGAAGGTTTTTACTTCAACAACAGTGTGAGCTTTTGTTGATTTGTTCTTTGAGTGTACAAATTTACAGTTGTAACACAATATCTTTTTGCAGTTGGTACAATTCCATCTCATATTCGTTTTGCGATGACAGTTTTCACAATGTCGAGGTGTCTTAATGTCGTCCAAAGATCCTTTCTCTGCTATCAGGCCATCTTGTGAATCCATATTGATAAAGATTACGAGTTCTTTTTGACAATAGAGTTACCATTTACCCTTTTATATTTTATAATCTAGTGACAGTATTCTCATGTTTACATGCGTCACTAGTTAGTTACTGGTATTTGGTTTCCTAAGGCTTTTCTTTTCATTTAGAGACCTCTCTGATTTCTTTGTTTTAAAGCACTGTTCGAATCGGTGGTTATACTATCGGAAAAGAAAGCAAAACTTATTCAGCCTTTTTTTTTTATTATTTCAACTTACATTAACTATAGTGTATAGAATATGGCAGGGAAAATTCCAAAGTCCATCAATACTAAATCGCTAGTCTGTAAATGTGACTTGTGCTTAAGATTTCATAATATAAATTTAAGCTGGACATGTTTAGACTGTGAAGAAACGTTGTGCGACGTATGTAAAGCAACACATCAAAGAGGAAAAGCAACGAAAACGCACAAAATTTTGACAACCAAAGACTTCAGAGATGCACAGGAGCGTGGGTTGAAAATAAACGCGGGAAAGAAAAAAAGAGATGGACTATGTGATCAACATGAAGAAGAAGCATACCAGTTTCACTGCAGTACATGCTACAAACCTATCTGTGCAAGATGTGTGGTTGGGCCGCATAAACTTCATGACTTTATAAAACTAGAAGATTTCATAGAAAAGGGGAAAGAAAAAATACTCAATGATATTCTTTCTCTAAAGGAAGAAACCATACCGCTGTTGAAGGAGAATTCCGGTATCTGCACGCAGAAGCAGGGAGAATCTGAAAGGGAATTGACAGATGCTCTCGTTACTTTGAACGACATTTCAAACAAAATTGAAAAAGAAGTCAGTAGAATAAGAGAAAAAATAGAAATTGAATTGAAATCTGTTCACAGTCAAAACGAAACTAACATTATGAACTCAAAGCGTTCTTTCGACTCTGTCACCAAAGCTGTACTGAATGCTGTGAAAAAGTGCGAGGATAGTCCAAAGGGATCTTTCAAGTACATCTACGAATCTAACGAGAGACTGGAAAATGTTTGGACTTTGCTAAAAACTCCCATACTGCCGCATGTCATACAAATCACCTTTTTCAAAGGCGAGGTAGATTCTAAAGCATTGCAGAAAATGGTTGGTATGAGTTCAAAGACCTATGAGACAGAAGTTTTGGAAATGACAAAAACGCAAGAAAAGAGATTAGGAATTTTTAGTAAATTCAAGCTCTGTCAAACAGGGATAAGTGCCATTTCACTTTTAAATGACAACATGGCGATGATTCGTGAGCCTGGAACCGCTAGGGGTATCCAACGCCTGAAAATTAAAGATGACCTGAGTCATGACGTCTCTGAGCCCATCTCTTTGCCACAAGTTGTGAATGATTTATGCTCTTTTAACCATAAGGTAACACTCGTCACTTTTGAAGGAAAAACATGTATTGAAATGGTTTATTCTGATGGAAAAACTACAACGTTTGCAGATTTGACTCCTTTGTTTCCTATTGGTCTCTGTAAATCTCCAAGTGGAGAAATCCTTGTCACCGTCGTGGATAGTGACGAAAGAAAAATCACTGAAAAGAGCGTACGCGCAATTTTTACGTTATCTTATTCTGGTCGCGTTCTCAAGAAAATCGAGTCCTACAAAGGCAACAGGATTTTTACATGGCCATACAAAGTCATAGAAAATCATCTTTATGGAGATCTCTTGGTCATTGATTTAATGGAGTTAACAGATCGCATTGTCTGCGTGAATCGTGATGGTAAAGAAATTTTCTCGTACTCTGGAAACATTTGTCCAAAGTATCCAAGGTTAATGGCTGCCCAAGGTCTTGCGTATGACAAGCAAAGTAATGTGTATATATCTGATGCTAGAAATTGTGTTATACACGTTATAAGTCCAGATGGAAATTTTCTAAGATTTGTGGAAAATAATATTGAACGCTTCTATTCGCCCTGGGCTTTGGCAGTGGATAAGAACCGCCTTTGGATTGGGACTTCAAATGGGAATATGTATCTTTTGCCTCTGAGTGGACCATCCGAGGGTGATACGAAGGACGAGATCAAAATAGAGGTGTGAATATATCTAAAACCAATTTTCGAAAAGCTCCAAAAACTGGATTTTAGGCGCTGCATTATTTGGCAAATGGGAAAAAGTTATTATCAATGTTGATCACTTTTCGGAATTAAAGTCTGTATTTCAATATTTTAGTAGCTTGAAAGCTAAATACGACACCCTTTCCAGCAAATGCGCGATGGATTTAGGTTTAATAGGTTAATTATCAGATCCCACAATTTTCATTTGGAAATAATAAAACGATTTTGTGTACAGAGAAATCTTTATCTAACATGCAATTTTCACAATCATTTTATGACATCAGTATTTCTTCCATTGTACGCAGGAAAAACTTAGCTGAAACGATCAAAAAGATCGGTTATCAACGCAGGGGCGTAGCTTGACTTTAAATTCTAGTGAGGCAACACCATTGGGGCAGGGGGTATGGGAGTCACCTTAATTAGGCCCCAAGCAGGTCCAGGGCAGATCCCTGGTGGGGGTTTAGTAGGGCTGATACCCCCTCCCCCGGACGGAAAATGGATTTGGGGTTTTTAGAATGCAAATATCATACTTGTCCTGCACAGAATTTTCGTCACTTTTATCGGTTTCATAGCATGGATATGCTGCTATATATTATGAAAGTATACAGAAATCCACGGTCGGTTTCGCTTTCCATACCTCAAGGTAAGAAGAAGCGAGACCGACCGCGGGTTTCTGACGATGTTAAAAAAGTGAATAAATATGTTTATTTAAACTTGTAACACATTTTAGGATGAATACATTTTTTATTAATTTTTTTTTCGTGAAAACTATAACTGTCAAACATGCATCAATTTTTGATATTTTCATATTATTACCTACTTGAGAGTCTTTCAGTAATGGGAGTAGAGCCTGAACCTTGATTATATGAACGTACATAATAGATTTGCTTATAAATTTTACAAAAAGATTTTTGCAATATATTATTATTTATGGGAGCAGGTGGAAGCTGAGAAAAATCTAGTAAGGCAGTTGCCTCATTGCCACAATGGAAGGTACGCCCCTGCAACGGCATAGGAAATATGAATCCGGCAAAAAATTCCCGTGACAGAAACCGAATCAGCTTACTGCGTATTTGAATTCTGACGAAAAGAAAACTAAAACTGAAATTCGAAACGAAATTGAATCTCTGTTATCTAATCCGATTATTTTAGAAAACGAAAGATCTTTACAACTCCAATATTCAAAAATCAAAAAATATACTAAAGAACTTTTTGTTGTCCTTCTTCGTTTGATTTACATCATTTGAAGTCGAGGCAATAGAGGATGAACTACCTTGATATATTGTTTGTGTCATGATTCATAGTGTAGCTTAAATGAATGAATGCTTATAATTGATAATAATTTTTTTTTTTTGCTGCATTCATCGATATACATTTTTCAGACGAAATACATTACATGTGAGGAGAGTAACGCTTTTGTTTCTGTTGAAAATTACACAGTATTAATAAACTAGAATAAGACTTGTACATGTATTCAATAAATGCTAATAGCTATACTCAATACATGATATGCTGTCAAAATGTTGTAAAATGATTAAATAATAGTTCGTTCACGGTAGAATTGTAGATAATATCTCTTTTTTTCAGTATATTTAATTTGATTTCCAAAAACAATTGTCAAAATAAAAAAAAAAGAAAATCCATGTGTTTTTAAGTTCTTTGTTTGCGTTATTCGTATAGGTGTGTCAATTTAAAATCATGTTTTCTGATTGGACAGAAATTAATCTCATGTGTTTAGGAAATATATATTTATATATTTAAACAATAAAATGTTTTCTTAGAATGTTAGTACGGAAATTAATGTTGTAGCTGTTGCAGAAAAAAATGCATAACCCGCCTAAGCGGGTTTTGTAAATTTTTTCTGCAATAGCTGCAACGTTAATTCCCGTACTAACAATTAAAGAGAAACATTTTATTGTTTATATTTATATCTGTACAAATAATAATTCAAAGTAAGATTTAGTAGATGAAATATAGTATAATGGACTTTTGCGAGAAGCGCAGACTTTTACAATCGACGACTTACTTTTACACTGGGACAATATACGGCAGCTCTTTTGCGATATAAATATTTAGCTAAACAGTTAATGAAAGGATAATGATTGACATTTCAAAGCACATAATACATTGTCTAGGGAGGGGAACAAGAAACGCCCTGTACTAAACCCCTCCCTTTCCCACCATGACATACTCCTGCCAAGTTTTTTTTTTTAATTTCTTCCTTATTTGATTCCGTCATAAAATAAGATTGAAAGGAGGTACTACCCCTCACGAATAAGGTATTTTAAGTTATGTTATTCTACCTCCCGTCATCTCTCGTGTTGATTGCATACCGGTAAATCATGTAAGTGCCCCTAACACCCTACCTATGACCACTAGTAAGGTTTTCTAATCTATTTGTCAATTCCGTACCTCCTTACATAATTCATGTTTGAATGTCAATTTAAGCCGTCGAGTGCAAAAGTCAGTGCTTCTCGTAAAAGTCCATTACTGATATGTACGTCATTGTGCGTTTCATTGATGGAACATGTACAGCTACTGTTAAAAAAATCTGTACAGGTAATATGCTTATTGCTGTTTACTGACTGATAAACGGCAATTTTTTTCTTAAGAAATAAAGGAGATGATATTCAGTCATTGTAAATATAGCAACATGCATGCAGTTATCATTCTTGACTTCCACATTTGGAAATCGTCCAGACCTCTTGAGGGAGTTAACAATATTCCAGTTCCCCTCACTTGATAAACAAACGGGATAAGTCATTTCACCTATTATACCAATACATAAGTAAAATGTAGAGGATTCTGAATAACGGGAATAAGCTTTCGAAGCAGGAATTAGCTTACTTGACTAACGCACGGGGATTATAGTCTATTAACAGCGATTTTTAAGGAATTATTCACATTTATTATATATTTGTAATATAATACAGGGTTTTTGCTTCCCTGATATGAACACAGGCACGCGCCCTGTAATACACACCCTGTATCGGCACCCTTTATTTTACCCTTTATCACACCCTTTATTACACCTATCCGGAACATCTCTGTATTTTTCAGTCGGAGTACCTCGGATCTTTTTCTATTAATTTAATTGTTAAAGGCCGAGGTTTTCAACCGGTCGGTTTTCCTCAGGTAAGTTTGGTGTGGGGTGGAGCTTAATTGAAACGGCTGTGAAGCCCCGAGGGAACCAAGCTGGCTTGTGTATACTACCTATATACACAGGATGTTACCTGTATATTACCTGTAAATGTTTTCCTAAGACATAGTTTAACTTCGCGTGTTGGTCAATCGAAATGTTGATCGTCAAATGTATGAAATAAAACATGCTAATTTTTTTTATGTAGACTGATTCCTTTTGTTCAATTCTTTTTTTAAAATACGTTTGAATAAAGGAGACAATTTTAGTTTAATTTAGTTTATTTAAATTGTAATCTTATTTCATCGGGTATTTAATGTTCAAAATAAATATTTTTTTAAAATTTGTAATTATTTCATTTCTTATCACTGAATGTAATGCCTTTGGGGAAAAAATGAGAAATGGAAATTCAACAAAAACAGAACACATTCAAATTATTAAAAATTCAGTAATTAATTTACAAGTTTATAAATGATTTTAAGACACTATTTTCAAATATATAATAAAAACAACAATACATGACAAAATCTGTACCACACCCCATATCAACCCTCGACCAATATAAGCCCTCTGGCCTTCGGCCCTCGGGCTGATATTGGAGTATCAGGTTGATATGGGGTGTGATACAGATTTTGCCATGTATTATTCTCTATTTATTATACCTCTACTGATTTTTCCCCTTTATTAAATAAGATAGTTAATTAATTGTGAATAATTCCCTATAAATCTGAAAATGAAGTATTCCCGGTGTGTTAGTCAAGTCAGCTATTCCCTGCTTTGAAAGCTTATTTCCGGTTATCCATTATCTTCTTAAATTTACTTGTGTATTGGTATGATAAAACAGTTTTAAAAAGGTATATAATTGAGGGAGTTAACAATATTCCAGTTCCCCTCGATCATCTAGGATTATTTTCTTCGGCTTCGCCTCGTCCTGGCCTTGAGGAACTGGGATATTACTAACTCCTTCAACAAGCCTTTACTGTTATACTAACTATCTAATTTTATCTAGGAAAAAATCAGTAGAGGTAAAATGAAAGGTACCTCGTAACTTAGGCCTATTTTATTTAAGGACAAGAATTTTCGGAATCGCAACTTAATTCTCGGTCCTTTTCGACAAGCGGAAAGAATCGAGAAGATGCGATAGAGATTTCCGTCAATATAGCCAAAGATATGTACAGTATTTACGTGTTTATGATTGAAGACTGCTATACGCAAGTTATCAGACTCTTTAGGCACAAAAAAGGGATTATTCTTTTCGACTGTAATACAAAACAGTTTTGTATTATTGTTTGATATACTAGTACACATATATGTGGTGTTTCGTATTAAATTCTTTTCTATGTAAAATGAGGATTCTGTAGAAAGAAAACAATAGATAGATAATGTAAAACAAATTTATTTTTATAATAATCATAATATTAACAAGTATATTAAAGCAATTCTTCTAATCGGCCACTTGGATATACAGACAGACCAATACCAATTTAATCTTCCAATTAAAAGCGTTAAATTTTAAGATACACTTGGTGCCAAAAATAAAAATGAAATCAAAATATATTTATGGTAATAAAGATATCAAAGTATTTCATACGATAGCACACAGTGCTTACTGAATAGCTTTTCTATAGTGATTGAATTTCAATTTTCTGTCTGCCAAAAATTTTTCATCGCAAACATTATTTTGCCGAGGAAGAGTTTACAAACTATAAAATAAATTAAAAAAAAAAATAAAAAGCAAAAATATACAATGTACTTGTCTATTCAAAAGTTTAAAATGTCCTGAAAGACAAACGATGGGCTGATATGGTTCGTAACAGAGTGATCTTTTATAGCACCACAACAAACAATAAACTGTCCCGTCAAGGTAAAGGCTGCTCAAACAAAATCCCACTCACTGTAGTGTGGCTCATGGAAGTCTAGCATTTTCCACTTCCGCTCGTGCCTGAATTTTACACGCTCAGACCACTCCAGCTGAAAAAAAAAGCATTTACTTATTAATCAATGTTAAACTAATTCTACACCATCACGTTGGGGGGGGGGGGGGTGTTCTATCATCGCCTTATTTGCTAATTGCTATAATGAACTTTGGAAAATAGTTGCGCCTGAAATTTTAGGTCCGCGACTTTTCAACAATTGAGAGAAATTCTGCATAGACGGGGGGCTTAGCCCCCTTCCCCCACTTTTTTTGCAAAGATAAACATGATATAGGCATTGAATATTGGGGCTTACCTTTTTTGTTGGTTTAGCCCCCCCCCCCCCCCCACACACACACACACTTTCAATTTGCTTCCGACGCCTATGCTCTGGATGTAATAATGCTACACACACACATTAATAATAGGTGATATTATTTTAATAATATTTATATTACTTAAATACTTAAAATCTTTCTCCTACATGTGCAGATGAAGACAAGTTGTAGTAATGGAGACACTTACCAGATGAGAGGGATATTTCAGTAGATGAGCCTCTCTCCGATCAACATCCATAGTCGCATAATACTGGAAAATAAATATATCAAAATAAATATAATTTCTAATGGTACAGAGGATTATTCTAAAAAGAATAGGGACTTCAGAGTAATTTTACAGTTTCATATATACACATGTGCAGTACATGTATTTACAATTCTGAAAAAAATGAACACCAGTGGGTCACCCACGCACGACTTGGAACGACCCCCCCCCCCCACACACACACACACACAACTACCCAAAACCCCCAAGACCACAACCATGAATTTTCCCCGGCAAAAAGAGCAAAGGCTTGGACAGAATGTTGAGTACATTTATATCAAATCAATTTGACTGGAGATTTCTTACCCAGTTTTCAAGCTTTTCCTTGATTCTCTCAGAAAAAGACTTGGAAACGAACTGCTGCTAAGAAAGAGAAGACAGAATAGAAAATAGGAAAATAGATAGACCATTGTTTGAGAGAGAGAGAGAGACTCAGAGAAATAGAAAGGACTGACTTACCGAATATTTGGTGTTGTCTGTGTGCTGATTAGAATGGTCAGGGTTTTCGTGAACAGTGCACACCATATGAGAGTCTGTTGTAGCAGTTCTTCCAGCTGGTGGTACCAGTGACATGTAGATCTGATTTTGAGGGCCTACCAAGTACATGGAGGAACCGTCTGACACCACATGAAAAGGTTGCTCCTGCAGAGGCACCTCTGCTAGATTGTACGTGTTGCTCAATCCTTGCAACAATCCAAGAATGTCTGTTTGTGAGAGAATGCATGCATCATTGTTGCTTTCACTGGTTGCATCATAACATGATTGAAAGACTTGTTGCAGCTCCTCTGTAACATTTGTATCGCCTGTAACCTCACTGATGTCAAGAGAGTTTTCAGCACAGAGATCTGTCTGTGAAACTAAACAAACAGTTTCCGAATCACATATCTCCTGAGAAATTAATGCGTATTCCTCAGCAACTGATAGTTTGCCTACAGATTCACTGTTGTGGCAAGAGGTGTTAGTATCAGACACACATGACCGTGGTGTTCGGGGAACTTTTGAGGAGTCAGTGGACGAACGAGGACTATGCTTCCTCCCGCCTTTCTTTCCTCTTTTGGTTTTTCGTTTCTTTGTCTAAAATATCATAGAATTATATTTTTACTTGCTGAGTAATGTTTAAAAAAAAATATTATAATTCGATATAATTATGTAAATTATTTTTTTTTCAATGGCACTTCATTTTTTTTTAATTGTTATTATCTGTATACATGTACTCGTATAATTGCACGCTCTTTTATTTTTCGTTATTAAGCAATTAAAAAAGCTGGAACTTTTTAAATCATCTTTAATTCATTTTTTGTGGTGTAATTTGGAACTATTTGATTTATTTCTGGCAAAATTGGATCCAAACATTTAATTTTTCGAGTATTTACTCGGATACAAAGCATTCATGAAAATTTTACTTCCTTGAATATCCCCATTTACTGGAGATAATGTAAAAAAGTATATTCATATTGGTAAATAATACCATTATGTTCCCTTCAGTACAGGAATCCTCAGATGAAAGTCGTCGTTTCATTGTCAATTTTCAGTTTTTTTCGCTCTGAAATTTTTGCACGTCCGTTCGCTACGACTGATGCCGTTACTGTGAGCTGTTGTCACAACGCAACGACTCACCCTGCATCTCCCTTAGCAACGTCATTGCAAAAATTTTCGTAAAAAGAACTTCACAAAAAATGTCATTCATTTCAAAATTTAAAAAAAACCGCAAAAGTTGTTTTTATAAAACCTAAGAAAGACAAAAATTACATTCGGTGCTTTTTTTTAAGACATTAGCTTCGTAGTTTTATCGGTATAAGTACTTTCTATATTCACTTCTTGCAGTCCTCTTCACAAGAATTTATTAATAATACCAAATAGATCACTTACCTGATCAGATTTATCAAAAATGCTTTTGAATCATAATATTCCAAACGTACATGTATCGTTTAACGTAAATTATAACGAATAGATTCACATTACGTCACAAAGCTAAAGCGCGCCAAACTCTGTACAATTTTTTGCGAATTTTCAAAAAACATGCATATTTTGACTGAGTTTTATAAAAACTATCATTAGAATTTATCCGCTTTGTTCTCTTTTTCATACTGCCAGGATTTTAAAAAAAAAATGTTTCAATGGGCTATTTTGAAGAAGAAAAAAAAAGTATTGATTGCCCTTTTCCGACCCACTGAATAAAAATGGTCCGACTCAAAACTCGGACCTGATGGTGAGACAGTCCTAGTTCCAAAACGCTGCCTCAATGAGTCAAATCATTAGCATCATCGTGTGACAAAGATCCAGGGTATTAGCTCCTAGCGAAACATTTATTATCTTCATTTTGATTACAATACATTCATCAGTGTTCATTTATCACTGATTTTCAATGAATCAATTTGATAGATAATCGCACTGAGCGATAAGGTGAAGATAACGAACAGAGATCGATCTCATAGAATTTATAATCAATACAAATTATCTATTTGAAGACAGTTTGAAATAAAAAGTTAACTGTTGCAGCTTTGAAAACTTTGTGCTTTCCTTGGACGCTTACTTGTGAACTGCTGAAAGTATTTTTTAACCCCCCCCCCCTCCTTCACACCGTCCTAAAAAAAAAATAGGCATTAAATAAAAAAGAGAAACAAGTCAAGTGCTCAAAATATCTATTGATAATGTTTGGGTTTTTTTTTTAATTGGCTTTTGGTTTTTTACTGGAGATGAAGGGACTAATTAAGAGCCTAGCCTTTAGTTTTAGATTCTTACGATGTTCCGTATTATTCTTAGGCTGGTCCTCTGTCATTACAGAGCCACGACACCAGTTTAGTATGGCTCGTGTCGGGATGTGTACGCGCAGCATCAGGCTGACAGATGTAAGTGATGTTTATCTTCTTGTGAATGTAATGTTGATGTTATTGTTATTTGAAATTATTTCATTTTTGTATTTTTTAATGTCATGCTAATTTGAGATTTCTTGCAAACAATATTGAACGTGTTCACCTTGTATTTCTAAGTGAGGATGATAACGTTACAGTTCCAGAGGGGAAAAAATGTTACAAAGTAATTTTGTTAATAATTATGGGAGTTTGCGTACAATTAATGCCTATTAATTGCATTATTACATAAACTTATAATTACACGTTATATAGCCGTGATTACAATGACAATATGTGACAACGTGAGAATCCATAAAGGGAGATCACTCTTACTCATCTGTTATGAATTACATAAATTCAGTTTGACATGAAATAGATTCGCTCCAGTTGTTATTAAATACAGCGAATGTATAAAACCTCAGTTTGATAGAATTCTAAATGACTGTCAACAGCAACATGTCAACATAACATATTTGGCATATGGCCTTCATGTGATTGACAATCTGGGCTGGAGATCACATGATGTGGCACTGTAAAGTCTGAAACTCCAGTATGAATATCACTAAACATTGACTTATATATTGTGTAACAAAAGTTTTTGTTACATAAACATGTACCATGTCACAGGACTTCCATGGAACTGGGGCCAGGCATTAAAAAGCAGCATATGGGCTGTTCTTGTGCTTTTTAGTGCAGAAAATATTGATCAAAGTCTTTGATATAAAATAAGAAAAAAAAAACACATATGAACAAATACAAGGATACAGTTTAAAATTTCACTCACAATTTTCAGACTTGATCCATATACTACACTTTATACAATAATTAACAAGATGTGTTTTTATTATTTCACTTATGCTCCCATATGGCAACACATGGCCAAGGTTTCAGTTTTTCTAAAGAAGGTCAAACTTTAAGGTCAAGGTCAGGAGGTCAAAATTGTTAGAACCCAAAGAAAGGCTTAGTTGCAAGGGATACACATGTCAAAAATGAAAGCCCTAGCCAAACCAATTAAAAGTTTTGGCCAACTTGAAGGTTAAAGTTTGCAGACAGACAGACAGATGGACCAGAAACTATATGACCCAAAATCTCCAATTATGAGGCCATAAAATACTACAGATAACAAAATGCAAAATTAATTATTTTTTTATGCCTGCCTTCAAAGAAGGGAGGGCATATTGCTTGCTGCTGTCTGTCAGTCGGTCGTTTTGTCTGTGGGTCCATCAACAGTTTCCATTCATTTTCTTCGCAGAGGTTGCACATACTGAAATGAAATTTGGTATACAGATTTATCATAAAAGTATCTAGGTCAGGTTCTTTATTGGGTACGATCAAGCAATTTTTTGACAGAGTTATGCCCCTTGGACTTAGAAAAATTCCAATTATTTGCAGTTTCCATTCATTTTCTTTGCAGAGGTTGCACATACTGAAATGAAATTAAGTATACAGAATAAGAATATCTAGGTCGATCAAGTTCTGTTTTGGGTACGATCGAGCAATTTTTGACAGAGTTATGGCCCTTGGACTTGGAAAAATTCCAATTATTTGCTTTCCGTTCATTATCTCTGCAAAGGTTGAACAAATTAATTACTGATATATCGTAAGAAACATGTTTTTGCCAAAAATGTGATGTAGAAGACTATTTCTGGTTGATCATCTCAGATAGTACCAGTAGATGACCCTATTGATTTTAAGTTCAAAAAGTCAATTTCATTTCCATGTACACTGCCCATTATGTATACTGCCCATAATAATAAAGGCTTGTGCATCCTATAATGTATGTCCAAGGGGGGGGGGGGGGGGCATTAGTGTTTCACAAACATCTCTTTTTTAACAAGATTTTAACTACATGTAGTTTGAAATAAATCTCAGGTATTAACATGTGTGGAACATATTTTGTACAGAATATACCATTGAAGCATAACATTGGGAGTTCTTATGAAAAATGTTCCAAAACTTAATTCTGACACTTTTGATTACCATGATACTGGTGAAGTCAACATGCACCTAGGGTTGAATTCAGAGAATTTTGGTCCTCCGCTTTCGGGGTCTTATTGGATGAGGTGCAGTGATTTATGGCATATTGTAACCATCTTGTCTATCATGTCTGTCTTTTATATTTAAAAAAAAGTGTTTTTTTTTTTTTTTCTTTTTTTTTAAGAAATGTGTTCTGGTGCAAAAGTTATCACCAAGATGAAAGTTTTTGAAAGCTAAGTCAAACTTCATGGTCATGAGGTCAAAAATTCATAATGCTTGTACATTCTAAAAGGTCTTGTCACAGGTAATGTACTTTAGCCCTGTCTCTTAATGTGCAAAGGTTATTGCCAAGGTTAAATTTTCTTTGAAAAGTAGGTTAAAGATCAAGAGTATGAGGTCAAAATTATAGCATGACTTATTACCAAAGTTAGAATATTTGGAAGGTAGGTCACACTTAAAGGTCAAGGTCTGAGTAAAAAATCATAGTACATTTGGAAAGGTGTTGTCACAGGTAATGCATTTGTGAAATATGAAAGCCTTAATTATTTTCTCATTTAAAAGTTATTATCAAAGTTTATTTTTATGACAGACAGACAGACGAATGAGATTTAATGTCCCTTTGTTTTCCCTAAAGCTGAGATTTACAAAAAATAATTTGGAATGAAGGATATATTATTGTTTGACGAAATAGATATAATATAAATGTGTACAGTACCTACTGTTGTTATGGTAGATGCTGTCTAGAAGACTTGTGTCCAGGCAAGCCTTAAGGACTGTGTGGACAGGGAGAGAGAGCCTTGAGGAGGATGACCCTGAAGTGATGGCCATCATAAAGCAGGAGAAAAAGAGACAGGTTCATGGTCTGGAACTGATAGCTTCAGAGGTATGCATCTGGGCAAGCTACAGTTAGTTCATAATATATATATACATGTATATATATATATAATATATATTGTGGGTGGATCCAATTCCTAATTGGATTTGTGGCCTAAGTTTTTGAGGCTACCCACCTTTTTTGTGGGCAGGCAGTTTATTGATGCTACTATTTTTTACACATGTGTTTACAGTAGGGGGTCTGTCATGTATTTTTTGTACATGTGTTGCATAATATCTCTAGTCCTTTGGCCCCCTATCTGTTGTTTTGTGTAGATATTTATTATCATATGTAGTATTATAGGGGGTCATGATTGTGTTCACCACCACATGTGTTATTACTATAGTTACATGTTTATGTATGACCCCCTGTGTTGTATATATCTTTTCGTCATTTACAAAATAAATGACATTATTCATTCTAATACATGTGTTCTCATTTCGCCTGCTTTGAGCAAAAAACGAGCTCAGTCTCCTTGGCAAGGTTATACAAACTAAGGAACATAAATATATATATATATAGATCTTAGAGAAATTATTTTAATATTTATAGTGGGAATGCTAATACAGTGAATCTTTATATTCCAAATTTGAAAAGTTGGATCTAATGTTAAGAAAAAATCACCAAAGTAGAAAAGAAGTTGAAAGCAGGCAAAAAGTCAACTTATTCAAGAGCACAACACAACTTGTCACATCATTTGAACTAAAAGTCTTTATGCTACTGGGCTGCTTAGCCCACAAATAATCTTTATGTAAGCTAAAAATTTACAAAACATGTGCTTGTAAATCTCTAGCTATGTACAATTGATATGTTGAAGGTAAAAAAAATAATAAAGGTGTCTATATCACCTGAATAATTTGAGAGAAAAAAAATATATATAGTGTAGGTATAGGCCATTCTAGTCCTAAAGAAAACGACAGTCTATCTCTACAGAACACATATGCTGCATGCAGCACAGTTCATTATGTAGTGAATGTAGAGCCTTAATTTAATTGCATATTCTTTTAAATTCTTTTAATTAATTTCATTTTTTCAGGTGACATAGTTTTGTCACACATTAAAATTTTCGTTGGCCTGATCTTTGATATTTACAAATAAATATGATAATTGCTTTGTTAATTAATATAAAGATCATTTAGGGGAAGTAGAATAATTATACCTGCACTACCTTGTATGACTTCCTCAAGGGAATTTTGGAAACTGTAACTCACTTTACATGGTTAATATTATGAAATAAACCTTACAATTATATCAGACAGAAAGTCAACTTGTTCAAGAGCACAACACAATCTGCTACATTAAACAGTCATTTTAACTAAAAGTTGACACTTATGCTACTGGGCTGCTTGGCCCACAAATTATCTTTATGTAAGCTAAAAATTGACAAAACATATGCTTGTAAATCTCTAGCAACACATCACTAATTGATGTGTTGAAGCATAAAAATACTAAAGTTGTCAAAATTTTTCTGATTGTAGAATTTTGCAAGTCGGGCTGTTATAGAGGCTCTAGGATCTTGTCTAACAAACAAATACTCTGAAGGTTATCCAGGTGCTAGGTAAGTCTTCATGTCTAGAAATTACTGACCTAAAACTTAGTCATTTTTATTGCTTTATTAAATACACTATTTTGATTTAAATTATGGTTATTTTCTCATTTTAAAGCAGAAAAACTCAAGCTCATGAAGTCCTGTCTGTGTCATTATTCATTAATTTTATTATTCAATTCACTCTCACTACAATATCACTGTGTAGAAACGGACTAGGGTAAAGTGCGTTACCCTAGTCCAAGATGGCGATAGGCAAAAACGCTTCAAATTTTCTCGTAAAAATATGGTGATTTCTGGTTAAAAGTTTTACTTTATTTTGCACCAATCTGTCGGGCAGCTTAAGTTTTACATGCTTGCATGAAGATTGTATTCAACTTTAGCGTAATTAAAAAGAAAATGCGCGTCAAAGTTTTGCTGCAGATTAGGGTAAAGTTTCTGAACTATTTATTTACGATTAGGGTAAAGTTTTTTCGAGACTAGGGTAAAGTTATTTATTCTACAACCTGATATTGCACGATTTTTATTTTTTAACTGCTTTATACAATTAATATAGTTGGAAAAGGTTTTCTCGAACGTGTTCAAGAACTGTTGCTTCCACGAAGACATCATACCGGTTGCTATTTTTTTAATAACCACAATTTTCATACAAAATATTATTCTTATTATGAACGTTATATTTTCCATTTCATGTACATGTATTATTATATTGTTAAATAAATATACATGTATAAATGATGTAATTAATTTATTTGATTTAACTTTAAGTACTGTTTCCTGTATGAATCTATATCGACGTTGCATCCTTTAATCCCTACTTTGAGCGAAATCATCGAAAATGACGTATCAACTTGTCTAATTTGCATCTGGTGGCACTCAACAGTGACGGAATGTTGACCGAGTTAAATCCGCATAACGGGTAATTGAAATAAACTTTTATCAACTGAAATGCGAAAATAACAAACAGTATTCATGCTTAAAGTCCAATTAAACAATACAAATTGTGAACTGAGCACACAAGGACTCGGAAAACATCAGTGGTAGATCAGGTGCCATTGGGAGTAGGCAACATCTTTCGATTGGTCACCTCCGCCATGTATCCTTCGTTGTAATTTGATAAACGGAAAATGTGTTCACAATTCACTAAGAAAATAATGAACTAACAATGTATATGAAAGACATTAGTCAACATTCGAGCTAACAACATAATATATTTGCTAACAAGATCATTGCATTGACCAGAGAATTTGCGAAGTGTTGGCTTTTAAACGAAATTGTTGATACCATTGTGTCAACAACTTATTCGTCAACAGTCTTCCTCGTTTTAGATATTGTTCGTACGAAAACATGCTCTTGCTTATCGAATCCACCGACGAAGTAAACCCTATATGCAGGAAAAATGATATACTGCTACACAAATAAGGGGAAGTTGATGAAAGAAGAGTCAACATAAACTTTTAAGCTTTGGTTTTAGTTTACCATCAATGTCTTTTTAGTTTAATGGGACATAACAAATCATTGCTTGAATGTTTATTGACAAAACGTCATCAATATATCTGATTGTTAAACTGGAGGTCACAGCAAGAGACTGTTTTATACACTAGATAGCAAACATGGAAACAATTAAGTGTCGGATTTTGTTTTAAAGTATAATAATGTAAATTGTGAAGATATCAAACCTTGATAAATCTCATAAATCTGTCAACAAAACGAAACATATAGATGTATTGACAAATGTGCAATGATGAGGACATAGCCCTATCAGTATCTTTTACAAAATGATTTTGACAAATATGATGTAATATAGTAGTCGAACTAAACACCTCCATCACAAAAGAGCGCACTTTTTATTCGGAAAGACTTTCTATGCGTTGCAAAAAAGATTGAATGTAAGTGTTCTGATTTTCTAAGAATAATCTATTGAATGCTTGAATACCAACTGTTTTTTTTTTTTATGAGTTAAGAATATTTTAAGTACTTAGGTGCAATTTTTATGAATCTTGCACAAGTTTTCTGAATCTAAGCTCAGTTTAATCTATTTATCTTACTCTTGAAAAATGCTTTACCAAAGTTTTCTCAAAAGGAACAGCAAAGTTTATTTTGCCCGTTTTTCTCAACCTAGAATAAAGCGTAAAAGTGCTAGTTAAATAACATTTTCTGTATAATATGCAAATCTAAATACAAAAAAATAAGAGAGAGAGAGAGAGAGTATACACATAAGTTGATGACACAAGATATCAACCATCTCGTTTAAAGTCGACATTTCACAAATTCCATGTTTGATACAATGACATGGTTTGCGAAATTAACAGAATCTATCGTTAAGTCGAATGTGTACTGACTTTTTTGTTAGGCCATTTTTTACTTACCTGACCATGACAAAGAGTACACGGCAGGTTTTACCGGTGGACAGGGTATGTTCATTCCTCCATGGCACCTTATCCCACCTCTGTTTTCACTTTGCAGAGGTCCATGTTTGCTCTGCTCATATTTTGTATTGTTTTATTGGATTTAATTTGGGGTGTGATTTCTGTTCATTTTTTTCACATGTCATTGATGATACTTTTTAAATTGATTAAAATTGATCTGTAGATATTTGAAAAGTTTTTCGCCGTATCTAAATCAACAGAACACTGTTTTCAAGACTCAGTTTGTTTTATAAACAGAAACCTAAACTGATTTGAACAAAATTAGGACACTGTGCTCTTCCAGAAATTGTCAGCGCACTGAGAATTTTTCAAAAACATAGTTTTTAGCGCAATGAATGATGAATTTAGTGGCAGAGTGCGTTTCAAGTCTGCTTAAATAGCATTTTTTAAACCCTGAAACAGGATTTACCCTAATCACTCAAAAAGGTCACAAAATCTTTACCCTAGTCGTAATTTGCGTTACCCTAATCTTGATCAAATTTTCTACCCTTAATTTGGCTTTAACCAGCACAGATCATGCAAAATTTTTGCAATAGCTACATACTTCTATTTAAAATAATTAAAATAAAACCATCCATTACATATTGTAAGCCTGTTTAATGCGTACACTGAGAGCAAAATAATCGAAGGGTATTTGCCTGTCGCCATCTTGAACTAGGGTAACGCACTTTACCCTAGTCCATTTCTACACAGTGAATATTACAGTCATGGTTTTGCCTTCATTACCATGACAATAACAGAAGTGAAAGTGCTGGGAAAATAAGTGTGTGTAAAGTGCATGTATATACATGTACTTAACGAATATTGTCTAGCTGTAATATAGATTCTGTACAACATATCTTTTCAACCATCTGCTAAACTGTAATAAAACTTTATGTTGTAGGTATTATGGTGGAAATTTATTTATTGATAAGATAGAGAGTCTGTGTCAGACAAGAGCTCTGGAGGCATTCCGTCTGGATCCACATCTGTGGGGAGTCAACGTCCAGCCTTATTCCGGAAGTCCAGCTAACTTTGAGGCTTTCACTGCTCTACTGAAGCCCCACGACAGAATCATGGGTCTGGATCTACCTGATGGTGGACAGTAAGATTCTTTTCAGTATATGTTTTAAAACATTATTTGCTAATAATAGAATTTTTTTTGACACATGACATAGGCATGTCATGATCAACTACTTACTTTAGATGAATGTAATTTTTACCATGAATGTACATGCATGTATTTGAAATGATATGTTAAGATTTTCACTTCTCAAAAGACACCATATTCATAATTAGAATATTAGAATACACAAGTTTCGAGATTATCTCCCTTGGTGCGCTCTTTCGCTACAGAGGGGAGTTTTGTTTCCGCGTAAGCAGGCAGGTGGGACAGTTATTTATCTATTGGATACATTAAATCATCGATATACCGGTCTGTCATAACTGACTGTTGGGATATACTTATTACGGAATTAACGTAAAGGCGTCAATTTTTTCTACGAAAAAAAACGGAACAAAAGAAAATAAAAATCGGAACAAAAGAAAATTTCAGTGGATAAAACATCCAACGAGGGAATAGATGTATATCATGGATCTCTAATAAATACACACGCACCTGATCATAGTACGTTGGCATTCTAAATGACTCTTTACCTTATAATAACTTCTAAGAGCCCTATAACTTTATAGAAAAGGTTTGTGCAAAGAATTATTTTTTTTTTAATAAAGACTATGATGGTTCTTTCGTTTTCAAGTATCCTAACTGAAAATAAATTTTGTAAATATATATAGAAGAGCTTTACAAAATTATGAAAATGATCACTTCTTAGCATTATCATCTTTTTATAACATCAAATGAATTTTAAAAGCCATAGCAATCGTTCTTTTATTTATGCAAGTTTGTAAACATTAACAACCTGTCCCACTTCCATGCTGATATAGATACTTTTTGCGCCTCTATCGTAGGAGAGTTACAATCTCGAAACTCGCGTATTAGTGCAACAGATGTTATATGATGGAATAATAATAATTTAGCACAGTATGAGTTATCTTTCTTATCAGAGGGTCAAGGAGCCTTAATTCCATTAGTAATACCATCTACATGTATAATGTTGTGTTCTCTTAGTTTGACCCATGGGTTCATGACTGACACGAAAAGGATTTCTGCTACCTCACTGTTCTTCGAATCTATGCCATACAGATTAAATGTAAGTCCAGGCTCCGGATAAAGCTAAATTTTGATACCTTAGAATCTAATGATTCTAATCAACTGCTAAAAAATTTTCTAATTGCAATATTAAGAAATAAATAACACCTTAAAATACATATACTGTAATGTCTTCTCTCTCTTTACAGCCCGAAACAGGTTACATTGACTACGACAAACTCAGGGAAACTGCCCATCTTTTCCGTCCAAAGCTTATCATTGCTGGAACAACTGCCTATTCTCGCTTGCTGAACTATAAAGCATACAGAGAAGTAAGATTGATATCTGTAAAATAAATCATAAACACGAGTGAGAGCTTGATTCCAGGAAGTATTGAATATACAAATGAGTGAATATTTCATGGGAACTAATTAAGCAGAAGAGAGGATGATGTTCTTTGAGATAATCATGTAAAATGTATAACAGTTCATCAAAGTTTCAGAGTTTGATAATTTAGATAATTTTGTGGTGCTCATCACGTAGATATGTCAATACACTCAAATGAGGTAGACAGAGTTACAGCCCTTGAACAGATTTTTTGAAATTAATTACTGTAGTGTTGACTATTTTCTTGAAAATTTATTTACTTTTATCTTGAGTTAATACAGAATTTATCAGCTATGATGTACAAATTTTGGCTTCTTTTAATAATGAAAATCTCCCATATTCTTTCCAGATTTGTGATGAGGTGAATGCCTACATGTTAGCAGACATGGCGCACATATCGGGACTGGTGGCAGCTGATGTTATTCCTAGTCCTTTTGAGTATGCTGATGTTGTAACTTCAACAACACACAAAACACTGAGAGGACCAAGGTATGGTTATTCACTGGTATGAATGCACTCAGTAAAGCTTTATTTTCGTGTAAATTCATAGCAATTTGCATTGTAAATATACAAGTGTACTAATCGTGTTCATGTATAACTAAAAATGCAAAGAAAATGGCAAAATACATTGAATTATCTCATTTTCATGTGAAATTCAGACTTTTAAAATGAAATTCAAAAAATGAATTTCCCTGTAATTTAGTTTCTTGATCAGTTTAATGTGATTAATGTTGCAGTAATTTATTGGCCATTCTACAGGTCTGGGATGATATTTTATCGCAAAGGCAAAAAAGGTGTGGACAAGAAGGGAAATGACATCATGTATGATTTGGAGAAGAAAATCAACAATGCTGTGTTCCCTGCCCTACAGGGAGGGCCCCACGAGCACCAGATAGGGGCACTTGCTGTGGCTCTCAAACAGGTAGGCAGCACATATATCACACAATGTTTTATGTGGCCCAAAGGTGTTAAATGGCTTAGATTGCATCCTGGATATATTCTAAAATCTTTATTACTGAATAAATTGCAATGTTTTATCAATTTTTCATTTGAAAACAGTTGTCCTCTTTTGGATAAAATGTAAACATGTTTACAAAATTATTGCAGGCAAAGTCCCCAGAATTCAAAGAGTATCAACAGCAGGTACTAAAGAATGCCAAAGTAATGGCTAAAGCTCTGCTTGACAAAGGATACAATGTTGTGTCTGGTATGTATAGCTTCATCCAGAAGAATGTATTTCACTATTTACAGTAAAATTCGGTTATAAAGAACTTGCTTATAAGGAAATCTCAATTATAAGGAATTTTTTTTAATCCCATAGGAGACTTTGCACTATGTTCCTTATACGGATATAAAGAATCTCAGTTATAAGGAATTTTTTTGAATCCCATAGGAGACTTTGCACTATGTTCCTTATATGGATATAAAGAATCTCAGTTATAAGAAATTTTTTTGAATCCCATAGGAGACTTTGCATTATGTTCCTTATACGGATATAAAGAATCTCAGTTATAAGAAATTTTTTTGAATCCCATAGGAGACTTTGCACTATGTTCCTTATACGGATATAAAGAATCTCAGTTATAAGAAATTTTTTTGAATCCCATAGGAGACTTTGCACTATGTTCCTTATACGGATATAAAGAATCTCAATTATAAGAAATTTTTTTGAATCCCATAGGAGACTTTGCACTATGTTCCTTATACGGATATAAAGAATCTCAGTTATAAGAAACCAAAATTCGAGGTCCCAGTGACTTCCTTATAGCCAAGTTTTAATGTAAAACTTTGGGTAAAATACTGTAGAAGTACTTTTTTCTGTGTGGTATTAATTAACGCTATGTACGCGGTCATAAATTTTCTACGGAAATTTGTCCCAGGGTTCCCAAAGTATATTTAAAGCATATAGTGGCAATCTAAAAAAGCCCTGTAATTTTCTATCCGCGGATTGAATATACATATAAATAGTGATTCCATGGAATTTTGACTCTGTGGAAAAAAGTACGTTTACAGTATATACAGTACATGTATGTGTTCTTTCGTATATTTTCTATCAACATCACTGATGTGACTGATTTAAACAGGGGGTACTGATAATCATCTGGTGTTGGTGGATCTAAAGTCTAAAGGAACGGATGGTGCTCGAGTGGAACGCATCCTGGAGCTGTGCGAGATATCTGTCAACAAGAACACCTGTGCTGGAGACAAGAGTCCCATGACTCCAGGCGGACTTAGAATTGGTAAAAAAAAAAATCATTCTTTATACAAGGGAGATAAATACATGTAACAAGGGAATTTACCAGCACTAAACAAGAAAATTTTGATGAGAGTTCTAATTTTCAAATATACTTAACAGTAATTTTTTTTCATTTATAATGATTTTATTGAACAGGTGCACCAGCTATGACTTCACGTGGAATGAAAGAAAAGGACTTTGAGAAGATTGTAGAATTTTTAGACCATGGAGTTCAAATTGGAATTAATGCCAAAAAGTATTCAAGTAAGTGATTTTGTATACTAGTGGTACAGTAACTTTAAGACACCTTTATTGTGTTTAGTTTAATATTCACTCATTTTCTTTGACAGTCTTTTGTGTAAGAATAAAATTCATTTTCAGTCTGCTTGGAATTTGTTATTTTGTGGTTTTTTGATTATTTAAGCTTATTTTATTATGATGTAATTTTCATGGCTTCATTCTTCCATAAAAACAGCAAAAAATGAAACTACAGAAAAATAGCTATATTCAGTATTTTGGTAGAAATAACATTATATTTCCCACATAAAATAGATAGACAAATTGAAAAATATTTTTTTTGTGTGAACAGAGACTTTGAAGGAGTTCAGACATGTAGTTATAGCCAATGAGGATCTCCAAGCTCAGATTGACAGAGTTCGTGCAGAGGTTACAGAATTTGCCAGCCAATTCCCAATGCCAGGACTGGATGAACGCTAAGTCATGTGATACACACAGTGAACGAAAAATGGATACATCATTAAGTGCTTTAAAACCCTTTATAAAAGAATAAATGAAAAAATAATCAAAGTCTATTTTCAGGTTATATGCAGTATGATTTTTTTTTAACATTGATACATGTACTGTATAAAGGAGAATTTTCTGCCCCCGTTTTGTTTTTGCCTCTTCTGCCTTGCATCATCAGTGGGCAAATTCAAACATTGTTTCTCATTAACACAACTGGGTCTGGGGAAATTTAAAAGAGTATAAAATTTACTGCAAATAAGATAGGACAAAAATAATATGGAGTAGTTGAATTTTTTAAATCAAAATTTTGAATGATTGATGCTGTGTTTTATTTGTATTGAGGTGAAATGGAGGCTACTTCACTAAAAATGTCTGTGTGATGTTGTTTGACTTGTCAGAGAAAAAAAATATCCATCATGAAGTTGTTAAGAATCTCCAGAGTTGATCTCAGATTTTGGATGATCTGATTTATATATAAAACAATGTGCATTGCATTGCATTTAGATATAGCTAAGCTTCCTTTTGTGTGGTACACAAGTTTGAAGCATATAAATTGCTGAATGAGGATATTTGAAAGGATTTTTTTTTTTACTGAAAAGTTTGCTTTTTTTTGTAATAGTGAATTGGTGTGTTGGATGATTTAAACTGCCAAATATTATTGGTGAATTTCAGGTATCAGAAATTAGTCACAAATGAAGGTATCATGAAAATGGATGGCTTATAGGAGTGCCAAAATAACTTTATATTATTATATAGAAGGCCACAAAATTAATTTTTTGATTCTCATTCCTGTATGTCTCAAAGTGCTTTCTCTCCCCAACATTTTCTATTTTGAATTAAAAATGGGATTTTTAAAAAATATTTTTAATCTTTGGTGTTGGAAAATTTAAAAAGAAAAAGTCAAAACATGCAAATTTAATTGATTTAAGTATTGTTGACATGAAATTTGTACCGTTAAAAACTGGATTATGTACTCATGCAAATTTGGATGAGAATTTAAAAAATTACTTTATGTGACCTTAATTGATTAAAAGCATATTGATGTTGTTTTTTTTTAATGGTATATAGTAATTATGATCATAACAACAACAGATGGTAATGGTTTACAATGTACTTGTGTTTTGGTTATTAACAACTCTCAATTTTTTTTAAAAGTCTTTACATTTTATCACATTAAAACTCACTGGGTGGAAAATTTATGTTTTACAGTTTTGTTCATATGTTTTTCTTTTCCTTTTTGGACATTGAAGCATTTCTAATTATTGATTCAGCCATATACTGTTAAATGAATTGCATATCAGTATTGTGTACATTATATACTTTCCCAATATTTGTGTTGTGTATTTCATGTATCAGTAATGGAATTTACCACACACCAACTCATATTAGAATTTTTTTATTATTGTAATATCCAGGTGCCAAATTTGAATCATTTTGATATACTTACAATATCTGTACCAGATGTGTTGAAAAAACTATTATTTCACACCAAAGGCATTGGCTGCAGTCACGATGCAATTGCTTTGGCCATTTTTTTTTTCCTTCAACATACATATAGTTTTTAACTTGTTTCTGACCACATTTTTCACCATATTTATTTCATGTGACATGGAGATGAAAGTCAAGATAGAGGATAAAGAGCTGGGTTCATTTTGTGCATAAAATAGCCCTGTCCATATCCAAATTAACTAACACCCTATGTCCCATTTCATCAATATAAAGTAGAGACTTAGTGCTTTCATTTCCTCTAACAAAGTTTCCTTTGAGAGGCCAGGTATTGGAAAATTGGCTTTATGAAATTGCAGTATTCTTGCATTTGCAGAAAACAATTGTATTTGAGTACCTAAAGCAAAGAAATAAAATATGAGCACATCCCTCGATCAAAAATATAAAAATTTTGTTTTTATAATCCTCAGGAACAGTTCTGTCATTATATCTGCCTGCACATTTTGGATCGGAGGTTGTGCTGTATACAAAATATTGAAAAATAGCTTAAATTTTTTTACCATTTTTGAAAGAATTTTCAGAATAATGGATATTATGATGCAATTCATGATGATGTAATGCATTGGCTACCAAGAAATATATGTTAATTAATTTCAAAAGATATGCAGTCACCAAGGGTCCAAGTGATATTTGATGCGTGTTCAACTAAAATTGAGCTGTTTTGTTAAGTGAGCCTTGCTCTTTGCGTTATTTAAAAATTTCAAGCCATTGAATCAGACTGCATTTTAGATGTAACAAAATATGCAAACAAGGAATGAGGATAAAGTACTGGGATGGATATCCCTGATAATGTTGTGCTTTAGGATGAAAATTAATAGATTTCCATAACAAATTTTCATACTTGGTAAAAAGTTAAGGTTCAAGAGAAAAATCTACATTATCTACAGGTAACTTAGGCAAGCTGTGTAGACCATGGGCCTTTTTTACATTTTTTTTTTCCTTCGAAATGCAACAATTCATTGTTATTTTGGGTTTATTCTAAGTGGTATTTTCACTATTTTGTTTATATTAATCATGGTTAATCAGCGAGTCCTGAAAAAGCAAAATGGTAAATTTTGATGAAAGTTACCAAGATGCATGTAGTATCAGGATTAAAATGAAAAGTATGCAAGTAATTGTGCCATAATTTGTTTGTTTGTTTGTTTTTTTTAATTTTCAGTTAACTTTCAGTCAATATGATCATGGGTTTTTTTTCCCACATTCAGTGAATTTGATCATAGTTTCTGGGTTTTTTTTTTTTAACTTTCTGTTAGCTGATTTTTTTAAGTGAGTGGTATTTTTGCATTTGATGTTCATGCTTTCTTGACTAATTGTGTTCTGTTTTTCAATTTCTTCTTGGTTTTGCTTGGTTTGGTTAGAGGTCCTTTTTACTTTAAACGAAATTGTTTTAGCTTAATGTTCCGTCTTATAGAAAAGTGCTTGTGATTGTGTACATGTATGTGAATCTTTAATATCCATGTTTCATGCATTTAAAATGTTTGGCTTTTATGTTTGAATTTGAAATAAAAGTTAAATGTTGGCTTATTGTTGTTAATTAGAATGTGCAGGAAAATTTCCTATGGAGGTTGAATTAAGGAGACAACAGCTCGCAGTCACATCAAAGGAAGGACAGGAGGACAATATTAACTCACAGTCAAATCAGGCTCATAATACACCAACAAAGATATCAAATAGAAAGTATTTGATGTCCATTACACCAACAGAAACAGCATTGCTGGTTCACATACTTTTCAACCATGTTTTCCATCTCTTCCAATTTTGTGCCTGGGTCATAATTTGTTGAAAAAAATAAATCATACATGAAAGCTGGCATAGTTTCATGACACTTAATGCACTAAGCACTGATAGGTCAGATGCCAATTACAGCTGAACTTTGGTATTTCGAAACAGATATCTTGAATATCATGGATATGTCAAAATGATTTGGAAGTCCGAAACACTTATTCTTTAAGTATTTAACCCTTGATATCTTGAATCCTCAGATATCTTGAAGTGTTTTCTCAGTGCCAATTAGTTTGAGATAACAAGCAGGTTTTACCTTATATGTAAACATTTATGGTTCTGACTTAATTGCTAGTTCTAGCCTGTTTTACTGACACAATTAATACTGAATTTTCATGCAGTTGTAGTAAAACTTCTCAGTCCCCAGTAAGTGTTCCAGTTCAGCTGCTCTTTTGGTAAAAAATGACATTTATAAAGTACAGATCAGAAAACTTGGCTAGCAAAGACACTAAAAGGAAACTTTTTATCACATTGATGGAATCATAAAAATCCAATACCAAATAAGTTTCATATCCTGTAAGTTGAGAATTTATCAAATGTGTCTACAAGTAGACCAAAAAATCTACTTCTTGAAGCAATATTCATATTGGGGGAGTTGAGAAGAAAATTTTCAGTGACTACACTAAATTTGGAGTCCCTTGGAGTGGGGCATTATAAATTATGCATGCTCAAATAGACTATGGACTGAAGCAATGACTGTATAATAAAATAAAGAGAGAGAGAAAAGTAATGAAATGTGTACATAAATTGGCATATTCAAAATTTAGCACAATCACTGGATATGGAGATGTTGGTGAAATCATGAATTAGCTGCTAAAATATGAAGCCCGCTTTGTTAAGTACACATACAGTAACACAAAAGACCATGTCCTTTCCAAAGATCCATGGGGTGAGGGCTTCTTAAACATTGAACACACTCAACCACAGTATACAAATTAAAATGTACATGTACCTGTTAGAATAACACCGATCAAAGTTTTGATTTACAGTTTTGAAAGAGTTACAATGATAAAACTCATACTTGATTTAATACCAGTTTCTCAACCACTTCCTACGGGGGGTATAGCTAGAATTCAGCATGCAATGACATCATGTTCATTGGCAGAGTCTGACATAATACAATTTGTTGCTTAAGAGTGAGGACTTACAATAAAAAAAACATCAATATTGTACTGCCACTGATCAATACACTGTACTAAAATATATCAGTAACATACACACATCCAGAATAATATTCATTTCCTTTCCCCCTGGCTGTAAGACTGGGTGGAAGTCCAAACAAGTGTTATTACATGCTTAATACAGGCACATGCATTATAATAATATACATGTATTTAAGAAATAAGACCTGCAAGGAATTCTCATGGCTAGATTCAGTGACCACATCCAATCACTGGGATAAGACTCAATGAACACTGAATAAACAAGTCTCAAAGGCACACATGCAGATACAACTAAAGTTCACAACCATGCATTTCTAGATAATGAACTTTTCACATTGAGACTACCTCCAAGTTTTCAAGCCTTCTATTTTTAATACAGATTACTGTCATGAACACACCAAGAGACAATGAAATTAAAAGGTCATGGAATATTTACTTTACAACAAAAATAAGTCATGTATACACATATAGATAAACACTTCCAATTTACATTTGCATTTTTTCAATAAATCAATAACTATTATCAAAACATGATTTTTATTTGATTACAAATGCCCTGGAATTTCTAAGAATTGATTGTTCATTCAAGAATCCTCAACAATGATCTCTTTCTTGACTTCCACAGGGATTGTCTTTTCTTTTTCTTGCTTTTTATGTCCCTTTTCTTTCTTTTCTTCTTTACTAAACTTGCTTCCTGTAGATTTCGAACTCGTGGAATCTCTCATTCCAAACATTTCACTTGTACTGGGAACAGGGGTTATTTTTTCTCCTATCGTTGTCCATATATAACACAGTTCTGGCTCGCGGGATATAGTGAGATAGGGGCCGGTGCGACATTTATAATAATCTGAGGGAGCATGGCACACAAACTCTATGTACTCCATCTTGCGTGGAAGATCCTCTTCTGGACCTATCAAAGAAGTTGTTGACATCAACCAATTAGTAAAATTTTCTGAACTACAAAATTGATTATCAAGTCTTGTATTTAAAAGTTTTCTTCCCTGTACCATCATCTTTATCACAGATGTTGCTACCCTATGAAAGTAGCAGAAAACTTACCCAGAATGTAAGTTGAAGGGTCAAATCCTACTTTGGGGCTGTTTTGTGTTGGTAATAACCATGACAACACAACACTCTTCTCATTATATTGATCCTGCATGAATCCTCTAATTTGAGCATAATACAAGGAACCATCATGGTCAACAAGTGACACAATATCACCTGATTGATAGTACATACCCTACCAAACAAACAAAGAAAGTTCTGTGTAATACACTTGAAGCAATTATATCAAATAAAGTATTATTTTAACAGTCTTGTGAATAAATTACTGGCCATATTTGCTTGAGGCTACTAGAAATTGTAATCATTCTTAATAACAAAATACACGTATATTGAAATAAATCATGGTCAAATTGGCTACAACTCTGACACTTGCGTTTCCTCCCATTTTATAAAGCCTTTTGTAAAGCCTTCAAGTTCATGCGATCATCCTTGAACCTCATGAAACATGAAGGTTTCATAATGAAAAATTTGTATTTATATTAGATTTATACTAGAGATACTGAAAGGTTAGATCAATGATATTGACCAAGGTCACCCCTAACTTTGACATATCCCTGGTAGTGGGCTCATCAATATTCAAAATACAGAAGTTTAACCAGTGCAATTCCCTACAATGAAAAACAAAAATGATATTTGTACTTACATCGTAAAATACACTTTCACCTGTTACAATGGTTGACACAGCTGTAGGAGCTTTGATTGGTTGCTGAAAGAAAGATTTACTACATTAAAAAATCTGCTCAAGACAAATTCTTGAGTGCACAAAATACTCTTGCAACAAAATTATTCTAATTTTATAATGATATTTTATTGTTCATATACTTACACCATAATTCCTTTGCAAGTAAAGAAATATAACTGATAAACATTTTTTTTTTTTAAATTTGTTTTCAAAAGTGATTTAAAACTATTAAGAATAATTTTAAAAAATATATATATACACTCTTCTTAAAAACTATTCTCCTGCTTTTCCCCTTGGTTGCTAGTGCCTTGGCTGCACTAATGTATTTGTGCTTCGTCGGTTTGATTCTTGCACTTTTTCTCAGCACAGGGCCGGCAAGGTTACCATTATTTTTTGGTCGTTCAGGAATACTACCGTTGCTGTCGTTGGAATCCTTTTCGCCTCCAGGACAACTTTGTTTCAGTGAACACGAGTTGCAGATGACTTCGCCATTGCTGCCTTTTCTCCACATTGTAGAGTTTGTAGCTTTACATAATTCACACGTTGGCTTATTACCAAGCGGCATTTTTACTTAGAATTTATTAAACCGAGCTCAGTTACACAAAATATTTTTACAATAAAGTTTCGTCAATGTTTTGCCTCCATTTTTAATTGTCCTCATCACTTGTGCGCTTATAATAAGGAAGTTCGAGTCTAATGCAAAGCTTGTAAATGATCCAGATTACAATTGAAAGATTGTACTAAATACCCTAAAGTATTAAAATAGCCCATGATAATGGTTTTTAATGTTCTAAATCCCCCTCTTAACATCAATTATATTTAAATCACAAGATATAGACATTAGCCAAATAATTGGTCCATTGAAATAAAAAAAAACAAAAACAAAAACAAAGATGTGTTTGCACTAATGCCACCATATGACAATGGCAAAGGTTTACGTTTCTCAAGTGCACGTTAAACTCAAAGGTCAAGGCCAAAAGATAAAAATGTTGGTACCTAATGTAAGCTCTTGCCACAAGAAATACATCTGTTAAATATGAAAGCCCTTGCAGCAACCATTCAGAAATTAAGGTCAAGGTAAAAGGTTTTCACAAGTAGGTCAAACTCCAAGATTAAGGTCAAAATATTCATATCCAAAGAAAGGTCTGTCACAAGGAATATACATGTGAAGTATGAAAGCCCCAGCAACAAGCGTTCAAAAGTTATGGCCAAGATTAAAGTTTTTCAAAGTAGGTCAAACTTCTAGGTCAAGGTCAAAGTTGTTGGTATCCAAAGGAAGGTCTTGTCACAAGGATTACACATGTGAAGTATGAAAGCCTTCACACTAACCATTCAAAAGTTATGGCCAAGGTTAAAGTTTTTCAAAAGTGGGTTAAACTCCTAGGTCAAGGTCAAAAGGTAAAAGTTGTTGGTATCCAAAGAAAGGTCTTGTCACAAGGATTACACAGGTGAAGTAAGAAAGCCCTCATACCAACCGTTCAAAAGTAATGGCCAAGGTTAAAATTTTTGAAAAGAAGGTCAATCTCCTAAGTCAAGGTCAAAGGGTCAAATTTGTTGGTATCCAAAGGAAGGTCTTGTCACAAGGATGGCACATGTGAAGTATGAAAGCCCTAGCACCAACTGTTCAAAAGTTATGACCAAGGTTAAAGTTGGGTAACATTTTGTAAAACTGGGTCAAACTCCAAGGTCAAGGTCAAAAGATCAAATATGATGGTGCTCAAGGAAAGGTCTTGTCACAAGGAATACTCATGTGAAATATTAAAGCCATAGCTCCAACCAATTAAAAGTTATGACCCAGCAATGTTAAGGTTTTGGGGACAGACAGACAGACGGACGGACAGGGCAAAAACTAAACAAGATGTGTTTGTGAAACACTAATGCCCCCATATGGCAACTTATAGCAAAGGTTAAACTTTCTCAAATGCAAATCAAATATGTTACTACCCAAAGTAAGGTCTCCTCTCAAGAAATATACCTGTGAAATATGAAAGCCCTAGCAGCAACCATTGAAAAGATATGGAAAAGGTTAAAGTTTTTCAAAAGTAAGTCAAACATCAAGGTCAAGGTCAAAAGGAAAGGCCTTCTCACAAGAAATACACATGTGAAATATGAAAGCAGTAACACAAATCGTTCAAAAATTATGGCCAAGGTTAAAGTTTTCCAAAAATAATTCAAACTCCAAGGTCAAGGTCAGAGTTGTTGTTATCCAAAGGAAGGTCTTGTCACAAGAATTACATATGTGACATATGAAAGCCCTCACACCAACCATTCAAAAGTTATGGCCAAGGTTAAAGTTTTTCAAAAGTAGGTCAAACTCCTAGGTCAAGGTCAAAAGGTAAAAGTTGTTGGTATTCAAAGAAAGGTCAGTAAAATTTTGCAAAAGTGGATCAAACTCCAAGGTCAAGGTCAAATATGATGGTACCCAAAGAACGAAAGGTCTTGCCACAAGGAATACACATGTGAAATATGAAAGCCACAGCTCCAACCAATCAAAAGTTATGGGCAATGTTAAAGTTTTTTCGGACAAACAGACAGACAGATGGACAGACAGGGTAAAAACTATATACCCCGAATCTTTGATATGGGGGGCATAAAAATTTAAATAGTTAATGTACCAAAATCATTTGACTTACATGTACAGTCAAACCTTGTTATCTCGAATCCAATTTGACCGAGAAAAATCTTTGAGATACCCAGGGTAAAATACTTAAAGAATAAGGGATTGGGACTTCCAAATCACTTCGACATATCCATGGTATTCGAGATATCAGTGTTCGAGAAACCGAAATTTAACTGTACATGGTTGTTCTGCTTCAGATTTATACTGTCAAGATTGAATTTATGCTGTAGGTCACTAGTTATCATAAATGTAAATACTTTCATTGACAAAATTTAAGCTTTGTAACAATTTTAGCATTGAATTTAAATCTGCAAATTTTCAAGAAAAAGGGCACAAGGATTAATTGGTATCTCACATACAGAAGCTAGGTCAGGAGAAAATGTTTCACAGTTTGGTAGATGTAGTAGAAAGGAGGAATGAATATAGAAAATAGTCTAGACCAGGAATCGAACCTGGGACCCCTGTATCACTAGTCAGGTGTTCTAACCACTGAGCTATCTTTTATCCAAGGTCCATATAGCCCAAACTACTATATACCTCCCTCCTTAAACAGTCTCTTCGACCTCAAAGATATACAACAACACTGGTTAGTTAACCTTGCCAGGAATTACCAATTTATACATGTATTATCTAAACAAGACACCCCCCATACTGGCCACCAAATGTAGTAAATAAAGAAAATATATGGCTGGACTGGTGATCGAACCCAAGGCCCCTGTATCATGCACTAGTCAGTTGCTCTACCACTGAGCTATACCCAGGTCCATATAGCCTAAATTACTACAAAGGCAAGCTCATGTTAAAGTGTAATTTCATTCAGTCAAAGTTTCAAATTTATACCTTGCCACAAATTCCTGTTTTTGTACATCTCAGTATCCTGTGATCTTGACCAGTCAAGCCCCAAGAATGGAGTAAATGGAAGTAACAAAATCATTCCCCCAAAACAGTATGTGTAGATGCTTAAAAATGTGTGTTATTGCACACAAAAAGTAAATTATATAACTTCCTCTAAAACTTTTTTAAAATTTTAAAAATTATAAGAAATTTACTTCTGAAAATCAGTATAATGTACTTTAATAATAATTCAAGTTTGGTATACATGTATTTAATCACAAATACGCATATTAAATATTGTACAATTAAATAAATGATCAGTAATCTATTTACAACTTGTATTTTATAAACTGACAATCAATCTTGGCAAGAAGAGTGTAATATCAATTTATACATTTTCTTTACACAATGTATACGAAAAAAGTTAATAGATTAACTTCAACACAAATTGTCAATTAACCCCCCTCCCCTCCCCAATACTGTTCTGCTTATTTATTGTCCACAGATTGAGAAGTAGGTGTTCTAAGTCCTACAAGGTTGGCACTCTCTTCAACAGATCTCTCCGTAGTTTTGTACCTCTGTGCTAATTCCTGAAAATTAAAGTAAAATTAATATAAATTAATTATGTTCAAAAGTTATGGCCATGCTTAAAATTTTATTTGTACATATAGCAAGAAATTCATAATCTAGCATATAAAATTATTTCTTACTTTTTTTTAATTGCATACAACAAAATGATAATTTCAAATACTGTATAAGCAAAAATTTAGCAAGGATATAATTTCGGCATTTTTTGATAGGGTATTGAGATCACTTAAATTAATTATTGCTAACAATTTATTCCACATATTTTTCTATGCACCATAAAATCCCTAAAATTACTTCTCGCTAAAATTAAATACTGATTTTTAAGGAAAAATTGCTAAATTTGTGTCTCGCTAAAAATTCCACATGTACGGTAATAAGAATATGTTCCCATGTTAACAAATCATGCAGGAAGTCTTGAAAATGCTTTGTATTTACAATTCCAACCTTTCTTTTTCCGTGTCTCTTTAATTTACTCAATCATAAGAGAGTAACTACAAGAGGATACAGAAACTTGTGTGCTACCGGTAAATTGACTATATTCATCTGCTATTTTTATACTAGATGGAGGCCATAATAACTCAAGTAAATATTCATTACATAAGGATGCTTGACTATATATGCACTTTTCAAATGCAACTTTTTTTTTTTAACTCAATCTTTACTATGGTCAAATCGAAACACTGGTGGTAATGATTTGGAAAAATCTAAAAAAAAAAAAAAAAAAAAATTTCTATTTTTAGCAAAATACCCAATGATTCTGGAAAAGAAGTCAAAAATGTGCAAAGTTTACAAGCAGATGACAAACAAATGAATGACAAATTTAAATCAGAAAACTCTTGTGAGCCTTTAGTTCAGATAGGTCAAAACATTACACTCAGATTCATTATGTGGGAGCCAGAAGGAAAGGGTGGAAAAAGAGAAAACTAAGTATACCCAGGTACATGCCCTGAGATTTACTAATAATTTTCATTTCAGTGAATATCAACTGACAATTAATGTGACTGACTAAGTAAAAATAGATTATCAAGTGTCACAGCTAATTGCACACTGGTGAAATACAAAAATTGAAAGGGGAGAGAACTGCTAACGTTATTAGAACTTGTGCCCAATTCCATTAACGTACTGACAATAAAATAGGTCCAAAAAAAAAAAAGAAAAAAAAAAAAGCAGAATTTGAGACCTACATGTTAATATACATAATTAATATTCATATATTTTGAAACATTAAACATTTCAAAGAACAAACATAAAAGATTAGATACACAGATTTTTGTGATATTTTACCTCTGATTTTCGCAAACTCTCCAGCATACAAAGATAGGTTTGTCCTACCATCATCACCTCATTCTGCCCTTTACATAACTTCTGACTCGTAACTTGGTGTTCCCTAAATTGGCTCACTATGTATCGAAATGCAGGAACATCTGCTAATTTTTCCTGCAAAATAGAGATAGTATTACAATTCAATTAATTTTTTACAAATTTTTAAACTGAAAATGAGGCCTGCTGGACACATTGTGCACCTGAAAATCACAGTAACAAGCATTCTGAGAGTATTGCATTAGCAATACTAGTCCCCTACCGGCAAGTGTAATCTGGTTCCCGTTAAGAATTGAAAATGCCATAATTCCATCAAAAATTAATGAAGCGGGACGAAATGCAAACTTGATCTATAACTAATCAAGGTAAAGCCACATACCAAAAATCTGCTCAATATCTACAAGCGTTTAGAAGAAAATTGCGGAAAACCTGTAAAAATTGAAAAGGCCGAAATTCCGTCAAAAATCAGTGAAGCGGAACGAAATGCAAACTTGATCTGTAACTCATCAAGATACACTCACATACCAAAAATCAGCTCAATATCTGCAAGCCTTTAGGAAAAAAGTGCGGAAAACCAAGTGGGACAGACTGACAGACAGACAGAGGGACAGACAGACAGACAGACGGACAGACTCAGAGGAAACCTATAGTCCCCTCCGGTTTCACCGGTAGGGGACTAATAATCACTAATATTTAGTAATGAACACGGTTGTCCCTACGAATTAAAATAGCAGGGGACATTTAAAAAGTAGAAGGGGGTCTGGGGTTCTTCCATTAACAGGGTGATGAGGGAGAAAACTGGAGTAACCAGGGAATTACGTAATTATAGGCAGGGAAATTCCCTGGCCCCTGGGTCTTAGGGACAACCCTGAATGTATATCACAGATACAACTTGAACATGTTGAAATGCACAAAAAATGCCATATCAAAGATGTGGGGAGTCAAATCTAATCAAATTCATTAAGTATTTTTGTAAATGAGACCATAAAATTAGAGTGCTTAGTAAGCCCATTTTGATTGAATATGCAGACTAAGTCAAACCAAAGAAAAAAAAAACTGAGGTAGAGAGACGAGATACCAGAGGACCAAAGACCAAGGCAGACATCAGTCAGCAGCTATACAGAGGCTACATAGATTAATTGACCATCACTACAATAACACACATACGGGAGAGATGTGCACTGACAGCCATGGAGGAAACAGCTATATGGGTCCAAATGAAGTTCAAGTTTTCCAAATCGAGATGTCTGGTTAGAGAGCACAGATCACCCAAAGATTCATTCTAAAGATAACAATATTAATAGCATAGCTCTAGAGCAAGAAGCAACAGAAAGTCTAATTAACATCAGCTTCACTAGCTTGCCAAGAAAATTTAAGGTGTGGACCTTCCCGCAGAGATCATAAACATATCTTATGTCTCCTACATGTACCTGTCTAATTTGGCCACACATGCTTTATGACACTGCCATAACAACTATAGAAGGCATTGAGAGGAATGTCAACCAGTATCTCCCATCATGAATGGTGGTTCAAGAGTACATTTCATTGGTCAGATTTTACAGAAAGATCAACAAGCTTTGTTTACCTCTCACAATTCAAAACTGGGAAGGCTTGCCTCATAATGACCCTAAAGGACTTCAAAGATTTGAAAGTAAGAGAAGTTGGAACCTACATAGAGTCAGGATACAAGCAGAAAGCAGCTGTTACAAATGCAGTGTTGGAAGGAGAATCAAGAACTTCATCATAAAAACAGAATCATTGTAGGAACTGTCTGTAAAGAGAGACAAGATCTAGGCACCAAGTCAACAACAAGCTCATGAAGTTGGGGCTTCAGACAAAGACAGGTCATAACTAGTCCAACAGGTGATACAGCAACAGGAGGAAGATGCAGATAAATCCAGGCAGTGGGGATGGAAACTCAAGGAAATTGGACTACATCAGAAACTAAAGAAAATGTGTTGACATGAAGTGATAGATGGACGTATACGTCTTATCAACTCCAGTTCCTATTTAAAGCTGTGTATAAACAACACCAACAAATTCTGGGAATAACAATGAACCCAATGTCCCCACTATGCAAGAGGCCTACCAACCTTGAGCATATATGACTGTCATTTTCCAAAGTAATTAGTTGCTTTTACCCAGGTAAGGTATTGGCAGAGTCATGACCAAGTCCTTTGAGCACTTACCCATGCATTAGAGACAGGGTAGAAGAAGAACCACAAATAGTCACAAACCAGTCATGCTTCATCCATTTCATCAGAGATGGGAAACACACAACTGAGACCACTATACATCAGAGAGAGGACATACTGGGCAAGACCAGAGACTGGGAGCTGCAAGTCAACATTGAGAGGACGTTAATATTCCCACCAATACATGTATAGTAGAAACTACCCAATGACCAGAAAGGCTTATATCTGAGAGCATGAAAAAAACTAATGATGATAGAGCTAAAAGTACCACAGGAGACTTATTGTCAGGAGGCCCACAAACGTAAACATGCAAAGTATGAAGAGTTGGTGAATGATTGCTGACAGAGGCATGAGATTTTGTAGAAGCATGCCTCATGTTGAGAATGAGGGCAGCATTGGGACTGTAGAAGGAGGAGGAAGATAGCAGTTACTCCATGGCCTTGGCTGCCGAGAGGACATCCAACAGGTTATGGCTGAGAAAAGAAGACAATAGCTGAAAGCCTTACCAGCTGGGGGAGAAGATCACCTTCTGCTGTCCCGCCACCCTGAAGACATTCCACGTAAGATGGATGGACCCAGCTGAGAACTCAACAGTCTAGCAGCTGTAGACCAAAGAGGTACAAAGTTTGTTACCTGCCCCATATTCTTTGTCAAAGAATATGGGGCAGGTAACAAAAAATCATCATCTAAATAGAAAGGGATGCATACTAAAAAAATAACAAATTTCTCCAGGACCAGTTTAAGGTAAATTTGGTTAATTCTGTTGCCAATTAAGTTTATTACGGTTTGTTTTGAATAACGGAGATAATTCGGGCCCTGGAAGTAAGAAGAGACACTTGACTTTGGTCAGTTTGGAAAAAAATGACAATTGATTGACTTTTTTATAAGTTTGAAAGAAAATGACTTGGTATGTATTGCATTAATCTCACCTTTGAATTCACTGTTTCTTGCAACTCACGACGCAATCTTTTGAAAAGCAAACGTCCCAGGTTCACTTTCTGTTGATTAGCCATGTTTATTTGGGGGACAGAATAAAAGTAGGGTAAGGGTTGGAGCAGTAAATTTTCATTTAAGAAATTAAAAAAATAATTCCTCCATCCTTAATAGAAAAAAAAATAAATTCTTATTTTTAGCTTTTGTTTTAAGTAATCTGGAACGGGTGTCACGGATAATTGAAAAGCGAAATATGCTGATCGTTGATTTCAGATGACTAAATTTACCACTCTCATTATCACATTGGTGCTGCAAAAATAGAAATGAGACTTATGAGTAGGCCAATTATGTACTGAAACTTTCTGACTAACGCAAATGGCAGAGGGGGGAGAGGAGAGACTTCCAGACTTGTTCGAGACAGTGTGGTCTTGTTGGGAAAAGCTGGACAGCACAGAGGAACCATCCTCTTCCTACAATGTTCAGGTATCTCTTTCGAAATTTCTCAGTTTATGTTCATAGGTCTCTATAATTTAGCATCTAGACCCAACATGATATTTTGATGTTGCATCTGATGATCTGAGGTACTTTTATTTATAAGGATGACGTGATGATGATATTGTCAATAATTGGTTTATAAAGACAACGAGAAATAATATTATATAAATTGTATTAAAAAAAAAAATTAACTTTCAGTTTCACAAAAAAAAAATTGTATTGGGTAGAATTTACTTTACCAGTCCCCAGATGATGGTCAGTGTGCTCATTGCACTGTCTCACACACCACTCAACTGATTAGGGTTAGTCTTGCACCCACCTGAGGTTAGGGTTAGTCCTCGCACAATTCGCATCTGCAGACAGATTGGGTGCACTATTTGACTGATTAGGGTTAGTATCATACCCGGCCCGGAGATTTGGGTTAGGCTTAGTTCTTGCATATTACCCAAGACTGGAGATTAGGGCTAGTGTGTTAATATTAGAGATACAGTCTTTTAAATCAATTAATAAATTCAAATAAATCAATTAGTTGATTATAGAAGATTATAGTTCTCATCATCTGTGTATTTATGACATCATGTTTGCTTGTTTACATTAAAAAATGGCAAAGATGAAAGAACCCAGACTAAGTATGCACCAAACATGCTTCGTTGACAGCAAATTCTGTCAATTTTCACTGACTAAACAACAATTTTTATTAAATGTTTTCAGAGAAGGTTAAAAACTTTCAAATTGTTTAAAAAAAAGTTTTAAAATAATCTTTAAATCATAGATTTTGATTTTGTTGTCAAACTGGCCCAAAACTTAATTTTTTTCTACTGCTCACATGATCTCATATATACATGTATTAGAGTCACCTATAGCAACACTTTATTTAAGCATATAATGTTATTCTGGGGACCGGTAAAGTAAAGTCTTTCCCTAGAATGTTCATGGTCCAGATCGAGCTATAATCATGGTTATAGGCTATATATGTAATTCTGTGAATATTGGAAATAATAAAGTCATTATTCTTTTAAAAGAAAACAATCATCACAGGGATAACAGCTGGGATGAAGGCCATTAGAATGGTGAATGAGCTCTGTCTGTTTAGCAGTAATGAAGAGATCGAAGAGGTGGCAACAAATGAAATGAAGTAATTATAATTGATTATCACAGATGCATCAAATTCAGTATTTAGATATGTCTCAAGGTTGTAGTTAAATGATGTTGCTATGAGAAAATCTTAATAATTTTATATTGAATTAAACGTCACAAAATCCTTTAAGTTATGTACTTGATCAAATAATAATTTGAGAATAGAAAATTTTCTTAATATGACTTAATTAATAGTCTTATCTGTGATGTCATGATTAGATCACACTATGAAGTCATGATTTATTAAGATATCATATTTAGATTTATGAGCAAAGCCAAACATATATGTATTTCTATGAAAATGTTATGCTTTGTTTGCTCAATATTTAGAAAAATTGAGGTGAAGATTTCCTTCCACAATCACAACCGATTTGGAGGTTTGAAATCAGTATAGTATGTCACATATATATATATATATATATATATATATATATATATATATATATATATATATATATATATATATATATATATATATATATATATATATATATATATATATATATATAGGTCTGGTTTCAAATTCAAGTTAAACTTTTAGATACCTTTTGTTGCCTGCCTTTGTGGGATTTTTCACGGAGAGGAAGACTGTAAAAAAAATGGAGGACAGAGAGGGTTTGGTAAAGGAAGCAACAGTAAGCAAAAACAAGTAACAATTTGCTTTAAAAATTACAATATTTATTAAAATTATCACTCTGGCTGTCTGTGCACAAATTTCTTGTTTGTTCTTGGAAGAAAAATCCAATATTTTCATTAGTAATGTTGAAAGTTCAAACATGATATGTTGATTCCATTTGTCATGTGGTTGGTGCAAAGAATGAGCAAAGAGAGATTTCCTTATACATGTACAAGGATGATAATTCTAACAATTCCCTCAGGATTTATTATCTCCCTAGCCATAGAAGCTTAATCTCAAACTGTCACATTCAAGATAAATTAACTTCTTTTTTTTCCTTTTAAAGCAAATATTTTAAACTCCAGATCTGCTGATCAAAAAATTGAGGGTGAGAATTAAAACTAACAGTTGTTTCTTTTTTTTTTCAGGCATATTACACAGATTTCCTCAGAAATTGTGATAGTTATGGAGTAGCTAAAATTGATAAGAAGCTTCTAAATCTAACTCCTGAGAGTCAGCAGAAAGCTCTGAGTTCTAACGGGTAATCACTTACTGTCAACATATTACATTTGGCTTGTGTTATTATTAGCACCTTTGGCGGAAAGAAACTTCTGCTAATTCAAGTATGATGCTAAATGTCTTGCACATATATACATAAATAAGAACATTAAAAATGTGCTAAATCAAATATACACTGTGTTCGAAAATCTTTTTTTGCCAAATGTCGTACATGCAAAATATAATACATTTACACAGGCACTTGACGTTACATATATTCTTAAAAATATATATAACTATATATATCATTATTAGATATGGGGTTATATATTTTTTTTAATAAGAAAAATATGTAATGCCAAGTGCCTGTGTACATGCATTTACAATACTTTATTATTTATGCATTGCACGTGCCATTCAACAGTTTTCTAATCTTAATTAATAAGTCCTTACTCAGAAATGATTTCATTGATTTCATCGTTTAAACATTTGATATTGTGTATTGTTTTTTAGACCACCACAAGGACTAGCAGGTCAAATGCAGACTAGAGAGGAGAAGATTAGAAGTTTTAAAGAAAAGAAGGAGCTTGATGCCAAAGTGAAGGAACTCCACGAAAAAATGAAGCAAGAACATGTAGATGATGAAATAAAGGTTATTTTCCTTTCATGTTAAGAAATACAAGTTCAGCGATATTTACTATTTGGAGGTGGAGGTTTGGTATATTTATAACTGTACCTGTATTTATTTTGATAACTTATATACATGTATCTCCGAGAATGCAGAGTAATTAAAATGGAGTATATTGATTTTAATAATTTCCAGCATTTCACAAGATGGAGAGATTGTCGAGTTGAATTTTAGCATCTTGAATAGGAATTGCGAGCTTCTGACTAACACTGATTAGTTTACCTTATACTTGTTGTTAGCTAAGATTTGTTGTGTTTTTATTACAGAGAGAGTACTACTTAGGTTTAATTAGACAATGGATTGGAACTGCTAAAGAAAGTCTGGAATCACTCCAGGGTAAGGGAAAGAATGAATAAATTTTCTGGCACCAGATTTTATCATTTTAATTTCTCGATTTGAATTGAAGAAAAAATAATTTTTGTTATAAATAAATAGTACAATTGCTACTAAAAAAATATGTGCATACTAGGGCTGGGACGATACAACTTTTTCTATATCGATACATATCACGATATTTGTGCCGTGATACGATATGTATGTATCACGATATGTTGAAATGGTTATAAAGTCTTTTTTTTTTGTATTGAAATGAACTAAACATTTCTTCACAAATAAGAATAATTTATTCAAAGAAGTTGTATATTTGTTATAAAAAAAAATTATTTTACACAAGTGTTGTTAATTATATGTATTTCATATTTATATTTATATTTAGCATATTTATTTTATATATTAAACCCGAAATATTAAACAAAGAAGAACATAAGTCAGAATTTTTTTTGTGATACATGTATATCAATATTTCTTTGTACGTATTGATATGTGTATTGTCCTCACACAGAATAGATATCTCGATATATCGTGCCAGCCCTAGTGTATACCATACATGATGAAGAAGGCAGAACACCATGTTTCAAACACAGCAGTGTAACTACTAAGTATTGCTTAATGAATTGCATTTTTCAGTTGAAACTACCATGTTAGGCATACGTCATCAAGCATTAGATGATGAAGTGCCAGAGAACAAACCTAAGGAACAGAGAAAGGTATCCTGTCCAAATTTCTTATAAGTATGAAATGTAATACTGAGTTAACAGGCTCTGGAGCAGTGGAGCCAAAAAACTTGGAGGAGCTCATTTTTGATCTCAGTCTTATTTCACAAAAGGAATGCATGGAGGGAAAGTGAAACTGAAATAAAAAAAATGAGGTCATCTAAGTTTTATGGCCTCAGAGTCTGGTGGTACATAGTATAAATGTCAACTCTGCATTTTTTGAACAAAAAAAGAAGGCAAGCTTGAAAATTTCCTGTGCCAGTAGGAAATTTATTTCTTTTTTATGTCTGACAGGCATTCCGTCCATTCATCATCACCAAAGACATGATTCAGAAGGCTGTATTTGGTGCAGGCTATCCCAGCTTACCTACAATGACTATAGAGGAGTTCTATGAACAGAAAGTGAAAGACGGCACCTTCCATCCACCTACCTCACAGTAAGGACGTCTCAATTAAGGGGGACAACTCTGCTTCTCCTCAATTATACAGAACAGTTTGGCATGTAAAAAAAATCAGAAGGCATGCAGATAAACATTGTCTTTTCTGATGATCACAGGGAAGGGTGACTTAATGCTTGATATATTTTTCTTTGGTGTAAAGAACCAATATATATTTTTCTTTGGTGTAAAGAACATGTATTTGAAGTGCATGTAAGAATCTACAGAAAGCCTTTGAGGAAAATTTGGAGTTTTGAACAAATTGATGTCGTAACTCTCTCTCTCTCTTATTTCATTCTGAAAATGTATGGAAAATTGGATAATAAAACAAATGACGAAAGTCTAGAACAATGATTTTAATAATTTCATCTACTGCCGTTGAAATAAAATATGCTACCATATGGTATCTCATTAAAATTATTCTTGTGTTGAGATAGAAACAGTGCATTGATCTTGTCTATATTAGGACATACATAATGTAGTCATAAATTTTTTTCCCAATAGGTTGTTGTCAGTGAGTTCATTGTTATGCAGTGTGTATGGCATTGTCATGCAATCTATTTATTGTGTTCTGAGACTTTCTACAGTTCTCTGTTTTGTGGGTTTTAGGGGACATAGTATGCAGGACTGGGCGGCTGATCCTGATAAAGATAAAGAAGCCCAGGAAAAGGAAGCCGAGGAAAAGGAAAATAAAATCGAACAAGACGACCCAGAGGAGCTACAGAAGGCCAGAGCAATGGATGACTGGAAAGATGGTAATTAGGATATTAGATGTGTACCTTTTGACCTTATCTATGTTACAAGCTCAGGAGTGGGCTTCTGGTAGAAGTTTGTCTCTTGTTTTTCATATGTTAATTCCCCTATAAATTTAAAATTTAAATTCTACAGAAACTTGTTGTCTGAGGAATGGAAATTCTAAGAGCCATCTTCAAATAATGTTGCACTCTCTTTTCCAAAGTAAACAGAAATTTAGCAAAAATAAAGTGTAGTACAGAGTACACTATAGTTGCATTATCCTTAACCCAAAATCAGTGCACTGTTTCTTCACCCTAAAACAAAAATGACAAAACTTCAGAATAGTTTTATTTTGTATATACCCCGGTGCCAGTGTTGGTAGATTTATTTGCTTAGTAACTCAAGTGATCCATAATTTTTATCTTGCTCTCTAAAACTGCAGGACCATTTTTATATCTGTATTTTATAAATGTTATATAATATCTGTATAAGTAAGGAACAAAATATTATGAATTTGGTGGTCCTTAGCTCCCTTGGGCCTGAAACCTTCTTGTTATTAAGGCATTTTTACTCATCCCTCAAGTCCCAGCAGGACTCTGTCCATGAATATTAAAACTCTTTGTTCCCCTTCATCCATTGATGCTACAAATTGGTTGACATTTCTTTAGCCAATGCAGAAAAAAATGAAAATGTAGGTGATAGTTATGTTTGAAAACAGTTTTTACTCTTGAATATCTAGCATACAAATTTTTCAAGTGATTAGACATCTTTCTTTTACAATGTGCATTCAATTTTTTTTGTGAAAAAAATTGTGATTAAATTGGCATCAAAAGAATATTTATCAGTAACAAGCATTCCTTAATACTTAAAATATGCCTGAATAAATGAGGTTGTAAAAAGGTATTTGATACTTGAAGATTTTTACTATAGTCAAGTTTTTAGTTTGCAATTTTCTTTCTTATTCAAGATCACCGCAGAGGATGGGGAAATCGCAAAAATATGGGCTGAGATGAAAATGAGCAATTCACAGCTAAGACCAATCACCGGCTATTGTGTTGCCCTTCATACTCTATGTCAGGATGAATGTGCTTTCCAGGAACTAAGGAGAATATCTGAATGGACATAACTGAAAACTCAGGAATTCCCTCTTCTCACAATGATTAATATCTGTAGTGAGAAATAATCAGTATAAAATGTAAATTTGGATGTTAGTTGTGCTTTTATGAAGAACAAATGCTGTTATACTTGTATGCGTAGAATTAATTGCCTGTGATAATATCTTTAATAAAGACTTTCTAAGTACATGTTTATGTATTCTATTATTTAAGCTGCCATTTAGAACTGTTATAAGGTTATTAATCCATGGTCAAAAAAGACCTAATAATTGGTCTGAAGTATGTCAGTCAAAATACAATATCCAATGATAGGTTGTATTTGCTAATAAGTTCATTATAACAACCATAGAAATTTCAAATGCTGATTTTAAATGAGAATAATAAAATCCCTGTATCAACAACTTATATATCAGTAGCCTTCCATGGTTTAAAAATTCATTGTACTCATGCAGAGCATGCTCCTAAGTATCGTATAATTGAGAGACATAATCACCATATTCAGGTGATAGTGGAATATTACTTCATAAAGTAATGAAAGTTGACAATGGAAAAACTGATCAGAAGTCATCTTCATTTGTCAAACAGTTTAGATTTTAGTTGGGCCTTATCATCTACATTCAGAAAAAATCCCAATTTGAAATGTGGCAGACTCTGTGAAGTCATTTATTTCGAGTTCATTGGGATGCTAGTATATCGAGTCAACATATAAATGGAAGTAACTATTGTTAATGGATAAAACATTGTCGTTATATCTGTTTAAATTTTTGTACAAAATAGAGTCTGGACACTTCCTATTTTAATTAAAGTCAGTACAAAGTTAATTTTTGTAGTGTATTTTATTAAGTTATTTCATTAGATTCATGTGTTCATGTTTAGCTCCAGATTCTACGGATAAGAGGTCTCCTTACATTGATTTCTGTGTTTTGAAAAGGGGTTTTTATGGGCACTTTTGTAAATCATTCATTGACAAGTTTGTTTTGCTGCCTGTCAAAAAGTAGGTCCAACTCAAAGTTGTAATATTAATTCAAAATAGCAGGCATCTGGAACACCTCGGGCCCGAGGTGTTCCGGATGAATAGCAGGGTGACATTAATTGCTAATTGCAAGACCACATTCACAAGTCATGTGGACATGGGGGTTAGGTGAGGCTATCAAAGATGAAATTTTCCACAATATATAACATTATGAACATATATATACATTCATATTGAATTTGTGTGACAGTGCCTCATGAAGTTGGTAATATTATAGAGGAAAAACAGTGGGTTATGCCAATTGAGCCCAGATTGACCCCACAAAGGGAAGTAACTTTCGTAAATATCTAGTTTAAATTATGACTTCTTGTGCCGGATGATGCAACAGTATGCATGGTATGGTATCAGAATTATTCATGGGCATATAGAGGACAATTTCTTTTGAAAAATCTGATGAACAAGAGCAGGCCATGACAGCCAGGCAAGGGTGACTTAGGTGAGCGGTGTGACCTTAGGGCCTATCATTCATTCGAAACTACCGCCGCGATAAACTAGCTCCACCTTAATTGTTCTTGTTAGCCAATGAAATCCATCGGCTGAGACACTGCCTCTGGAGAAGGTAACCGCAACGCGGACCGGCGACGTGTGTTTAGAGTTAATCACAACAATGGCATCATCGAAGAAAAAAGTCTGCATCATAGGATCAGGAAACTGGTTTGTTATATTTTTTTATGAGTTAAAAACCTTTTCTTGCAATCATTTTACTTCATGCAGTAGTAACATGACTAGTTCGAATTTTCTCACTATTAGCTGGAATTTACCGGTTTACTTTGCGAATGGTACAAAGTCCATTGATATATTTTGATTAATGTCAGTAAAATTCTAAATCATTTTGAAAATACTTATGAGTTATATGTTTCAATTGCTATAAATATTATTTTTCTTCTGACATAAAATGTCAAGTTTGTTCTAGCCATGTAGCAAATGACATGCGCTGATGCAATGTTAATTATGTTCACGATGAGGCATTTAATGATAATGTCACAGTTGCAAAATATGGTTCCTTGTAGAACAATTCTTTGTCAATTTTGCCTTTTCTTTTCCTTTAAGGGGGCATTCCGACAACTTTTCAAATGTTATCTCATTAATTTTCTTAAAATTTTAACTATGCAGCTTATTTTCTTTAGAGCTTATTTCTTGCTTGTCACTTATTTTATGTCCATTTTACAAGAGTATACTTTACAAGTACATGTACTTTATACCAGTTTCAATATTACCTTGAAGTACCTGTAATGTTGGAAAAAAATCAAAAGTTTTTATCATTTTGAGACAATTTATATTAGGATTTAAAAGTTATTCTTTTTTCTTTTTTCTTTTTTTTTGTTAGATATAGTGTAATCAAAAATGTATTTGGTAGCTTACTAGTATGATGGACTAAATAATGTACAGTTGAACTTTGATATCTCGAACACTGATATCTGGAATATAATGGATATGTCGAAGTGATTTGGAAGTCCCAGCCACTTATTCTTAAAATATTTTACCCTCAATATCTCGAATCCTTGGATATCCCAGAGTTTTTCCATGATCCCATTAAGTTCGAGATAATAAGGATTGATTGTAATTGGCCTTTGCTGACCAAGACACAATGATAGTGTTCCAAAATATAAATACAAATACTTCATGTCCTACTGTATAAAATTGTTGAATTTATAGAAAATGTACTCATAATTTTGAATTTTTGTTCAAGGCACCAACAACTTGGTCATGAATTTGCTTCATTGTGTTAGGCAGAGGTCTAGATCTTTTCATATTTTATCATTCTGCATATGTATACATTTCTAGCTTTATCTTATCTGTGACCAAATTTACAATACCTTTGATGCAAATAGGTTTATTACCTGACAAAATGGTTTTCTCTTTGATAAGGTTTTTAGGTTAAGGTGAGATATATAGCTATCACAACATTGGCACAGTGGGCAGTGCTAGATTCAAAGATCTGGGTTTTTAAAGGCAAACTTTGGAATTTGTGGCTAGACAGTTATGTCATTGGCATATCTATAAGCAAACATATCACCAATAGAAATACAAGCAGATTATAGGAAACAGCGGGATAGTCTTGTTAGAGTTGATCAGTCTTGGTTCTTGCTCAAAGGAATTAAACTTGAAATAAAAATTTCAATATATATTCACACATATTTAATACACATATATAGATACAAGTGCTTCATTCTGTAGTAAGTATGTATGAAGTATAAAATTTATTGAAAATATTTTGTCATGATTACACTTTGCAGGTTCCTGTCAATAGCAGAATTAGAATTTCCTATCATGCTTTCATTATCTGCAGTACTCTCAGATACAAATGGTACCCGTACATATATATTTGTTTTATTGTAGGGGTTCAGCAATTGCCAAAATTGTGGGGAACAATGTCTTGGCCCTGCCAGACAAGTTTGACACAGAGGTTCGGATGTGGGTGTTTGAGGAAAAGGTAGATGGACGGAACCTAACAGAAATCATAAACAACGACCATGTCAATGTTAAATATCTCCCAGGAATTCAGCTTCCAAAGAGTGTGGTAAGTTTGACAGGAAAATGTCAAAATATGGAAGAATTTTACACAAATATACTTTGGCATGTTTTGCAAACACATACAGTATTCATATAAAATTTTTGCAAATTCTGCATTTCATTTTACATAACTTTAATAAACATGACCAGTGATTAAGGTATTGCACAAAATATAACTAATGAAGGTACAAGTATCTAAAATTATGTATTAAAGAAGATGTTTTACCATGTTTATGTTTAAATTAGCCGAATGAGTTGGGTTTTTTTTCATAATTATTAATGATTTATTTAAGAGTGTATTTGATGAAAAGACAATCTATGCTGTAAATGTAACATAAACAACAAATTTATTGAGATACAGTTGAAGTACAATGTAAATGTGCAAGATAAAATCCAACATTTAACAAGTTTAATTCACAAACATGAAAAAAAAAACTCAATAAACAGACTCAGCCTTGCAGTAGTAACTACTGTAACAGTATGTGTACTTAAAAAAAACAGGCTTCATATTTTAGCGGCTTTGGCACGGATAACAATGCGCTAATTCACAAATAGATAATAAATCATAAATACACGAGGACGTGTGTAACGCTAATTAATGATTACGCCAAAAACTCAATACCCAGTGATTGCATTAAATTTTGAATTCGTCAATTTATGTACACGTACAGTATGTGTATATCACATCATACATTTATTTTAACATTGACTGATTTTAGGTAGCTATACCTGATGTGAAGGAGTCTGCAGAGAATGCAGACATTCTGATCTTTGTGTTGCCACACCAGTTTGTACGAGGAGTTTGTAAACAGTTAGATGGTAAAGTCAAGAAAAGTGCCATTGCTGTCTCTCTCATAAAGGTACTATGATGTCCCCTTAAGAAGGGACAGTGATAATTTTCCCAAGATTCATATGCTCTTAGTTTCTCCTCAAGGGAGGTAACTTTATACATGTATTTATGAATTCTATAGCAATGATAATTAATATAAAAGTAGATAATGCTGACAAGCAATGCATTATATATGTATAAGCTATGATATTGAAACCTTTTAGGGTTTTGATGTAGCAGAAGGAGGTGGTATACTGCTGATATCAGATGTGATACGAGAAGTGTTAAAGATTCCTTGTGCAGCTTTAATGGGAGCTAATATTGCCAATGAGGTAGCCAAAGAAAATTACTGTGAGGCCACGATAGGTAAGAACAGTGTGTCAAATGTTGAGTCATGATAAAAATAATAAGAATTAAAGAAGGTCTCTGAAAAGTAATTTGTACATGTATTCTAACAGCATTTCCCCCTTATATAACTGGTACTGATAAATAGTACCATTCCCAATGCCAAAAAACGTTAATTTTTCCCAGTTTTGATACTAAAAATTCCCAATTCAATGACTTTGATCATGCACATTGTAATTCTTTTTGTATGAAATGTATGAGTTGACTAAATTTTTCACTTTGGATCCTCTTATATCAGAAGTAGAGTAGTCGGAGACAAGTGTTGTAGAAAGCTTGTGTCTGACATTATTGACAATTGGGAAGTATGAAAATGTGAGACTGAGACATTAATATATAAGACAATGAATACTTTTTGTTCATGCTTTAAAACATGGATTAATAGTTAATGTGTGTAGAATAAAACGTAAAATTTGTGATTTGTTGAAATGACCAAAAATTCCTCTTTGTTCTAATTTGATTGTGTTTTTCTCAATTGAATCTTTACCAGAACCATTCCCAGTGGGCAAAAAAAAAAAAATTGGAATCTATTAAATACTAGTATAGACATGAACATTTCTATAGATGATGAAAGTTCAGTATACACATTATGCAAAGTAAATGTAAAAGCAGATTTACATATAGATTGAACAGGAATGTTGATAGAGCATAACACAACTGTATTATATTAAACAGGTATTAAAGTTCAAGAGCATGGTCCTCTCCTGAAAGATCTATTCCAGACAGATTATTTTAGAATTGTTGTTTGTGATGATGAAACAACAGTGGAAGTATGTGGTGCTCTTAAGGTAACTTGGTTTTCTCATACTTTATAAACTAAAGGAGATCATATGCAGAGAAAACATTTCTGATAGTAAGCGCTCAGCTGAATCTCAAATTAAGAAGGATAAAGATTTTGGTTTGGAAAACGTAATTTTTAGAGCAGTTTTAGGAATCAAAGTTTCATTCCATGTTCACGTTTTCTCCTGCAGTGTACAGTGTATATACACTTTCATATGTGTAATTTCATAGTTCTATTCAAAACTCAAATGTACCCTTTTGTAACATAACTAATCCTCATTTGTTTAGGTGAAGTACATGTATTACATTCCCAGTGTTTGATAGATCTACAGAAAAGTTTCATTGTTATTGGTTAATTTTTGCTTTTATCATTAATGAAAAACTTATACATGTGTCTAAGAGGAAGTTATTGGATGATAGAGTTTTTTTTTTTAATCAGGCCCCCGCAAGAATTTGCGGGTGCCCTATAGTAATCACTTTGTCTGTATGTCTAGCTGTCTGTCTGTCCATCTGTCATTCTTCCGTCCACATATTTTCTGTTTTTTTCTAATAACTTTTTTTAGGGTTGACCAATTAAGTTCAAATTTGGTGTGTTGGTTGAATAGGCAGTAAGACATATTTTGATGTTAAGTTTGGTTCTCTATGTCATCCGGTTTGGACAGGGGTAGAAACTCCCTAAATATACAACTCGCAAAGAATTTCGAGTACCAAAAAACTGAACTCGCAATTTCGCAAGACTACTCGCAATTTTAAAATGAAAACTTAAGCCTATTTAAAATTGAAATTAAATGCATGTTCTTAAAGATAAATTAACTACTGTAAAATACACAAAATACTGGTACATGTTCAACTGCAGTCTCACTGTGTTTAACTCAAAGTATTGATTTGAATCAATTGTGTTCTCTTATTATCATGTAATTTGATAATATGTTCCAATTTCAATGCATGTTCTCTTTCCAGTTGATCTGATTGACAACCATAAACATATTAGTAAATAATTTAATTGCAAAAGTGGGGAATTCAGTCTACATACTGTTTTCATATTGTGGAGTAACACAGTTCTTGCTCCTAACAACTTTACAAAACAGTTCCACATTGACAAACATGTTGTTCCTCACTCTCTACCATCGGCACATACATTACGTGTCTGAGAAAAGAACGTACGACAACTCTGAAAGGGTATTTGATAGTTCTCAACTTTTTTTTTTTCGTAGCACGTAAATATCATCACTGGTGATTTTTCGATTTATTACCATCAGCACTGTCTTCCATCTGTCGTTTTCAAAACTTGGTAACTTTTGCATTCTGATTCGCCATTCTGGTATTTAAAAAATGGCGGAAATGTAAACAATAGCTAACAAAACTGAAAACTAAAACAGGTAGGGACGGACATTTTTTTTCCCGGGTAAAGTTACGATGTTTAAAAATCAACTCGCAATTTTTTGCGAGTTACCAAATTTTTAACTCGCAATTTAGATATTCTAACTCACATTTTGCGAGTTGTATATAATGAATTTTGAACCCTGTTTGGAGCTGGGGTGGTGGGGTAGATTCCTTAACTTTATAAAAGAGTGAATGGGCAAAGAGAGGTAACTCTGCTGGGAATTTCCTATTGTAAACTATGAAAGGCTGCAATGAGTCTCTTGGGATTAATTAACTTTCCTCTTGAAGAAAATCAAAGCATTTATCTTTATCTGTCACATCAAGATTAATCAACACCTCTGTCTGCTAATGAAGTTTGTTTAGAAGTTAAGGTCAATTCTGAATGATGTTTACATTCTCTGAAATGTGGATTTAAATAATGTTCATACTTTATTTTGGTAAAATACACAATGAGTTATGATTTTCTTGAATTCTAAAAACAAGATAAAGATAAAGATATCTTTTTTATTGTTATTTTTAGCTCTACTGGTCAGAGACCAGAAGAGCTTATGCCATAGTAAGGTGTCCGTTGTCCTTCCGTCTGTCTGTCCGTCCGTCTGTAAACAATTTTTCAAAATGCTACTCCTCCTACAGTTTTGGTCTGATTTCAGTATAACTTGGCACACAAGTAGACTACACTAAGATACATAATTCTGTGTATCGGTTTTTGATTTCGATGAACGGTGTTGCCATGGTTACTAAAAATAGAATTTTCTGTGAAAAACATTCAAAACGCTACTCCTCCTACAGTTTTGGTCTGATTTCAATATAACTTGGCACACAAGTAGACTACACTAAAATACATAATTCAGTGTATCGGTTTTTGATTTCGATGAACAGTGTTGCCATGGTTACTAAAAATAGAAATTTCTGTGAAATACTTTCAAAATGCTACTCCTCCTTCAGTTTTTATCTGATTTCAATATAACTTGGCACACAAGTAGTCAATACTAAGATACATAATTCTGTGTATCGTTTTTTGATTTCGGTGAACGGTGTTGCCATGGTTACTAAAAATAGAAATTTCTGTGAAATACTTTCAAAATGCTACTCCTCCTACAGTTTTTATCTGATTTCAATATTACTTGGCACACAAGTAGACTACACAAAGATGCGTAATTCTGTTTATCGGTTTTTGATTTCGATGAACGATGTTGCCATGGCTACTAAAAATAGAAATTTCTGTGAAATACTTTCAAAATGCTACTCCTCTTACAGTTTTGGTCTGATTTCAGTATAACTTGGCAAACAAGTAGACTACACTAAGATACATAATTCTTTATATTGATTTTCTGATTTCGATGAACATTGTTGCCATGGTTACTAAAAATAGAAATTTCCTTGAAATACCTTCAAAATGCTACCCCTACAGTTTTGGTCTGATTTTAGTATTACTTAGCTCACAAGTAAACTACACTAAGATACATTATTCTCTGTACCAGTTTCGGATTTCAATGAACGGTGTTGCCATGGTTACTAAAAATAGAAATTTCTTTGAAATACCTTCATTATGCTACTCCTCCTACAGTTTTGGTCTAATTTTAGTATAACTTAGCACACAATTAGACTACACTAAGATACATAATTCTCTGTACCAGTTTTGGATTTCAATGAACGGTGTTGCCGTGGTTACTAAAAGTAGAAATTTTCTTGAAATACTTTGAAAACGTTACTCCTCCTACACTTTTTGTCTGATTTCAGTATAATGTGGCATACAAGTAGACTACAGACTGAGATACATAATTGGTGTTATTGTTTTTTGATTTTGTTGAATGATGTTGCCATGGTTACTTAAATCAAAATTTCTGTAAAGTTGTTTTAAAAGGCTACTCCTCCTACAGTTTTAGTCTGATATAATAATTAATCTTGCCACAAAAGAGACTAAACCAAGGATCATTATTCTGTTTATTGCTGTTGCAAAGTTTCAAGTCAAAGTGCTACTTTTATCTTCCTTTATAAATACAACCAGTAGAGCTACAGTCTCATCAGAGACTTCTGGTTTTTCTTTCTTTTTTTTCTGCCTTATGTAAATTCAAGAATACAATTTATTTTAACAGGTATTCAAGTAAATAATAATCTCATTCTGTCATTGCTGAAAAAGTTCTTATTGTAAACTTAGGAGAAAAGGTTGAGAGAGCAGTATAATTAATCCCCTGGGATTGATTATCTTGCTGGTTGCAGAAAATTTTAGAGGGTTATCTTTCTGTCACTTTAAGATTAATTAACACCTTTGTCTGCAACTGATGTTTGTCCTGAAGTTAAGATCAAGTGGGTGATATTTGCATTCACTGAAGGCTGGCATTTTAGAAAACACATGCTTCATTCTTCTTTAAATATACATTTAATTGAGTTATTATAGATATGATATGTTTTACTGCCATATGTAAATACAAGGATACTATTTACAGGTTTTTTGGATATTTAGCAGTTGCTGTTGCTTATTCTTCTTTATATATTTTTAAATTTTTGTAATCAAGTAAAATTCTCATCCCCTAATTTGCACCCTTATATTTCTACCCCTCAGTGGGGCCCTTGCTGACTGGTCAGATTTCTAGTTTTTTATTTTTTGTAGAATAAATAAATTATGTAACCTTTACAAAAAGTATATGACTTGTGTTGTTTGATTACAGAACATTGTGGCAGTAGGAGCTGGTTTTGCTGATGGTTTGGGCTATGGTGACAACACAAAGGCAGCTGTAATTAGATTAGGTCTCATGGAAATGATCAAGTTCTGTGAAGTCTTCTATCCAGGTAGTATTTACTGAGGACATTTTTATGATGTGTATTCATGTAGGTCGTCCTACGTGTAAAAACTAAACCTCTACAATTTTTTATCTCTACAATAAAACAACATATTTATAGCATGCAAAGACATAATCTGTTGTATTCAATATCAATAATAAGTTATTGATACATGTACATTTGTTATATTCAATATCAATAAGTTATCGATACATGTATGTTGTTATATTCAATATCAATAATAAGTTATCGATACATGTACATTGTTATATTCAATATCAATAATAAAGTTAATGATACATGTACATTTGTTATATTCAATATCAGTAATAAGTTAATGATACATGTATGTTTGTTATATTCAATATCAATAATAAGTTAATGATACATGTGTTCAAAATACAGGGAATGAAAATCACTTCACTGTAAGCTCGAATTCATTATAGGCTGGTATCTACAACTGTGTTTTACTGTATTTACCATAAATGTAACGTAGATACATGTTAATATTAAAAAAAAAATTCTAAATTCAAATTTGTGTTCTCTCTTAGACTCCAATCAATCCACATTTCTGGAGAGCTGTGGAATCGCTGATCTCGTCACCACTTGTTATGGAGGCCGAAACAGAAAAGTAGCCGAGGCTTTTGTAACTACTGGAAAGGTACAATTATTTTGTTTCTATGATAATCAATCAATTTAATTAAATGAAGAAAAAATTGAAGGATCATAGTGAAGAAAAAAATTGTCCGTTTTGATGAAATTGACCATCAAAGAGAAGTAAAAGAAATGTTGGTTAATAATGAATGTTCAAAGTATACAGCTGACTACTTTTTTTTTTACACAAAAGTTTCGGCTTTCAAGACTAGATATTCACTTTGCTCATAAAGGTTAAGATTTATATTTGCATGAAATACAAAACTTTGAAATTCAAATCAATAGTACATTTTCACAATATACATGTATATATGAATATTCAAATTCGAACCCAGTATATTTGTTAACTTATAAATACATACCCCATGTAGAGCAACTAATCCTGGATATGTTGATATTTTGATGTCATTTTATTTGACACTGTAGTCAATAGAGACATTAGAAGCTGAGATGCTGAATGGTCAGAAGTTACAAGGCCCACCCACTGCTTATGAGGTCAATTACATGCTCAAGAGTAAAAACATGGAAGATAGGTCAGTAAATTATATTTATCATATTTTTTGACAGAAAATATTGTGTGATAGTTGAATGCTTTTAGTTTCACTTTAATACCTATTTCAATTTTTTTTATTTAAGAAAAAATAAAAGAAATGTTACTAGGGTGATCATAGTCTTGTATAGAATGTTATTATCTACAGAAAAAAAATACTGTACATCCATATGCTGAGGGATTGAATTTTTAAACATATTTGCTATGTGTTTGTTTTTCGCCCAAACACAAAAAAATCTACTTTACCCTGTTTAATATTTATCCAGAGCTAATTTCATACTTTATAGGTATTTTATAGTTATATATATGTGTTGATTTGAATTACTAGTAGTAAAGTTGTCGAAAAGTCACTTAAAATGCAATAAATGTATACTAGTTAAATTATCTCTGTATGAAGTAGTGGCTCAAAATGTTCATGCTTTATGTTCAGGTTTCCATTATTTACTGCCATACACGATATATGTAAAGGAAAATTGGAGGCCAAAAAGTTCATGGACTGCTTAAAGAACCATCCAGAACACATGTAAGATATCCCATGTCTCCAGACTGCACCTTTCTTACGTGCAGTTCATTGGGACATTCAAACTTAACATCAGAATGGTTCATGTACATGTATTATATTTTTGACTTAGTTGTTTTAATAATATATATATATATAGTACTATGAATGTCAATGTATATTTTATTGTCATTTAAGAGAAATATCATTTTATGTACATGTAGATATTGATATTGAAGACAATTTGGGCATCGGTCCACAGTTGTGTGATACTTTTTCATAAATGTTTAGTGATGCACATCTATTGTCAATTTTGTCTCTGGAGACAATCAATTTTTATGTATGCACTAACTAATGATTATTAGAAATCGCCCCACCCCCTTCCCCCCCAAATGCATTTTCTTTATTCTAACTTATTCAATAAAAATGGACAAGTTTTTCTACCTATTATTATTTTAAACTCTTTTAATGTGAACCAAATATAAGTAAGCAAAAGGTTAAAATTCACATACATTTTCTTTCTTTCAAAGGTATTTAATCCAGTTTTACCTAAATGAAATAATATAAAAATAAAAATCTTAATTTTGACATTTACAACATATTTTATAAACAGTGGATATAGTAAGAAATTGAGAGAAAAAAAATGGAATAAAAACACATTTCCTTTAAAGTAATTTGCCTAAAAATTGGTTGTCTCTCTTAATGTAAGATATGAATGAAATATTATTTATATACAAGTACTAAGAATGACTTAGGCATTATTTTCAGGGATATATCCAGAGTAATAATGTATGCATGTATACTTTTAGGTTGCGTAAGCCTCGCCTTTAGATCTTTCTACAAGCTTCTGGGAATGACTCTCTGCTGCTTTTACTTTTCCTTTTAGTGCATGTCATCTATAGCAAGCTTAATAGTATAAAGTATGCATATTTTCTAACAATCCTACAGCTTTCATATTCATTTGTTTTATTTTGTCTCCATTATTTATTAATTATTTATGCATGCTGGTATGCAGGCTTTTATATATACATGTATATCCATATTCCTACCCTGTTTTCTGTGTCTTTGCATGCTTTTTAGTCTTCTCGTAGGCCTGCTTCTTATGAATTGAAACAAGATTAAATACAGTTTAAGATAATTGAAGTTACACCAATATTTCATTGTTATCAGCACTTCTTATTTAAAAAAAAAACAATAATGATTAAAAAGAAATAACCCACATTTGTTTACAGCAATGATTGTTAATTATACATTTGTTGACTTTATCTGTATTCATAGAATTTATCTGTAAAATATGGTTGTGTTATAAAAATCCTTTTTGGGCAGCAAATTCAAACAAAATTAAAGATTCACCTCATCACTGCTTTCATTTCATTGATTTTTATCAACTTGCTTCTTCTTCATAGTCATTATTATGAATTTATTTTCTGTTGCAATGTTGCATATCCTTCTCAATGACTGTTAGATATTACATGATGTACTTAAGGATGATAGAGGTATAATCTAGTGGTATTATATTAATTTGTGATTGTTGCTGTCATGTATGAATTGTGGGGACATTAAATGATAAATATTTTATCTGTTATTCTTTGTGTTTTGAATTTACAAATATATCACAATTGAAACCACTCAATCAAAATTTGCATGATTGATATACAAGTTATATTTACACTCTAAATCATTGGCAAGTTAGGTGTAACCATGTCAAGTCAAATCTGCAACAAACATGCTGAATCCAGAGTGTTATTTAAGTTACCTAGCACTGGTTAATTAGGTATTCCTGAAATGGTAATGGTAAGGAGTTTTAAAATTCCAAAGTGACTGATGACACTTATGATTATGTCCTTACCATTGAGGGGAGGGGGACTGCCTCATTTTATCTATAACTAATAGAACAATCTGATGGTTGATGGCCAATTAATACAAGAGGCTCAAGGACCTTTATGGTTACCTGAGTATAATGTAACACTGTAAAGGATCCAAAGCTTGAATGTAAGATAAAATAACCTGATAAATTGCCCAAATGCAAGAGAAATGGGATGATCAAGGATCATCAAGATAATTAATTTACTTGCCTGCACTTGCCACCATTTTTCACTCTTCCCATGCAGATTAAATAAAACTATAGTTCTTCAGCACTATAATGTACAAGCAAAGTATTTTTGTCCCGTTTTTATTTATTATTTACAAGTGTACCTGACCATTACAATCTATGAAGGTACTTATAAATATTCTTGCAGAATTCTCTTATTCAGTTAACCTTTCAATTACATTATTTAATTAATACAGTGATTAATTATCAAAGGTGAATAGCAAAGGGGAATAACTTCTTTCAGTAGTCTAAGAATACAAATTATCAAATTACTCAAGTGGTGCAGAATTTTTCCAATCTGATAAAAAATACCCTTGCTCATTACATTTTTATATACTCTTGTTTGCTGCCTAGATGCCCAGGAGCAGAGAAGATTTTCAAAGAAATAATGCATTTTCACTATAGATTAGCAAGGCCCCACCCTAAGACAAGAGTCCCTGACCCAGGGGCCAAGAAATTCACAAGAGGTACCCTTGCTTATCATAACCATGCACTTAGTATGTTTGCTAATTACCCATGGACAGAGAAGATTTTCAAGGAAATAATGCACTTTCACTATATAATCAAAATACCCCCCCCCCTCCTCCCACAGACCCCCTGACCATAAGTTTCATAAGAACTACGAACGCTAACTCTCGATTCCCGCCTACATTGTAAACCCATTTAATTCAAAATAAATAGCAATTTGACCATAAAAACTTACTTGAATGCAAAGAATAGTTCATTAATAATGGATTAATAATTTTAAAAACTGTGTCAAAATTAAGTTCAGTGCACTTATTTTCATGTCTTTTCATAAGGGGGGGGGGGGTAGAAAATTTTTTACATTGAAATCAGGTTTTTTAACATCACTAGATTTTAAAATATTCATGAAAAAGGATAAATGAACCCTTTAATCGTTCCATATGTTTAACTTATGTAAAATTAAACATATATGATTAATAAAGTGCATTATGCTTTATGTTTTTTAAAAAATATTTTCCGTTTTCCGTTGATTTCTATAGTGAAAAACGCAATTTTTATCAAAATTAAAGAGTTGTCTCTCTTTATTTTGCCAAATAAGTTATTGCATGTTTTATGAAAATTCACATAAATATCTATATAAATATGTAAAGGAACATTTCCATGGAAAATCGCATGTACTGTGGACAGGTCCTATTCCCGGTCACATCCATTCTGGCCCTGGGGAATCTTAGGGGTTTTTTTAAACATAATTTTTTCTTCTTGTACGTACAATGTTTGCAAAATAAACTAAGAGGTACTAAGAGCACTGAGCTCACAAAATGATAACCCCCCCCCCCCTCTGCTCTTATATGAGAATAATGGCAAAGTCCTTATTTTACATTGGAAACCTCAAATATCTGTCAGATCAGTACATAAAATAGGAAGAACAATAGTTCTATGTACATGTAATAAAGATCCATTAAAAGTCTCATAAATTTTATTCAGTTTCAATCGGGGTACGTATTCAAAAAATTGTCAAATAACGTTTTATCAAAGAGTCGTGTCCAAATGCACCTGTGTAGAAAATTACGTTTCAATGTAATTGAAACCACTCGATCAAAGTTGACATACAAGTTACATTCGCACTTTAAATCAACGGCAAGTTGCGTTTCAAGTCGAATCTGCAACCAGTATGCGGAATTTTTTTCTGCTTGTTTTAAATACTGATTGCTTTTATGAAATAAATGTGGAAAATATCTGGAGTCGTTATTGTTGATCTTTCAAAAATTATTATATCCTTTTTTTTTGTCAATATATGAGTGATTTGTAGATAATAAAAAAAAAATGTTTATTAAAGTGCAAAAGAATTAGGAACCTATAGATATGCAAATATAATTGAAATATTTAGTAAAAAGATCGAGGGAGTCAACACGTTTTACAAAGGAACTTGCGACAAAGAACAACAGTTTTAACTGCTTCTTGCAAAATAACATTTTTGATGAAAATTATAAAGAAGATGGGTGAACAAGGCGTGCAGAATGCCTATAGCTTCAGATATTAATAAAATCATACTCAATTTGTGAATTAAGTATTTAAAATGAAGTTCTCATTATTGAAATTTATGAAATTATGATCAACAAAACTTTTCTGAGAAAAAAGATCTCGGGAAAAATTATTCTTTTATTTAAAAAAATAAAATGGTATTCGTGGGATTCGAACCCCCTAACAATAAAAATCCGGAGTATCATATTGTTTTGAGACTAACACGCTAACCACTACGCCACGCAGCTCCTGACATATAGTGGCATTTAAATCATGTTTGTGATATGACCCTTGACTTAATGGACTTCAAGTATTTCTCGGAAAGATGTGAATGCTTTGTCATAAAAGTGTACTTTTAAGGTATAGTGGGTCTTTGCTCCATGTTTTTGTAAACCAAAAAATGTATATTTTTATGCAAACTTTTAGGATCAACTTTCAAAAAAATGGAGCGAAGACCCACTCATATCGAAAAATTTTGTTAAAGTGTGAGAAAATGATCCTTTTTGTCCTCTTTAGTGTGTGTATGCTATTTCGTAGGCAAATAATTTCAGTCATTGTGAGATTTTTGTAAATTGTAGAGATTTAGCATAAAATATATACTTTAATGTTAGATGAAATATCAAAGAAAATTTTTATATAATTGAGATTTTATTTTTCACTTCATGTTTGTCGCACTATAGGCACTTCGCCCGCCTTGTTCACCCATCTTCTTTTCTCAAAAATTATCTTTCCACACTCTTATAAATCTTATAAAATCAGTTTCTACATGGTCGGATCCAGGAATTTTTCCCTGGAGACGGGGGGGGGGGGGGGGGTGTTCATGCCCACTTAAAATGTATCCGACTCAGGTTTGATAGAATTCCCAGAAAGATCGAAGTGATTGGCTTATCCAGATTAGGAACACGCCCCAAATCTTTTTTTCTTTTTAATTTTCAGATAAAAGGAGTTTTAGGAATTTCTAATTAACAATAATGAAAAAAAGGTTTGTGGACTTTGGGGAAATTGTATAATGGTGTACATATTTAGTTTATCTAGTTTATAATTCAAAATAGGGTACCTGTCATATTTCTCCAAGAAAAATGTCTAAAGACAATGAAGAAGTATTGAACAGAAATTGTTGTTGTCCACTTATACATGTACTTCGTAAATACATGCAAATAATGTATTTAATTACTTTATCTTGGTCTTATATAATGTTGAGAATACTTTAGCCTATTTAATATTGTTTCTGTAGATTAAGCTTTTATAAAAGGGCAGGTCACTCTAACTGGATACAATATGGAATTAAAACTCCTCAGTGAGTAGTGTTTAGAACTTCCTTAAAACCTGCTTTTATAATATATAGGTCTGAAACGCTCTATTAACATGTAAGACATGATATTCTACCAAACCTTTTGATGGATATGAACCTCAAAACATTGTCCATGCCCCAATCCCTTTCTCATAGGGAAACATGCTCTTGGATAACCTTTTTAGGGAAAAAAGGAAAATTGTTGTGGGGAAGTTGGATGGGCGTGTGCACCCCATTTTTCCATGTCAGTAAATAATAATAATGATTTTTGTGTGTGTTTTTGTCGTCTTAAAAATTGAAAGATTATAGTCTGCATGACTCTCCATATTTCCTTTATGATACGCATGCGCTCTCCTTGCTTTCATTTCATGAACTAGACCAACATGGTTTGGAGTCGGAAAACGTTTGGAATATAAAGGTAATTATCCGTAGAAAAGGTTTAATGTAAAAATTATAATGTAATTATCGATCATGATATAAAACCAATTTTATTTGTATCATAGGAGTCGACAGTTTTAAAAATAAATGTCTACATTGTAAACATTCATTGAACTCTCTAGAGTCTCTTCTGTCTTCACCATGTTTCCAAGCTTGCCAGAGCTAAAAGTGTGGTTTTCTGATCACATTTTGTCCACCGGAATCTGTCTGTCCTTAGCTGCAATAATGTAGCCCTCTCCGACTTTTTTTTGGTGGTGGTGGTGGTGGAAGGGGGGGGGGGGTTTGAGATGGGGGTACCGATATATACATCAAGCTATTCTATAGTCCGAAATATCTGACGTTTTCCAGGCTTTTTTCATGATTTTGATATTTTAAGTGCCAGGAAAATCTCAGAACCGGCGCCATTACGAAAACTGGAAATTTGCCACTGCCTCCAACTGGAGGCGGCATTCTCGTGTTGATTTTCGGTAATTGCGAACAGAATTAAATGCTGAATTCACAACTTATTAATAGTACAATGCCTTTAGTACTCACCACCATCGTTTTTATGGTTTGTTTATGAAATATACAGTCTGGTGAAAACATTTTTATCAGACCGTCGAATTTTCCTTTCATTTCATACATTTTAAAATCTTGCGAGACCTGAATTTTCTTTTCATCGATATTGGTGAGTACTAGAAGCAATGTGCTACTGATAAATTGTAAGTTCAGCATTTAGTTCAGTTCGCAAGTATCGAAAATCAGCTCCAGTTGATGAAGGTGAAATTTCCAGTTTTCGTAATGGCGCAGGTTCTGACGTTTTTCTGGCACGCAAAATATCAAAATTGTGAAAAAAGCCTGGAAAACGTCAGATATTTCGGACTATTCTAAGTTTCAAGCGCAAGTCACAGTACATCACGCGATTCCTGTCATGGCAGCTGAGTAGGACGACTGGAAAACATTTACTTTGTGTTAAAGTAATATGTCTTATGGTGTCACCGTTGGGGAGAGTGCAGTTGTATACCATGAGAAACCTGTACATTGCTTACACTTTAAGCTTTGATCTGCCTCTTCAAACTTCAAAATGCACAAGACAGTTTCACAGAATAATTTGCTTGACGAATATACAGATTTTAATTCAAATTTCCTCTGTTCTTTAATACATGTTAGTCTATTGAGCACTCATTGCGCTCATTATTATGGATGAAGTTGACAAGGCCATTCCAAGTTTTTTCTGTGTTTAGTGTCCGCGTGCGCCTTAGTTTTTGATGCTCAATATCGGGAAAAACAAACAAAATCAGGAATTGTTACCGGTAATTCTTGTTGAAATCTGAGAGTTCTGTCATGATCTGTCAACAATATGCCATATTAATGAAGTATATTTGAAACATTTAATACCTTGGTTTTTCTAAAGAATATATACCTGGTATATATCTTTTACGAGGAAAAAAAAATTTATGAATTTCAAAACAAATCCTTTGAATGACATGATTTTTATGACTATAAAATCTGTGTTTTACTTTTTTGGTTTGTGGGTTTTTTGCGCATAGGTAGGTAGGTTTTCGAAAGTTTGGTGGATGCTAAAACATAGAAAAATCTTGGAATGGCCTTATGATGAATAAAAAAATCCATCCTATTTGAAGGAAGTTGAATCTAAAAGTGATTTTTGCCTGAAGACATCTGTATTGAAAAAATATTTTTGCACCATTATGGAGATCTGATGAAGTTGTAGCTCACTCAAGAAAAACATCAGATAAAAAAAATCAGGGAGGGCTACATAATTGCAGCTAGTATGTCCATCCTTCCATCTGTAAAAATCATTTTCCACTTCTCTAGAACCACTAACTGGACCATTTTCAACAAAACTTAGTATATCCTTGGATGACAGGGATTCAAATTGTTCAAAAGAAGGACCATGCCCTATTGAAAGGGGAAATATTAGGGATGTCAACGAATAGTCGAATATTCGACTATCATTCGAATGGACCGACGATCGAATAATGAAACGACATTCGAATATTATCATAATTAAATAAATGCAATAAAGAGTGATAACGTGATGGAATTCTCATCACAAAATTGAGAAACCGTCTTTCCTCAGAGACGGTCGATAAGATAATTTTCCTCAACAAAAAACGGTTGATTTTCCATGTACGTATAGAAAGTACAGTAATTATAAGTGCTTCACTACTGTTGCGTACTGCGGGAATTATTTAACAGTAACTGCTGTGTTGTTTTTGTAATTAATTACCCACCAATTTACTAGGCTTTGTTTGTAAAATTATAAATTGGACATGATCTTATACCATGTGCCAATTATTTTTTGTTATTTTAAGATTGATCAAGCGCAAGGAAGAACCATAAGTGTGACATGTTTTGACACTTCGATAATTATCAAAACAATTCGCTTACATTTTAAACTGTATAAGGACATTTTGATAGCCAGAGCAAACAATAATCGAATAAGCAGTATCTAACTGTTTAACAATTTCACAGGCACTTGACGTGTGGATAGTGTGAGATTACCCCCCCCCCCCCCCCCTTCTCCAATTTTTTTCATAATAATCTTTAAAAAAAAAATATCTCCTGGGAATTTTTTTCTTTGCTTACTTCAAATAAAAACTGACTGCATGTACAAACCCATTTATGAATTCTATTGACGGGGAAATCATACATTTTGGAAAATTAGGTTTTGAAATTCAAATAATCATGCTATCCACGCGTTACGTTGCCTAAATTTTGATGTTACTTTTTAAATAGATTTAAGTAAAAGGGTTTCAGGATTATGAATAAATCATGTACCAGTGAAGTTTCAAATACAATTTTATTTTCAGGAAATGTTCCGAATATATTCGACTATCGTTCGAATAATGCAATCGAATAATCGACTAAGGAAAATAAATATTTTGACATCCCTAGGAAATATGCAAGTAAAAATCATAAATAGGGTAGATGCTTTAAAAATTCTTCTCATTAGCCACTAAGCCAGAAAAGATGTTTTAATAGTAACTTATGTGAAAAGGTGCTAGTCACTGCGCCCCAAAACAAAAATGCCCCATACACAAGTGCCCCAAATTTCTTTTATTGACACCCAAGTACATTATCATATACAAGTGGAAGTGCCCCAAATTTACTTCACGAGCACCCAAAACATAGAACTGTAGCTCATTGGTTGAGAAAATTCCGACAGACAAACCAATCCAGACATTGTAAAAATCTTTGATTTATGCTGCCGCTTTTTTTGTCATTTGCTTCTATTATTATTTCTTGTAAACTCATAATCTTGTTACTTTATTTACCTTTCAACAGTTCCAAACAGCCCTATTTGGCCTTGGAATGTAAGTTTTAAAAATTCACACATAAGCCAATTGCAAAGGAACATGATAGAAACTACATAGCTTTTTTGTGTTTTAATTTATATATTTTTTTTTTTTTTTTTTTTTTTTTTTTACGAGTGCCTACCAGTTTGTGATACTGGATAGGGCTATTTGGGGCACTCAAGATGTGTATTAGGGGCGCTCGTACTAAGGCACCCATAAAAAAAACTTTGGGGTGCTTATGCGTGGGTTTTAGGGCAAAATGGTAGTAACCCATGTGAAATATAGGTCACATAGAAGATTTAATAATAGATTCTAGTTTGTTCATTTTCATAAGGTGAGACCACAATAGGGGATCAAAGTTTTACGTAGGAATATGTTGGAAAAAATTCTTTGCTCCTACTGGAATAGAGGTTCATGATTATTCATAGTAATATGCAAGCATTCTCTTATAGGTATTAGGAATATAATTAAACAAAAAATGTTTTTTAAAAATCTGTGGATTCGTGTTTGGTTAAATCATAACCCTTTTGGGGATAGGGTTGGGCCACAATATGGAGTCAAAATTTTCATGGGAATGTGAAGGAAAAATAATTGTTAAAAATCTGCTACTGTTGAATAATAGTAAAAGATATGGTGAATCAGGTGAGAAGGCTTCTTGATTAGCATACAAGCAGTTTCATTCATAGGTATACTAATAAGTATCAGTCTTACCCTGTCCAAACCTGAATGAATGATGCATCCAGTGGTGCACACTCTACCAAATTTGCTTCAGATGTTGCATCTGACTTATTTTCAGGATGAATGATCAAATTGAAGTTTATGGGGAGTTCTATTCTTACATAGCTATAAGACTATGTTGACCAAACTTACATTGATGATGCAGTGAATGGGGAAATTCACAACCAGTCATGCTTCAGAGCTTCATCTGACCTATTTTTTCTGGATGAGTGAGCAGATCAAAAGTTTTTGGAACAAGGCTATCTAAGTATCTTTAATTCTTGCCTTAATTGCATACATGTATGATTTGTAGGGGTGAGGTTACTAATCTTTGATCACCTTTAATTTCAGGTTGAATCCATATTTCTTTATTTGATGTAACTTTGCCACTATGGCTAATCCAGGACATCCATACGGCCATTCAATGATGTCCCAGCAAGGAATGGGTCAGCAATACCCAGCAAACACAATGGCAAACCAGCAACAGCAACAACCTCAACAACAGCAAGGCATGATGGCAAACCAGCAAAGCATGATGGGAGTGCAGCAAAATCAGCAAGGCATGATGGGACTTCAGACACAAACAGCATTACCTCAACAGGTTATATTACAAATTCACAGAATTTAAAATTGAAAAAATTATATTCTTTTTGATTAATTGAAGCTACATCACAAGAAAAGCCATTAGCTGAATTTCACAACTATTACATGGAGGAGAAAGATTAAATTCCTGTGAAAATATATAGACCAAGATTTATTTTCGTAATGAAAATCTTTACATAAGAAATATATGTAAATTGAAATAATGCGTAAATGAAAAGTAGAAATCAAAATATTTAAAGCTAGTAAACAGAATCTTACTGCATATATTTACTGGTAGTACCGACCATGTACATAATGTTCATTGATATGCCTTATCTTTCAGTGACATACTTTCATAGATAAGTATTTGTGGTCTTAATGTTGTGAACATTTATCCATTATTTAATCCAGACACAACAGATGATGTCCCCTACTAAAGAGATCAATGGAGTCAACATGTGTAAGAAAGGACAGGAATGTGTACAGGAACTGTTTCAGAAAATGCAAGAGATCTTCAAGTACATGACAACGAAAGGGAATCAGGTATAGTAAAACAAGTTCATTGCAGTGTTTATTCTAACATTCATGTACAGTGGTTTGTTTTAAACAATAAAATACCTTCTTTGGTTGATAGCTTGGGAAGTCCTTTTGAAGAATATGGTATATATTGCTTTGCATGTGCGATTCAGTAGATAAATGGTTCTGATCAATCTCCTAAAAACCATCTGATTGATAATCTTTATTAAAAATAATACACAGGTAGCCTTGATATTTACAAGACCACCACTGATTTTCAAATCCAATGGTCAATGGTTTTGTCCTATAATTCAAATGTTGTCCAAAAATATCTAAGGGATCCTATGCTAAATACTTTGTAGTCATCATACTCAATTCTTCGTTCAAGAAATGAATTCAATTTTTGAAGATTCATGAGGAAATGAACTACGACGCTTCACGCCGGCATATTTCATGAAGCGCGTTAGCGCTTCATGACAAATATGCCGGCGTGAAGTGTTGTAGTTCATGTACCTCATGAATTTTCCAAAAATTAAATTCATTTCTTATACATGTATTTACATTATTTTTTTGATTAGGTGCCACAATTCAACTGTCATTTTTTAAAGCAAAACAGTTTGCACTATAGTTTTGACTTCAAGTACGGAATTATGACGTAACAATGGAGATATTCATGCTTATCCATGGTAGTTCATGAGAAAATGAACAATACTCTAATATGCAAAGAATCTTAAGGAAACAAATTTGGAAATGTAAATACATGTGTATTCTGATATATTAGATGATCACAGAAGTGAAAAACAAATATCAACATATCAATATTTTTTTGGCAGAGAAATGATATTTACAGTACATTAGTGTTTTTTATTTGGATGTACTATGCTGAAATAGTAGTCAGGGTTTGACACATGGTGCATGAGCCGGAGGCAAGTGCCTTATCTGTCAAACCATGACTACTGTTTCAACATAGTACATCCAAATATAAACATGATAAAGAACACTATCATAATTATTATGCTGACTGTGTATGTATAGGACAATTTAATTAAATTCTCAATCCCAAACCTATGTGCAAATGTTTAATCTACCAGGGTAAATGAAAATTTCCTTGAACATTCTGTAATCAAGCGCTATATCAAAAAGCGCTTTAATGATTCTGAAGTACCAGTTTGTGTTTCAATGCAATTTCGGTTATTTGATTAATTTGAATATTTGTTAGAGAATTTTTCTTCACAGTCCTTATCAATGATATCAGTCTTTTGGAAATGATATTCATTTATTTCTTGTTTGTGTCAAATGTAAGAAAACTATGTTTATAAACTTGAAAATACATGCCTTAATGTAACGTTGATTGTGGAGTGGCACACTAGACTGACATTCTCAGGATCGCTAGTTTGATCCCTAAAGTGGGTGTCTACACATTTTCTCTAGAAAAGACACCCAAGCACTATTTTGGCATAGTAAGCTTGCACTTTATAAATAATTGGGTATTGATTATATAGAGGTAAACGGACAGGAATTAGCATAATAACTTGAAATACTGAGATGTTTTAACAATTGATCAATGGAGAAGGTTGCTGTTAATTATTTTCCATTTATTTATAGCTACCTAACGGTATGAACTGTAATGCTCAGCTGGCCCAGGAGAGGAGGGCAAAGGTCAGCGAGCAGCTAGAACAGCTCACCATATTGTTCAAGAAAATTCGCTTGTTTTACGACAGGGTGAATGAAATGTGTCCAGATGAACCAGCAGAAGAAGTAAGTTATTAGATTTATTAGGTGGGAGGGGGATTCAATTTTATTTTAATAACACAATATTGTTTGTGCATATTCTAAGGAATATTTCAATGTTTTTGGCTGAATTTTTTTTTCTATTATTCCTAGAAATACAACATACCGGTAAGCTGTATTGTTAGCAAGAATCCATTTTGACTTTATTGGTTAGGATCACTAAAACTGAATATTGCTCATATTTTAAACTGCAATGACAACATTTTATAAAAATTTTAGTTAATCTCAAAAGTTTGCTATATTTTTGATATGGGAGGGGAAAAAATTACTGTATAGCTGATAAATATTTGGAATGGCTAAATGGACTTTCATGATATTGTATTTATAATAGATTATGATATTTAATGTAAATGTTTCTCATCCATTGTTCTATATTTGTTTATCATAAATTCACCAAAGAATATCTTGTTTACAGTTAAAAGATAAATCAATTTTTTTAAGAAATGGCAAAGTTTGCCGCTCACTCCACTGGCACAGTATATCACCAATATCAAAGAACTGTTGTTAGTATTGTACTAGGACATCAAATCTCAAAAACTTTCATGACATTAAGATCAGCTATGATACACTGATATTTGTATATCTATATATACAATCAAATCTGGTTATCTCGAAATCAAATTTAGATAAAACTTCAAGATATCTGAGGATTCAAGATATTGAGGGTAAAATACTTGGAGAATAAGTGGTTGGGACTTCCAAATCAGTTCAATATATCCATGGTATTCGAAATTTCAGTGTTCAAGATACTGAAGTTCAAATGTACATGTATATCTGCACTCATTTGTTGAAACAAACCCATTATGTTCTGTAGACTTTAGTTGCTGTGGTGGGACAGCCATTTGAAGAGAAGTTTACTCCAGGTGCAGACTCCTGCTTCAAGTATAAATTTGGTAAAGAGGAAAACAGAGAGATAGTGGAGGTAAGAATTCAACGTACACTTCATAAAGTCTATTATCTACATACTGGTGATATTATGGACAGTTTTAATATAGGCATTTCATGTATTTTGGTGTTATATATCACAAGTACTTTTATTTTAGCAACTGAGAATGAAGAACAGACAGTTGAAGGCTATCATTGATCAAATAAGGACCATTATTTGGGAAATCAATACAATGATTGTAATGAGAAAGACTTGAATTTACCAAGTACTCCATTCTGGACCAAATGAAAGTTGCTGTTCTGTGGACACTCCCATGGATATTGCTTTTATCCATCAGCAATTGACCACTTCTTGTGTCATTGTTTGCAAGTTTTCTTTGCAAAAATCTGTTTGGCTGATGGCTGATGGAAGTATTCTGATTGTACTTTTAATAAACTATTTTTTTAAGCATGGGAGCTGAATACACAGTCAATAGATGCATCAGGACATTACTGTTTATATCTGTATTGTTGTGATGTCTTCGTCTTTTATGTCATATCTTTATATAAGATACAGATCTGAAACTTTGATTGCTTAAATTGTCATGGACAGTGCCTTGGTACAAACAACAAAAACAAATATTCAATTTTTAATATGTAATAATATTGAATGTAATTTTTCACATCAGTACATTGTGTTTGGTATATTGTGACCTGGTTCAACTTGTATATTTAAGAAATTTGAAAAATAAATGTCAAAACTCTGTTTTAGTCGTCTATTACTATATATCCTGTGTCGAAAAATTTCATACTTTTCAATACATTTGTACTGTAAATGTATTTTAAAACTTTAAATGTAGCAAATATAAATGTAGCATCACAACTGTTTGGTTTCAACAAAAAAATACATGTATGAGTAACTAAAGCCACTCTGATATTTATGCTCCTCTGTTGTCTAAATCTTTCACTTTGTAAATACGAACAAGCCAGTGTTCTGTGGTGTATGCCTCTTCTAAAACATCCAGATCAAAATTTTTGTTTCCTATTTCTGCATTTCTTACTCTGTCATATCCAGTGGGTTTTCCTGTTTAAAAGATAATGAAATGAAAATCAAAAAGTCCAATAATTTAAATACACTATTGTACTTTGTACACCTAAAACATTATAAATGGGCATTCAATTGATAATTAACCTTTGACTAAGTATGAACACACTTTTAGTGAAAAAGTACTTAAGTTATGTCATTTCAAAATTTTACTTTTGTCCTTGACTTATTAATCAAGTGAGTCTTGATATTGACTTTAATTGACATGATGTACTTGCATGCATTCTTGGAAATGTACACTGTACATGAAACTCGGATACATGTACAACTGTTCGATTCTAACAAATGATCATCTTTCCCAATATGGTAACATACATGTATTTAAATTACACATCTTTTTAATATACTAACCTCCCTCTGTGTAGACCTCTCCAAATCTGTAGTAACACATTTTATACATCAGACAGTTGAGGAGGGTGGGGGAGCCCTCTTTATCTATCCTGAATTCCCCCTGAGGTGTGTAGTAATCAGACTCTTTTATATGGGCTCCTCTATCTGTACTGCCTCCAATTCGTACCATCCATAAAAATTTATTGATATCTGAAATGGTGTACATTATAAATATACAGTGTACATTGTAGACTAGCAAATTAAATACTGGATGACCTTAAAATTTCTTTACTTATTACTAGGAAACTTGAAGTTCAGCTGAACAGTGTAATTCAGACAGCAAGCTTACCATCAGAGGAATACCCAGTAAGACCTCCAAATATAACTAGAACGTAATTGACATCTAACTCCCTCATTATTTCATAAGCTTTGTCTTCTGTTGATGCCATAGCCTGCAAAGGAGAGAAAATACTTATTACATTTTACGTAACATGTAACTATCACTGAAATGAACATGCTTGTATAATGACATAATGCACCTACCTGTCCCACCCTTGATATATGGGTATTATTCCATGTATTATTATCCACTAGAATTGTTCTGTTGGCCATTGCTGTTATTTGGTAACCGTAATCCCACCAAGACATCACTTTGGCATCCTGAAAAGAAGTGAAAACTTGATCATGATTTACCTGTATACTTCAGGTGATGTACACATCTTGGTCATTATGCATTTACATTGCAAGGTACAAAACTGCAGAAACTAATACAGTCTTTGGCAGAAAAGAACAATCTTTACAGGGTGGATTTGTGTTCAGATAAATTAAGCAGGAGAAGAAAATCACTTTTAAAAGAGAAGTACATGTGAATTTTTACATATTTTTTCCCATAAAATTCATTAAAGGCACACACAGGTACAAGTATGAGGGAAAATTAAAGTTCCATCAACTTCTGAAATAACATTTTCCGAGATTGGAAATATACCTCTGCTGTGTTGTGTCTAAGCCAATAGTAAGCCTCCCGGAAGTCGTCAAAGATGATCCGTCCTCCATCACCGGCCCGAGCTGACAGAACAATGGAGGGACTGGAGTAGGCTTCTGATGTGACCCAGGTACAATGGAAGGTGTAGGTGATCAGGAAAGCCGTCACCATAAAGACCACACCTGTGGCTACCTGTGTGTACAAAATCGACAAATTGAAAACAAAACAACAATCTTTTGAATATTTCTTTTGACCTAAATTTGTAAAAATCCTTTGCACTGTATTTTATAGAGAATATACCTAAGACATATTTACATGTTTCTCATTAGTAGTGTCTGATAGAAGTCCTAACCTACCTCATTTTTGAATGGGTAGGACTGATCCACAGCCTTCTTTGACTTTTTGTCTTTTTTGGACACATCAAGGTTCTTCATGTAGGTGTTGAGAGTGGCAGAGATTCCTATACCAGACAGGATACACATAACTGGAGCCAGGACCAACATCAAACGGACCATGACGCCCTGGAGAATAACCCAAATATCTTATTAATTAACAAATCATCATTTCCATTGCAGGTAAAACATATGAACACTGACATAAAGACTTAAAAGAGAATATGCAAAGTACTACATACAGCAAAATAAATGCTGGTGACACCATACATGATGATAAAGATGTTGGCATCGGTCAGGCGATTGAAGCAAAAGTACAGGCCAGCTAAAAATTTGAAAAGTAAAATGAATTATTCATAAATCACTTAGCAATATCTATATATGTGATAGTAATATTAAATGTTTAACAAAGCAGGATTGCTTTCTGAGATGCTTTAATAAATTAAAAAAAAATAATGAACAGAAAATTACAATTTTTACATGCTATAAGATCCATCTTATCACAAATCTGAAATTTTCAATGGGCAATTATTTTTTTTGCTTGAAAAGCAGCTTTAAACAATTAAGCAATGAATTTCTTCTCCTTACCTGGGAACATAATGGTAAGCATCTGTAAGTCAAAGTAGAAGGAACTCCAGGTGGTGGGCTGGTGTTCTGATACGGAGGCAATGATGGGGATGTTGTTCTTGGCGTAGGAGGGGTCCAGCAGGGAATAGAAACGTCCAGTCCAGGGGGAGATTTCTTATCTCAGTTAAGGAATAATGCATAAAAGTTCAAGTAATAGATAATTGTTCATACAAGCAGGGAACTTGATCATGGTATCTGCATTTTAACTTAAACATACTTTTAATCCATCAATTTTTTTTTGTCTTCTTATACATTTTTCCTCATTTTCTACTTTTTGTACACTCCCTTTAATACTTTCCTTTCTTACCACTGAAAAGTGCAACTTGCAGAAATAAACATCACAAAAAAATCTGTTTTATACTGAAATGAAAGGATACTGCCTGTGGCTGTTCCAATAGCAGCAACAGACAGGCCAACCACAGCACCAATGAGAATAATACTCCTGAACAGAATGTTGAATTGTTCGGCGCTCAGCTTAGACCTCACATAGTCAATAAAGGCATGCATCTGACAGAGTCCAAACACTCCCAAGGCCTGTAATCACAAAAAGAATTAGAAAATCTTATGTAAAATACAAATGCTTTTAGAAAGAAAATTCTCTGTAGGCATTTTTCAACAAATAAAAACTTACAGCCATGTGTTCACTGGACTGAACAGGCTGGAAGCCAACAAAGGAGATTTGCATAGACAGAATGGTTCCCAGGCAGTAAAACTGTTAAATATATAAACATAATGTGAGATTTCAACGCATGAAAAAATTTAATCAAGTATGTTAAAATGACCTGAATAAAACTAAAACTATACACATGACCTTCTATATATATACTTTCTGGGACTGAGGAATTACACAGATATGCTTTTAGTATACATACTGATGTGTAGGCCACGTAGATCCTGTGGGAGAATCTTCCAGTCACCATAAGGGCCAGGACATGGAGTGGAATCAAGTTAATCAGAAAAACATAACCTCCCCATGAGGAAACCTGAAATTAAATAAGTACGTACGTCAGATATTAACATTACCAAACAAGTTCATTCTTTAGTTTGGTTAAATTATAATGTATTTCCCCCCTAAATTTTCAAACTCATTATTAGTGAAAAATGAAAAAGTTAGTTGAATCAAGCGTTCTTCTCTCAAACTAAATCACTAGCTTCTTTTACTAATTAATTTTCATTTTAAAAAGATGATTTCATAGACTGAACTTTGAAGAAAATTACCATGTAAAAGTAGGCCAAGGCACACAGACAGGACCAGAACAGTGACCCAGTTTTGACGGATTTGATCCAGAGTGCATAGGTCAGTAGCATGCAGAAGATGGCAATTCCTTCATTATCGTAGGAACCTGCCACGGAACGGGAGATGTAGCCAGGCACAATGGAGATCATGGCAGCAGCTACAAGGCCAGCACCAGCATCCTGAAAAATCAATTAATATATAAATAACATTTGATAATTATAAAACCATTCCAAAAATATGATATCAATAAACTGAGCAAGGTGCTTTGTAAGCAATTGTTGGTAATGCTTGATTATCTTGCTTGATTATTCAGAGCATACAAGAATAATCCTGATCTTAGCATGTTACAGAGAGAGGAAATATGATGGACCCTACAAAGATTTTAACACAAACCCATTAAACTCTAAGAAAGGTGATCATCCAACTGAGCTATTTGGCCATCAGTAAACAATCCTAGTACCTGTCTGCCACATGTGAGGTAAATTAATTTTCAAGTCCAATTAGTAAAGAGAAATGAACTAGATACCTTGAGTTCCTTTGTGAACCAGTAAGTGATCAGGGTGGTGAAGCTCGAGAAGAGGGGGGCCAGGAATACACAGACATTTCTGATATCAATGGTGATGTTGAAGAACCACATGAAATTGTACAAGGCAGCAGATGTCACCATCAATCCTGACAAAAACAAAAATCAGTTATATTTTCTATTAATTTTCATTTCTTCATTTAGTAAAACAGTTTTATGAACAGAGACAGGACCTTCATTCCACATGAAATACAAGAAATGCAAATTGTTTGAAAAAAAAATTACAATGGCTTGAAAATTGAAAAGTGAACATATTGTTTATATCTATCATGATAATATTAAACTTTTAGACCTGGGTAGATAGTTCCTCCAATGATACGTCCCAATGGGTACCATGCTCTGTCATCAAACCAGTTGTGGAAACTATAAAATCCTTCCTCGACAAGGTACCTTGTGGTGCGGTAGTTAAAGTAGGGATCAAACTCGTGGATAACGCTCTCAAATCGCAACACTGAGAACAATCTTGTTGAGAATGCTGCAACAGACATGTACATCTTTTATAGTTTTCTTTTTTTTTTATATTTTGAAAATGACATTCTGGTTTTTCATAATCAATTCATTGCCACATCACTGTGTATAATTACAATGATAAATTCTTGTCATCTAAATTATTCTCAAAACAATCAAGCTTAAAAAATTCTGACTACACAACAGTTATGCTGTTTCCTTCCTTACACCATATAAATACTCTTTGCTTATATCCATATTTCTATAAATTTAATGTAGGCAGTGGCCATTGGTCTATTCTAACAACCAGTAAAAAATTCAAACTTTGTTCACTTACAAAGAATAGAAGCAATGGAGAGGACCAACATCTTTAGGAGTGTGTCCTGTTTGTCTGGGGACATCCTTAGAAGCCACTGAGGACCCCATCCTGCTGAGGAAGCCTTCATTATTATCTTTTAGGTGAAGATCTTTTGTTATAACTGAAATAGTAAAGGCAATTTTGAGTGTCACGACATAGATATAAACCTTTACTTTCTATTTTACATATTCAATATGCATACATACTTATATACCAGGATCCAAGTATCTGTGACAGAAACTGCATAATGTAGTATCTTTACCTACTTTATAGGGTCCATCTTTGAACAGGTTGGGACCACTCGCCCAAATGGGATATAATTGCCCATTTGGGATATAATATCCCAAATGGGATATAAATTTACAGTGCAAAAAATGAAATTTTTTATTTTGGCTATAAATATCATAAATCCGCATCAAGATACTTATAAAGGAATAACTTTTGGTAAACATTTTTTTCTGTATGCCCGTTGTTTAGGAGATTGATCCCTCGGAAGTTCTTTAACTTCTTTGGGATCAATCTAACAAACTGTAGGGTTGCAGAAAAACTTGCTTGCCAAAAGATATTCCTTTTTAAGTATATTGATGCGGATTTATGACATTTATCGCCAAAATAATTTTTTTCATTTTTTGAACTGTAAATTTATATCCCATTTGGGATATTATATCCCAAATGGGCAATTATACCCCATTTGGGCGAGTGGTCCCAACCTGTTGAATAATTCATCTTTGAATTGTATAAAATATTTGAAAATTCCTTGCAATTTGACAATGCATTGTACAGAAACAACAGAGAGTAAATGCAAGCCGACTCTTAACTAAATCAGGCCCACAGATCCTTTTAATGAGTACAGTCATATAGACCCTGTGTCACAACTATCCTCTCTCTACCGTTTTTCGGAGGAAATTCGTGTTACTTATCCGCCATGCTTATGGTCTTGCCACATCAGCAAAGCCAACTTCCAACTTTTCCATATAAAACATCGTGACACAATAGAAATAATTGTTATATGTGTTAATTAAAAACGTGTATTGTACCTGCTACTTGCTTTTTAATTTTTGTTCAATGATATTTTCTACTTCTGCAAATTAAACAAACCTGTCACAAACCTACCGGTTAGACGTGTGCAGTGCCCAACTCATCAAGTAACGCGCATTCTCATTGGTCTGAAAAAAACTTCTCGAACTGAGTGTAAAATGTGCCCTGTCGCAATTACGATAGAGTTCATACATGCTGTAACAGTTCGCGCACCGTGCAATTAATTGTATTCCCGGTGACTGGACGTCCCGTAAAATTTACTCTTCATAAAACATGCTGATATTATAATAAATTCATCTATTAGCATTGGGTTTCTTGTGTCGTTTGACACTTATTTTTTCAGTACGAGTTTTTAAAAACAGCCTTTCTTCTTAAAAATATCTATAAACACATATATATATATATATATATATATATATATATATATATATATATATATATATATATATATATATATATATATATATATATATATATATATATATATATATATATATATATATATAGGAGACTGATAATGGCGCATTGATGCATGAACGTGTGTATACATGGCATATGACATTTTTTACCTATATGCTATTCAGCATATAGCTATTCTGTTGTTGTTCGGAACAAAATATTTATTTTGCTCTGAAAAAGACTCCAAACTTTCAGAGGATATTCAACTGTTCAAGTTGAAACAGGCAGAATTATTTGAGATATCAATTAAGGTTGGATTTTTTCATAAAACAAGGAGTAAGGTTCATGGGTTGATATTATTTTATCAATTTATTAATGGTTACTTACCTCAATATTTGCATGATTTGATAGAACCTTATCGCCCAACACATCATTCCTATAACCTCAGAACCAATGTTGCACATTTCAAATATCCTCACATTAGAGCTATACATCTTATATGGAAAGTTTATTTCCCTCAACAGTTAAAACAATGGTATAACTCGCCAGATTATATTAAAAATGTTTCTGGAATATTCTTATTTTTGTTTTTCAAAAAAAAAAAAATAAATAAAATAAAATAAAAATAAAAAATAAAAAAAAATAAATAAAAATAAAAATGAACTTTTTCATTTTGGAGTAAGAAAATACAATATAATACATTGTCATGCAGATATGGAATAATGCAAGTAATTTGATGGCAGATTTATATACTCATTATACATATATGTTAATCGAAACACCAATGTGTGAACACTGTATTGATACGGCTCAAAATTCTTACCATTACTCTTTTGTTTGTCCAAAATACACCTTCTAGAGATGTACTTTTTCAAGCTGTACAAAATAGCATTGATTGTGAGCATGTCTCTGAGCTCATCTTCCCAAGTCAAGGGTCTCTGATCCACTCCACTCCACATGGAGCGGAGTGGATCAGAAACCCTTGACTTGGGAAGATGCTCTGAACTTGAATTTTATTATATGGTAGTCCTGATCATGTACTCGATGAAATATATGGAGATAACGAACAGTATTCAAGCTCAAAAGTCCATTAAACAATACAAAATAGGAACAGAGCAAACAAAAACATCAGAGGTGGGATCAAGTGCCATGGAGGAGTGAGCATCCCCTGCCGACCGGTCACACCCGCCGTGTGCTCCTTGTCATGATCGGGAAATAACGGAAAAATCCGTCGACAATTCAGTGTGTAAATAATGGCCTAACAATTAGTATGAAAAACGTCAGTCAGCATTTGACTCAATGATAAATTGTATTTGCTGACAAGGTCATTGTATCGACCATAGAACTTACGAAATGATGACTTTAAACGAGACTGCTGACATTCTTGTTTCATCAACTTGTTTGTCAATAATTTACCTCGTTTTAGAAATTGTACATACGTAGAACATGCTCTTGCGTATCGAAACAACTGAGAGATATAAACCCCGTATGCAGGTGATGAAAGTATATTGCTGCATAAGTAAGGGAAGTTGACGATTGAAAAGTTAAAGTCATCACGTTTATCATAAAGCTTGGTTGTTAGATTACCATTAACGTCTTTTTCAAGTAAAATATCCAAATATGAAACAGATGTGTCAGACTCTGTGGATACCAGGATATATCTTATCGGCATAAGAATGGAAATAACCATTGTTAATTGACAGTACGTCGTCGATATATCTAAATGTCGAGTTGAAGGCCACAGCAAGTGTTTTCTTCTTTTCATGTATAAGATTTTGGACAATTCTACTTCATATGAATACAAAAAAGGTCTGCTAATAACGGGGCGCAATTGGTACCCATGGGAATTCCAATAGATTGTTGGAAGACCTGGTGTCCAAAAAACCACATAGATATTGTCAATCAGAAACTCAAGCATGCATCTTTTTAATGTCAACTTCAGAGTACTTGTGTGTACAATCAGAATGTTTTTTTTTTAACAAAATAATTTTGCAAATGACCAATGACAAGGTAAGTAAATTTACGAGTTCCATTTTTATTGAAAAAGCAGCTGTCAATGATGTCAAAAAGCCTGGACTTTAATTTATCGTGGGGAATGGTTGTGTATAAAGTTGAAAAGTCGTAAGTTTTTAAGCTGTTGATTTTGGTAAAATCTTGTGATTTCAAATTTTTCAAAAGTTCCTTGGAATATTTAAGTATCCACATCTGATTTACACCACTTCTCGAATATATTGTTGCACAGTACTCTTAAAGTTTATCCTTCACTACTGTTAATATCTTAGTGAGGAGTAAAGAAAGAGACTTGCCTGAACATTTACTGGAACCCGCTATGTATCTTTGTTTGTAAGGATTTTTATGAAGTTTCGGAATCCAATATAGATATAGTAATTCAAATTCATTTTGGTTGTTTGGAATATTAAAAATATTCAAAACTGACATATGATTTTGAAGAATTTCTTCCTTAGAAAAGGAACTATGAGTATAAGTTGGATTACCACTTGTAGAATTAAATCCAAGTTCCTCTATAATACATTTAATATAATGAGCCTTACATTCATTCATTCATTCATTCCATCTTTAATTCCTCTTTTCAGAGATTTTTATAACACAAGTCTTATAATTACATGTTATATCATGAAATTGTAAATTGACAAATTAAGAAAAAGTGAAAGGAAAAAGGAAAGACAAACGTATTTACAAGATCAGTAGTATACTGGAAAAAAAAATTATGTTCGAGTGGAAGCCCTGCTAAAAAAAGGCAGAGGCTTCGCAGATAAACTTTGCACAACAACAAATAAATTCTTTTTGATCATGTTTGTCTTTCAACGTTAAAGTTGGAAGACCACCTAATAATGATAAATACAATTCATAATCACACAAGTGAGTTAACTCTATATATAAATGAACATCAAATTTATTCACTACGCAATCAAATATGCTCTGTGGCGGAGCACCACAACACAGCATGCTGGAATGGATCGCTATATATTTTTTCACATAGTAAACATGTTTGTTGACATAACTGAGGCGTTAAAGTCCATAATTTTGCGACAAATTTTATCAGTCTGATTTCATCAAAAGAAAAGTTGAATTTGTATATCCTTGCTGGAGTTATGCTTCGATGTAAATCTTGAAACAATATGAAGTCTCTGTCGTTTTCGGTTCTGGTTGTCCAGGCTATGTTTTGATACTGATGAATTGATTGGCGCACGATGTTTTTCAGGAAACCTTGCTTCATTTAGAAATATCTGTAGATAATTTAAAAGCTTGTATTTCGACAAAATTTGCCAAATGTCTCGCACAAAACCAGTGACCTGTTTTCCTTCATTCGTTATAAAGTCATATAATCTGAACAAGAAAATATGTTTTGGTAATACGTCCAATTTAAGATTACACAGTTTTCCAAAAAACAAGAGTTTGCGTTTATCAATTTCTGCAGATATGGGATAGATTTCAAGCATGCTTTCACACATATCGGAACGGGTGTTAGTTCTAAAGTTCTAAATATCTTTCACAACAGTGTTGAAATCGGTTCAATAGTTGTAGATCTTCTGATTTTAAATTGTTCCAAAGTTCACATCCGTATAGCAAAGATGGAAGAACTACCTTTTTGTAAAGGCTGGCAAGAGTTAGTGGGTTTGAATTGTTTGACAGATCATTTCGAATAGCAAAATATGATTTTCT